TAGTAGACTTAGTTCCCTAAACAAATGAGTTTCAGATTTTAGACTTTGGTACATATTCTAGAAAAAAAAATTAAAAGACTTCAGAAGAAAATATGTTAAAGAGAAAACAATCGTACGCGCCTGGAATGATTGAATAATCTAACGTTTCTTTTGACTCGACACCAAATTGACCAACCAACTTAATCGATGTGACTTAACCAAAACAATAAACGTATCAACGATAAATCGAATTTTGATAAATTCTGTACAATTGAAATGAAATTCATTGAAACATCGGAATTTACAAATATTGGATGTAATATTTTTTTAATCCTCAACCGAGTTTAACCAGAGTCGGATCTGAAATGAACCGAACAGAGCCAAAAAATGTTTTTATAAATTGAACGAACCGAACCAAAATTGCATCAAAACGTAGTTTAACGCGGTCTCATGGCGCGTGGTTGTTGAAGAGTATTATTGAGTAGTAGTATAATCCAATTACAACTAGCCAATTATAAAATTACACGTTGTAATTATAAAAACTTCTTAAACTATTGGGGCAAAATAAATAAATAAATCTTTTTAATCTCTACCTCAAAATTTTTACTTCTTCTGTTTTTGAACCGAAGAGACAGACTTCTTCTTCGTCGTCGTCGTCGTCTTCTTCTTCTTCTTTCTTTGTACAGACATCCTTCATTTTATAGAGAAAGCGAGAGACATAAACAGAGAGAGCGAGAGATCAGAAGAAGGAGAAGACGAAACGAAATCGTAAAGGTTGAAACTTTATTATCATAGGAGGGAGTTGAAATTACCCGGAAGGAAAGGTTTAAACGCGTGCGTAGATATCGACACGTACACTCCGGGATATTTTATATACGTGTATTCGAGTGTGTGTAGCTCTCAGCTGTTCGTTCTCTGAGAGAGTTTAGGATTTTTCTCGGATCTTTGTGTTGAAGCAAACAAGCTCGCGTAGACGGAAACTGTGGGATCCGATTCCGTTTAAAAATTCAATTCTTTTTTCCAGGTTACATTCTTTTCTGGGCTTTTTGATTTCCTTAATTTCGTTTATGCGTGAATTGAGTTGACTGTTACAGTGCTTAATTCTTCAAAATTGGATTTTGTGCGGATGATGAATTAGCTTCAGAAGGGATCCGATTTGGTTTGGGATGTCAAAAAAACTAATTCGTGTTTCGATTTCATTTGATCTGCTGATATTTTTTTTTCTGGGATTGAGAAGCATTTGTGGAAATTGTTGACTGAGAGATGTTTGCCTTGAAGCAGTGCGCGTGAATGATTGTGTGGATTTTGAATGTGCTATTAGAAGTTGTGACGATGGTTTGACTTTTCTTGGTTTGGATATAAGCTTGGACTTTGTTGCTGTACTAATTTGAAATTGTCAAATTTTTATTCATCTGGATGTTTGATTCTTCCATCTTTCTATTAAATCACTCACCTTGTTATGCTTATAAATTTGCTGGTTGGTTTTGATTCTGATATCTGATGATAATAAGAAGGAAACTTAGAGAAAAGGTGATATTTTGTGTCTCTTCGGGAAAAGAACATAACTTTGAGAAATCATCTTCTTCTTCAAGAATCTAGCTTTATCAATTTGAGTTTCACACTTTTGTTTCTTATGTTGATTTGGTTTAGTTTTCAAGAGTTGTATCTTATACTCTTCTCCGTTTCTCTTTGGCTTTCTGTTATTCTAATATGGCTTTATTTCTTGAATGTAAATCACAGGTTTCGACTCTTCTTTCTACCTGCCAAGTGGAACATTCTCATTTTAGCTGAAGAAACTTGTTCCTCCAGAGTTTTAAGGAACATTTGAGTTTGAGGTGTTAGCAGTATGCAATAGAGGCTTATATGAGATGAAGGCAATTAAAGGGTGGCGTCTAGGCAGAACAAACTATATGCAGTCTTTGCCTGGAGGTCGCCACCGTGCTCCGACAAGGAAGCCAGTATGGATCATCGCTGTGGTTTCGTTGATAGCAGTGCTTGTTATTGGTGCTTACATGTTCCCTCATCACAGCAAGGCTGCTTGTTATATGATTTCAACTAATGGATGCAAAGGGCTTACTGATTGGCTTCCACCATCGCCGAGGGAACTCTCGGATGACGAGATTGCAGCTCGTGTAGTGATTAGTGAAATCTTGAGCTCCCCTCGTGTTATCAAAAAGACTTCTAAAATCGCATTCATGTTCTTGACTCCTGGTACATTGCCTTTTGAAAAGCTATGGGACCACTTTTTCCAGGTAAACTTCATCTCTTCCCTTCTGGCTAAAGAAGATTCTGATGATAGAAAGTACAATGGAAGTCATTTCAAGTTTATGCTGTGTCACAAATCTTCAGAATTGTAGACTTTGTCTAGAAAAGTGTTTTAACATCTTAGAAGTGCCTTATGAAACACTTGCAATATGTTTAGGATCTCTGCGTTTATTTGATTCTTTCGTCAACTTGTTTCTTTTTCTGATGGATTTGTGCTTTTATCCCTACTCGCAGGGTCATGAGGGGAAATTCTCTGTTTATCTTCATGCATCAAAGGATACGCCGGTTCACACCAGTCGTTACTTTGTTAACCGTGAAATTCGAAGTGACGAGGTCTGTCTCTTTTTCTGATGTCATCTCTCTTTTCTAATGGTCATTGAAAAGAAATACTAGAGTTCTGAAATGACTACATTTGGTTGGTCTATGTAGCATGAGTTTCTCGTGCTTCTGTAATAGTTTTCAATGATTGCGGTAATAGAATTATATCTAATTATGTTTTGTGAAGGTGGTCTGGGGTAGAATATCAATGATTGACGCCGAGAGACGTTTGTTGACCAGTGCTCTTAAAGATCCTGAAAATCAGCAATTTGTTCTACTCTCTGATAGGTAATCTACTAGAAACTTTACTTCTCTTCTCACTGATTATTCTTAGGTTGCCTTAACCAACTAGCGTGTTTCTTGCTTTTGCAGTTGTGTGCCACTTCGAAGTTTTGAATACATGTACAACTATATGATGTACAGCAATGTCAGCTATGTTGACTGGTAAAGTCATTTGTTCGAGTTGATGAGAACTCAGAGTTACAGTGACACATGTTGCTAGATTTCTTCCTTGCTTCTCTATACTAATATATATGATTGTCTCTTACTCTTCAGCTTTGACGATCCTGGTCCACATGGAATCGGCAGGCATATGGATCACATGTTGCCGGAAATTCCAAAAGAAGATTTTCGAAAGGGTGCACAGGTAAAAGCTCTTTCGCTGATCCAGTATTATATGCTTGCCTCATAATCTGAAATTGCATGCGAGATCACTAAAATACAAAAGGCTCAGAAACAAGGAACAGTTCTGTGACATTGTTGGAACCGGTTGATACAACAAAAGGCTTTTTAATTATAACTCTTTTGAATGTATGCACCATCTTACATCCGTATTTAGGAACTGGTACCTCCTAGTATTAGTATCATCAGCTAAACACATTTTATCTACATATTTGGTTCCATTCGTCATTATTGGGAAGCTTTTTGAACAAGTGGGGGTACTAAAACTGGCATGAGATAGTCTTTCAGCAAGTTTTCATCGCTTAGTCAGTTATCTCTATATCCGTGCAGTGGTTTGCCATGAAGCGTCAGCATGCTGTCATAACTATGGCAGACAGTCTATACTACTCCAAATTCCGGGACTACTGTGGGGTGAGTATGATATAAACCTCAATGTATCTTTCTTTTTCCTAAATTTTATGGAGGTGTTACTATCTAGATCTATGAAAATAACCACACATTAATAGTAAGGCCTTGTTTTTTTCCTTCAGCCAGGTGTAGAGAGCAACAAGAACTGCATCGCGGATGAACACTACTTGCCAACATTCTTCTATGTGAGTATCTTTGACTAAACGACTTTTTTCAGTTTTTCGTAACTTCTTTATCTATAATAAACTCTGGTGAGATAAATTTCATCAGATGCTTGATCCTGGTGGCATTGCTAACTGGACTGTGACATATGTTGATTGGTCTGAGAAAAAGTGGCATCCAAGAACATACATGCCCGAAGATATCACGCACGAGCTACTGAAGAACCTCACGGTATTATCACTAAGCTGCTATGCTCTCTTTAAAAACCTTCATTGACTATTCCCTTACTTGCTTCCATTTTGAGATAATGATTTGGTATACCTCTTGATCCATTTGCAGTCCATTGACTCAGTTTCACGCGTAACAAGTGAGGGAACGGTACACGCTTCAAACCCCAATTCGTTTCCAACTGTAAATTTACCCGTTTGGTTTTCCTTTACCGACAATATAATTCGTCTTTTTTCTCTTATGTCTGCAAACACAGGGTGAAGTAACATGGACACATTGCATGTGGAACGGAATCAAAAGACCTTGCTATCTCTTTGGAAGAAAATTCCACGCAGATACTCTCGATAAGCTGATGGATCTCTTTGCAAACTACACAAGCATCGCATAAGCCTCATGAGGGGTTATTTTGATTGCTCAATGAAATGCAATGCAAAGGAGGCATTCTTTTGACTCGGATTCTTTCACCAACGCCCCATTACATTCTAAGGAGCCAAGTTAGAACTTGAGGGAATATAATGGAATCCCTAGAAGATGTAAACTCACTGCAAAAATCGTTGTGATCTTGGGAAGCTTAGGAAGTGTTTGGGGGTTTTTCCATTTGGCTGGGGACGTTGGGACATTTTTAACTCAATCTGTTTTCACTACATCTCATTGTTATCTATAGAATTTTGTTTCAGAGTGCTTTTTGTTTATGTCTCTCTTTGTTGGAACTCTCTTGATGGAATTGGTAATGAATCGTGGAGAAAGAGACAGGTTTATACAGATTAAAGCTGAGCATTTTGATCATATGTTACTGAAACTCCAAAAGTGGAGTTTTATATCAAAAACTAATTATACAAAGTTACAAACTGCTGCTATTAAGCAGTTTCCTTCTTTTTCAGACGGAATTCTCTAGAACTACATTCTTATTACTGCATATTACAAAAAAATAATACATTACAAAACACAACAACATTTGTTCATCGCCGATGTCCCAGAGCCACCACCGGGATCCTCACCTTATGCCCTCGGCTACCTTTCAACTTCACCTCTCCGAAGCTGTATACTCCAGAAACCGATCTCACGGTCAGAGTGACCGAGAAACTTCTAGAAGCGCCGGGTCTGAGAGTCATTGCCGGTGGATTCACTTCAATGGCTATAGACGGCTGCATCCTAGCTGCTATTGTGTACGTTTCTTCTACTTCAGCCACATTCGTCACTCTCCTTGTTACCGTTTGGGTACCCACAAGGTAAGAAATGGCGATAGATGGTGCATTGAAGTTTGAAGGATGTTTCATCTCATAGTTACAAGGCGTGTTTGTGTAGTTTCTTATCTCATGGGCATCGATTCCTGGTGTAGTGCACAAGAATCCAAGATAATCCTCATAACCTACAAGCAAAACAAGATCAAATCAGTCTTATTGACCAGAGATCAAAGATCTTTCTACATCATTTGAGGAAAAACAGAGCAACAATACCTGCATCAAAGATAAGACCAGGATCTAGAGCAGCACTAGGATTGACATGGCCACTTCCGTAATCAAAAGGAGTGGCTTTAACAAACGTTACAGCCTCTGTGTCTGAATATTGCTGTGCCTGAAGAGGCCTTCCTGCTCTATCTATGACTGTTGAGGTTGTCATCAAAGCTGATTTGATAGCAGCTGGGCTCCATTGAGGATGCTTTTGCTTCACAAGTGCAGCTATCCCGGCTATGTGTGGTGCAGCCATGCTGGTTCCTGATATTAGCGCAAATCCTTCGCCTGCTCAACAGCCCAAAGTAAGAGACTTTAATTACGTTCAGAAGAATCTCCACATGTTAGCTTCAGTACGTTGGATGCTTACCGACGTAGTTGGGTTCGTCTGTTCCATTTGGACACCAAGCAGCCCATATCAGATAACCGGGTGCAAGAATATCCGGTTTGAGAAGATCAGCATCTTGAAAGCTGAAATCTTTGGTATTGGGTCCTCTAGCTGAGAACAATGCCACTTGAGGTGCTGATTTGTGAAGAACAGGTTCTAAACCATCTCCTATGCTTCCCTCGGCCTTAAAGCTTTTTACTCGTCCTGTCCAATCTCTTGATGTACTGGCGTTGTAGTAATCGATCAAATCCTAAAGATGCAAAACAAAAAATGGCGTTTCAGATTTGAGAAATTAGGCTGAGAGTAAAGTGAAAACATCAGAAACTCCCATTACCATTGACTTAGACACATCTGTAATCAGGATTCCTGGAATGGCAGAAGGAACGGGATCGAACTTTGTTCCCGGAGACACATTTTCAACGACGAGAACAAAACCAGTAGCACCGAGATGCTTGGCGGTTTCAACGACTTTCTTGATTGAAGCCGTACCAACAACGAAGTTGAAAGAATATCCACAGAGGAGAATCTTTCCTTTAACCAGTTTCTTGTTCAGAACTTCTGGTCTCTGGCAATCAGATGGATTATACTTGGAAACAGATGAATCCAACAGAACATCATTTGCAGAAACCAAAGTGTACAACCGATGAGGCCGAGTTGATGCTGCAGAAGACAATTCATCAAGAACCATCAAATAGAAACTTGGAATAAGTCATGCCAAAACGTAAAATAACATTCTTTTTTTACTTACGAGATAATCCCATCCCAGCCAGCATTTTTCCATTCCCAAGGGTAAGATGGTTTTTGTATCTTCGATCATCAATTGCAGCTGCGACAGTAGTTATCCAGGGGCTATATGAAATCAAAGTCTTGGGAAATGGGCCTCCGTTACCAGCAGCTTGAGCAACGAAAACACCAGCTTTTACAGCTCCAAGAAGCGTAGCATCGAATGGATTCAAGAATGTTGTCTTGGTCGTTGTTGGAGGACTGTTTGGACCAACAGAGAGGCTAAGGATATCAACTCCATCATGAACAGCCTGCTCATGACAATCAAGGTATCATCCATGGAAATTAGCAGCTAGAAGAAGGTTACTTGACTCGTGTTGCTAAATGACTAAAGCATATATGCAGCAGGAGAAAGTCATTTCACTAAGCTGAGATATTTTCTGCAGTGCCTTATGATCGATCATTCCTTTCTAACATGTGCTAAGTTCTCACTCTTACCTGATCAATCGCAGCAACTACATCAGCAACAAAGCCTCCAAAAAGCCGGTAAAGAGCCTTGTAAACAGCAATCCTGAAAGAAACTAGCCTTTAAGCTTATGAAGGTGAAGAAAACAAACTGCCATTTTGCACTATCTACCACCCACCTTGCACGTGGAGCCATCCCACTTGCTTTTCCGAACTCATAACCGTGCATTCTCAACGGAATACCATTATTCCCAGCTGCAATAGCTGCTGTATGACTGAAAATTCCAGCAGTTTAGCAAGAATCAGATTTGCTTAGTACAGTGAAAGGGTCCTGAGTCCAATATAAGACTATGAGAACATAGAGACAAACCTTCCGTGGCCATCGCCATCCATTGGCGATGCATAGTCGATATCAGGGTTAAATGCACCAGCCGCTTTAGCAGCTTCAGCAAAATGTTGAGCTCCAACAATCTTCCTGTTGCAGAAGCTCTTCTTTGTATGAGGATCTTCTTCACATTTCCCTCTGTAATGAGGAAGAGGGCCATAAGGTAGTCTGTGGTGAGAGGCGAAACTCGGGTGATGCGGATAAATCCCTGAGTCAACAAAGCCGATTACAATATCTTCTCCTGCTCTCTCGAAACCACCACCTGTCGGCCAAACATCTGTTGGAAGTCCCAGAAACTCCGGTGTATGCGTGGTGAGTCTCCTCACTTTCCAGTCTTTGTTGACAGACTTCACTCCGGGGGCGCGACGAAGTGTTTCTGCCTACCAAATATAGTGGATTAGTGTAAGAGACACACGAACAAAGGAAGAACACAAGTAGAAAATGGTCTCAAATCGATTTTTCACCTGCTCAGGAGAAACATGAGCTGCAAATCCATTAATAAGGTGTTTATAGCTGTAAAGCTTTTTGTATGATCCTTCCTCAAAGAGCATCCCAAGAATCATATCGTGCTTCCTCTCTAAGTGACGACCATACGATGTCACCAACTCACTGAAAAAAGGTAACAGACTGTTAATCTAAGCAAGCAATGTATATATACAGTTCTTTAGTTATTATTGCAATTGAAGTACCTTGATGTATCAATCTTCTCATCAGATTCGACAGCAGTTGCTTCAAAACCATTTTCTCCACCTTTGTAACTTATGATTGGATCTCCTTCCATAGTCACAATGTAAACCTCTGCTGTCACAGTAATAATAAATGCGGAAACGACAAGAATTCTCAAGCCGATATCCATATTGGTTCCGCACAAAATGAAGCTTCAACTTCAGTTTTTGCTGTAGATTCAACTGCAGCATCAAAAACCGAATGAATGCTTTAGCATCCTGAGACCATTACCACTATCACTTCACTCAAAGAACATATATATTCAGAGATCGAAGGACAGAGTTTTGGTCTCAAAGAAACAGGCTTTTACACAAAATACAGACAACACATAATTAAGCTAATGTAGACACAAGAATCATCTCCAAGGTCAAGTACTTGCAGGTCAAGAACACTCAAAACTGATAATCCAACGAAAATTGTAACAAGGAAGAGATTCACTTGTCAAGAACTAAACACATATAGAGCCTTACCAAATCCAACCAACCCAAAGAAAAGATGTTGAAACCAAAGAACCTTTAGTCTAAACACAGTAATCAAGTAAAGAAAGTACAGCTGCATCTTATGCCATTTATATAAAGGAAAAAGCTAGAAACCGAAAACAGTAAGTACAGTATAACAACTATTGCTCTTCAATTAATGAGACAAACAAAGAAGAGGAAAAAGAAGCAAGAATCTTTAGCCTCTTAAGCCTACATTTTTTGCCAATTAAACATTTAGCAAATCTCGAAAATATCAAGACTAAGTAAGAATAACCCACTTTCACAAATCATCCAAGCAAAGAATAGAACCCAGACGAAACAAAAGTGTGTCCTCACACGGAAAAGAAGATCCTCTTTTAAAAAAAAAAACTGTAGCTTCAATAAGAGTAAACGCCAAAAAGCCAATAATGTGTACGAACTTACATTTGCTTCACGAGACGAATCGAGATAGAGCAAACCAACAAAAAAGAGTAGCTTTTTGAGACGAAACGGTGAGATTACGATTGAAATCAAACCGAAAGTTTAGAAATTTAAGTCACTACATAAATCACATTTGCAGAAAAAAAAACAGAGAAGAAGCTGATTCGGATCTTAAAATCGAATGATTAAGAGAAAGTTTGATTCTGGGTTTCTTCGTAGAATAAAGATCTAGCAAAAGAGAGAAAAAAGGAACACGAGAGGTAAGTAAAAAAATGTTTTTTTTTTACTGTGATTTAGTGATGAATGGAGAGTGTGTGTTGTTGTGTGGGTAGAAATGGAGAAGAAAAGGTCGTTAGGGTTTAATTTTTCTTGATATTGCTTAATTTTTTTATATAAGACTGTTATTATTTTTTTTATTATCAAAAATGCTAAGGAGACAACTAACCGAAGATTATGGAAACTATATGATTGTTAATTTAATCTTTGTGTAATGGTAAAATGTTAAAAAAAAAAGTGTTAATGGATAACTAAAATCCAATTTAGGTTGTGTGGATTTTACATAAATATCCGATTGTCCGAAGGTAGGGGAGAAAGGAGAGTGACCATTCGCGCGCGAGATTTGCTGTCAGTTCGTACTTAAATGACGATATTACCCCTCAAAAGTAGATATGGAAAATCAATGTTCTGTGTAAATGCCGAGTTCTAGAAATTATATTGCTAACAACTTTTTTTTTTAAATGACATTCAGTGAATGAATAGTTTCTTTTTTGTTTTAACGACAGTAAAAAAACCTTTTACCCATTTTTATATACATTTTCTCATGTACTAATGGTGGTCCAATTACTTATTTCACTTTTTGTCACTTCATCTAAGCAAAAACAAAAAATATGAGATTAACTTTCTTTGATCTGAAGATAGAAAAAGAATATTTGTTTCTTTTCTAGCGAGATTAAAATTTTAATCTAGAAATAATTAAAGAGGTTTAGTTTCTTATTTTTTTAGTGTTTTTGATTTCTTTAACCGAAAAAGGTATTATATGTTTTGACAATCCATAAACATGAGAATATATCATGGTCTAGTTTAATCTTAAACTGAAAGATTGTTAACAAAAACAAAGGAAACAAGCTAAGAGAGAAGAGTCCATTGAAAAAGAAAATTGGCTTAAATTGGGTTACAGGCTGCCTTACAGGTGAAAAGCTAATTCATAATTAAAGGGCCAATATTATGTAACTCAATTATGATGTTCGATTGCCAAAGAAAATAATTCATTTTCAATCGTAAACGCATCTTCATTCAAAAAAAGACATTATAAAATCGTGAAATTTACAATAATACAACTAAAGGAGACTACTCAATCCATTGGTAATACTTTGTGATTTGATCATCTTTAGATGATTAAATGTTTTAGGTAAATTTCAAAAATTGTTATGATTTTGCATTGACATTTCTAAAATCTTTCAAAAAATCAAGAAATATGGATTTTGTAATTAGTTAAGCCCACTCTAAAACATCGTAAAATCATATATTATAATATGTCTAAAATGTTGTAATAAAAGTATATTTGAAAGTACTTTTACAACTCACAATTTGAATAATCTAAGATTTTTGACAAAAACTAATTTCGTGGGTTTGTTTCAAAACCAAATCGTTTTTTAGTTGATTTTTTTAATCAACATTTCGTTTCAACAATATGTTTAATTAGTAAAGAGCATCCCCATTCCCCACGACCATTGCACAGTTAAAAGCTACCAATTGTTGTTACACATGAGATGAAAAGTGGTTATATATTGGAAAGAGTAAAGTTATAGAAATAATTATAACAAAGAAGCCAAAATGGCGTAGGAAAAACAATTGTAGAAGACACGCAAAGCTCAACTTTGTTACTTCACTTTAGAGGAACATTAAATATGGAACCAAATAAAATCGAAATTTATTTGAAACATCTAAAAGGTGAGAGTGTGACTAAACTTTCTTTACCATGGAATGTGAAATTTACGAAGTACAATACATTTGTGGCCGAAAATAGAATTGGGACTCCACAATACTTACTGTATACGTGAATAAGATACAACATAATTATTGATTTCATTTTGATGTAAGAAATGGAACCACATCAACTTGTTTATATAGAAAATATTTTTCTTCTGAAATTTTTTTAATGTGGTCCCAAAAGAATATTGTTAAGTTACATGGACTTTCAACCTAAAACTAGTTGACCCTTATATATTAGTTAGGATTACTTCCAACTTCCGATGTAGGATATTATCCCTAATAGGTCCCCTCGAGACGATGACTACTTTGGCTATTGATTTCGGTAATGTTTGGGTAAGGATCGACGGACCATCTTTGGATCACATATCGATTATGGATCGGATTGGATTATTTGGATCGAGCTCTAATACCATGTTAAGTTACATGGACTTCCAACCTAAAACCTGTTGGCAGTAAGTGGATTGGCCTATGCTCTTTATATATTAGTTAAGATTTCTTCCAACTTCCGATGTAGGATATTATCCTAATAAGTATTAGACTCTCGTACAATTATACTACAATATGAATGGTATACAGAAATTCTCGTTTATTCAAAGAAAACTGCCATATATTTCGTTTATACAATTTTTAATGTTAATTGAATATAGTAACTTTCTAAAAGATACAGGTAATGAAGCTAATGATGTGTGTTTTATACATAACCTTTAATAATAATATGTGGATACAATATTAAGAAAGTGAAGTCTACACGATCGATCCTGCGTAAACAAATGATATCATTTTTCAAAAAAATAAACACAAATTTTTAGTTAGAGTCTTATAAATTAATCCTTTTTTAATTTTCTCCGAAATCTCGATAAACTTAAACTTTAAAACGATACAAACAAATATTCATGTTATCATGTAAAACAGTAAAAAGGTTTATTTATTTATTATCAAGATTCAACCCCAAAAAATGTTCATTAAAGTTCTATACATGCATGATTAGGTATAAAACATATTATTGTTAGGATTTATGAAAACCCATTTGACTCGTTTGTTGACGACTCTTTGTTTCGGGATTCAGTTTATTGTGTAAGAAGAAATGATGTACTTTTAACGAGGTATAAAAAGAGTGGTTGGTACATGACTACATGTCATGATCAAGAAAAAACATAATAAGTTTTGAGCCAAACTTTATAATTATATATAATAAGTTCCTAGTGTATAGACCATTTTATGCTGAGCTACACAGTGTTTAAAAAATCTTTAATCACCTTTACAAACCCCCAAAATTACTTGAAAATAATCATATTGATCTACCTTTTTTATTTAATATCGATTTGTGGTTTTTTCCTTGTTTAACATTATTCTGAGGTTTCGTATAAACGCTACAAACAATTGTTTTTGTTGATGTTACCCAACAACATTTTTTATAATGAACAAACGAAAGAGACATATGTATTAACACCTAAGCAATAAAGCACAAAAGTGCGTACACAAGATAGTATTACACTATTACTAGAACAGACACTTTTTCGCAAGAGCATCCAATTTTCTATTATTTTCCCCATGTTCATATACCATCCGAAAGTCAGAGAAGTAGTTGCGTAAAGCATCCAAATCGCTAATTAATTAAGCTTAATTTGTTGCAAAGACATACGAATATCTATCTTTGATATCAGAGATACTTATAAGTTGCATGTACACATAAACAGATTTCCAGAATAATTTGTGATATAATTGCTATTGTTGTGATAGGATTATCCTTGTCTCATTCTAGAATGTCATGGCAATTAGTTATAATCAAACCAATGTTATAGTATTGTAATTATTATAAATATCGATAAGAAAATGGGAATAAAAATGTAATTGGATGTATATGGCAGTTTAATTTTAACATCTGTGATCACATGTGAGGACTGTTCCCACAAAAATGTCGTTTAGTCCAAACACATCATGTGTCATTTCATTTTTTTCCCTGCTTTGTCCAATAATTAATAAAGTATTCTTCCTCTAACACCCACAAAACAAAAGTCGTATATTCATTTCTGTTATTATTATATTTACTTCTTTTTTTGGATAAACATATTTACGTCTTTATCGTCGATCGACGTAACTACACCATGCATGAGACAAACGTTGCAGTATAATACCGATGCCACTGAGAAATTCTGAACCGAGTTCCAAACTAATTTATTGGATATATATATATATATATATATAATAGTAGCTTATAACAATATTGCTCACTTGAAAGCAGCTGAATCGATTAGAAATGTCGTGTTGTAGTTAGATCTTAATTTGAGTTTGCGCATAAATTGATATATACATCATGGTCTCCAAGCTAAGGAGATATGTAATGTTGCTCTTGTGGAACAAATTACTAGAACTCTGCAATGTTTATATAATTAAATAAGTACTAGAAAAAATAAGTATTATAATTATTACTAGCTCTATGTTTCAACTAACTTAATGTTTAATTATAAGATATGTCCTTTTTCTCTTCTCCCTTAAAATATGAGAACTCTGGTTGATCTTTATTAAAAGGAATTTTGAATTACCTTTCGGTTAGAAAAAGACGAATCAGAGTACATAAACCAAAGCAAAAGTAACACTTTGCTCTTATAACAAATACTTCATTCAGCACCACATGAAAAATCCATCTTGTTACTTAACCAGCTTCTTCTTCGAATGAGACAACTAGGGAATTTTTTTTAACACTAACTTGAAAAGTTGACAACAAAAAAAGAACTCATAATTAATCTACCCTATTTGTAGAAAATTTAGACTAAATCATGTGAAAAAAAGACGATTTCCCTTAAGCGTGAAGATATCTAAAAGAGAGAGCATAATATTCAAATGTGATTCTGAAGCAACGTGTTTCGCTTATGACAAACTTCACCACCTGTTCGGAAATACCAAGTACATTTGATCATAGAAACTCTTCCCTACGAACGTATGTATATAATTATATCGTGTAAATATATCTATGATGATTATTTCGTATAAATACGTCTTATAATTCGAAATGCTAGTTTTATTTTTTTCCATTAACCGCTTAGATCTTTCTAACCGCTACAATTACAAAAACATGTTGTATAGTGAAGTTTAGTGAATTTTAATCTATAGATCAAACGCGTTTTGCAATTATAGCGGTTGGAATGTCATTGTAGTAAAGTTTGATCTATAAATTTTTTCAATTTTTTCTGGCAATTCATTTGTTTCTGTACTGGTTCTGTACAATGCATTCTTAAGACAACAATGATGGGATTCTAACTAGATTTGTGAAGCAACGGTGGTCGAATTCAATTGGATCCTTGAAACAATGGTGAGATTCAACTGGATTCTTGAAGCCATCCATTGGATTTCCAAGAATATCCAATCGATTTTGGAAAAGATGGAATCCGGATTACAAGTGACTGTAACCAAAGTTGATGGTGTCTATAAGTATGACTGATTTATTCTGACTTTTCAGATTAACGTTGATTATGGTTTGCAATTTTTTTTTGCAAAAAAAACTAGCATGAGTTTACATTTATTGCTATATTACTAGCTAATGTCATGGGGCACTCTTTTCGCTGCCAATATACAACAAAGTTAATAAGAAGTTAAAGAAAAATTGGGTTAGAGATTTTAAGGCTTTGCATACATTAGTTAAGATCGTGAGATTCATGTCCGTTATGAGGGAATTTGTTTCCTTGTCTGCTGATATCGAGAAGAAACATCAAACTAGTTTGTATGCAATATGTTTTACTCTCATTTTGTTTGTCTCTAGCCTCGCTGGCTAAACTAGCTGAGTCTGATGATTTATTTGGGTTAGATGATAGTTTGCTATCGGTTTTCATCGTTATATAAATTAGATTCTCTATAGTATAATTTATTGAAACGCCGAAAGAAACACACCAAACTGAGCATTGATTATTTATTATAGAATATGTGTTATACTATGCCTCTTTAAATCTTCTGAACTTTTCAGTATGTTATTTATCATAAATTACATAACAAAATTGAGAAAATCATAATTAAAATAAATTTTAAAAAATTGAGCAAAAAATAAGCATATTCTAAGCAAATATAACAAAAAAATAAGTAAAAAATTAAAAAAAAAATTAAAATTAAAATTTGCTTAAAAATAAAAATAGATGATTCTACCACCATTATACAAAGGAATGCTACAAAAAAATATAAAAGAAAATTGTTTTTAAAATTTAAATTAAATCATAAACTATGACCAAAAAAATGTGGATTTATGGCTCAAGACATCTGGTTCCATACACAACTGACTTGCAAAGAGCAAGCTGCGACTCTCCCATGACTTGTCATGTTGTGCCTCAGTCATATTTTGATGCATAATATCAACATCACGTTATGACATATGGACTCACAGTCTCCATATTCACGTGCGTCTACGTGTATATAGTTCCATAAACATTTTGGAAAATATGATTACAATAATATCCTGCACATCGCATTTACCAAGAGAAGGAGACGTTTCCTCACTTCTACTTGAGAGCCACGGGATCTTAATCAGTCGGCCCATTTCAAGCCCAATTGTTTCTTTGATGAGTTTAATATTCGGGTCGGATCTCACGAATTCGGATCCTTTTTTCGTACCCGTTTCAGTTGCACACACGTGTCGTGACATCGCCCAACTCAGTCATCGTTTATAAATTGTGAGGAAAAAGCCGCTTTCTCTCTCTGCTTTCCCTCTCTAAAAATGTCCCGATTGCTGTCAAAAACCCTAATTCCCCAGGGGAGATTCTTCCTCCGTCGTTTCAGCGAGCCGGCGATTAGGACGACGGCGCCAAACCTCGTCTGTTTCAGCCGCCGTCCCTTTTCTTCGAAGCCGCATCTGATCGAGATCGACCTCGATTCTTCCTCGTCAGCGACTTCCAAGGCTGAAGCCGAAGCCGCGATCCTCAGGAAGCTGAACGAGTTCGTTAGGAGGATCGTCGTTCAGAATTCGACTCCTGATTGGCTCCCTTTCGCACCCGGATCCTCCTTCTGGGTCCCGCCGCATCAGAACACGGCCGCGAAGATCGCTAATTTGGTCGATAAGGTGACGAATCCGTTGACGGAGGAGGAATCTTTCTCACTTTCCTCTCCTTCTGGCTGGCCTTGTTCCTCTTTCTTCATTCCTTCAGGTATTTTTTGAGTTTTTATCTTCAATTTCATTTTTTCCCGGGAACTGTATATTAATCCGTGAATTGCCTTCCTTTGGGTTTAATCGTCTCAGATTGATAATGGGTCTCACTTGTTTTTTAGTTTCTCGTGTTAAAAATGGTTCCTTTGAGTAATTGCTCCTTGAGTTTTCCTCCATGTCTCTATAAAACCGATTTCTGAGCAAAACCTTGAACCCTCCCAAGCTTAAATAGACCTGAAAATTTGAGATCTTTAGGAGTGATAGGTTTAGATTACGAAGGGGAATTATGTTTTTGTCTTACTGAATTGTTATCTAAATGATTATACAATGTAGTAATGGAGCTGGTTTTGTTTGTGCTCAATGTTTGAAAGATATGTTTCTCATCTTGTTTTCCTGTCTATGTTATGGCTGATTCCTGATATCTATGGTGACACATTTGTTCCTTGGTGATAGATGATGATGGTTCTTCATCTACAAAAGAGGTAGAAGGTAGCATGGAGCTGAACATTCCGGGGAATGAGATGCTGGAAATCAAGCTAGCGCATTTTCCAGATCCGATCTACTCGTTTAAACAAGGAGACGACGAAGATTGAATTTGCATTCTCCAGCTCCTGATGCGTGGTTTGCATATAAGAGCTTGGATAAACAGATGATTCCCGAGACTGATGATGAGGTTGTATTTGTATATACAGTTGCAAACCATGGAGTTATATGATGATGTTTGGCCGTCTTAACGCCTTTGTTGACTATATTTTATAAAGCTTTGATATAATTTAAGCTTGGTTCCCACTTTTTAAGCCAGAGTTCGAGTAATAACCATTACAGTTATCTTTCTAAAACATCGTTCTTTGGGTGCAAGAAACAACAATGCTTGCTATCTATTAACTTAAAAGCAGAGGAGATTTCAGATACAAGTTGCTATCCCTAGCTCTTTAGCTTCCATACACATAACTAATGTTCATATACATGAGAAATTGTTTTGCTAAAAAGATTCTTCATTGCTTCATTGAGATACAAAATCAAATCAAACAGCCTTGAGCTGATTCTTGGGATAGTATCTTCACTGCAACTTGTTCACCATTCAAGACACCGTGGTACACTTTTCCGAAACCTCCTTTGCCGATAACTCTCTCAAAGTTGTCTGTGATATTCACAACTTCAGAGTATCTAAAGTATAGCTTCGCTGTTTCCAACGGCCCGTTCCTCACACCAAGTGCACCTCTTCGTTTTCTTTTCTTGCAGTACAAAGCCAATGCCACCAAAAGAGCGATGGTGATGATGATTCCTACGGTTGATGCTACTAATGGGATGATGTATCCATTTCTCTTCCTCTTCTTTGTGCTTTGACATGGAGCAGAGAGACAAAGCTCTGGATTTCTACCAAATCTTTACAGTAACAATGTTAGGAATGAATCTTTTTCAGACCGCATCTTCACTAAACTGAAATATAAAAAGATGATCAAGTAGCAAACCTTAAGGAAAGAGATCCATCCTTTGATCTTTCAAGTCTCTGAAAATGAAAATTTAATTTGTGTTAGTAGAGACAGAGAGCATTAGTGTTGATTGCCTAAAGAAGCTGACAAAAAATACCGACAATTTTCTTATAGATGTAAGGTTGGAGAACGCTGGATCGATAGGGCCTGTTAATTCACCGAAAGATATATTTCTGCAAATCCCAAAACAGATAAGTTTTATGAAAATAAACACAGAGCAGAGCATAACATAACAGAGTACAACTGAAGAAAACAGAGTAACATAGAATACCAAAAAACAGAGCATATGATTACATAACTAAACAGAGTAGAACAAAACAGAGCATAACATAACAGAGTATAACAAAACAGAACACGTATATATGAACTTACAGAGAAACGACTCTTGGATTTGTACTGTTGTCACTTTGGATACAGTAAACACCTTCCCAAGAATAGTACACAGGAACACAAGGATCTCCTTGCCAGTTCTTCATCACTCTATATTTGGCTTTAATCTTCCTCATGGCGTCCACTAAAAGAGAAATATAACAAAAACAAAATCAAAAACTCGAAAAGGGAACATTTTTACTATATAATAAAGGGACCCTTCATTACCATCCCGAGGATCAGTTTGGATCTGAAGGAACGTAATGACTTGATAGATCTCAAGAGCGTTAATGATCGGTGGAAGTACAAACTCGCCAAGTGGTTGCTGAAAAGAGAAGTTAAGGGTACTTCCTCTAACGGCATACGGTGTAGAGACCGTATCAGTAAACAAGTACCGAGGCTTAATGCACACATTTGAAAGCATTTCTTACGTGAGATTAGCTGTTTCTAGCTCTAACCAAACTCTCATTACATAATCATACGAGAAGCAAAGTCCAAGAAAGAAAGAAAAGAACATCCACTTAATATAGTATGTACAAAAGCAAACAAAGCACAAATAATCTTGTAGCTGTACACTTGCGTACAATACAAGGAAATCAAAACTCTCTTACATGTACAAGATAGAGAAACTTCTTGGTCGGTTCAATTATCTTAAAAAGCAAACATAACCCAAACTTGTTCTTCTCTTCTTACATCACACTCCACACCACACACACGTTTCCAGTTCTTGGGGATGAGAAACTCAGATGGATTGAACAATCATCTACCTCGCCTGAGGAAACATTCCCGAGTCAAGAGTCGTCATCGCCGGCTCTGTAACGCTGCTGGCACCAGAACCGCCACCGGCTCTTGCTCTGCCTACACTCTCCTTCAACTCAGCCACTACCTGACTCATCGTCGGTCTATTTTCAGAGCTAGGAGACGCACAAGCCATTGCTACTTCAGTGATCTTCCATGCTGAACCAGCATCAAACCTATCTCCTAACTTTGGATCCACAATGCCTCTGATATCTCCTCTGGACAGAAGCGACTCGACCCGGTCGGTTATGTGTCTGTTCTCTGCTGTTGTTCTTGACCGTGCAATCACCGGTTGGCCCGTGACAACCTCTAGAAGAACCACCCCGAAGCTGTAAACATCACTCTTCTCGCTTAATTTCTGCGTCGAGTGGTACCTTCATTTTTGTAAAGCAAAGCCTCAGAAACCATAACGGCTGATAACAGAACATAAACACACAGTACTAGTAGTAGATGAAGCTTTATACTTACTCAGGGTCGAGATAACCGATAGTTCCAGCAACTGCGGTTGAATCTTGGTTATTACCTTCCAGTGCAACGCTTCTTGATAACCCAAAGTCAGCAATCTTGGCCTGGAGCTTCTCGTTGATTAGGATATTAGCCGGCTTCACATCTCTTTGTACAATGGGAGGCTTGCAGCCATTGTGAAGATACTCTAGCCCTGAAGTTTCAGACAAACATAACAATGACTTCATTTGATCTGAGTTACTTATTCTAGTATGTTTTTGAGATTTATCACAAACCTTGTGCTGCGTCAAGTGATATTTGTAACCTCTCCTCCCAGCTCAAGACATAAGATTTATCTCCTTGATTAGGAAAGAAACCAAAAGGAAGATTTAGTTTCATCTAGCTATAGCAGCAAGAGACCAGTGACCAAAACCAAGTAAAAGAGAAACTGACCTGACAAATAATCTCCCAAGGTTCCATTAGCCATAAACTCGTAGATAAGTGCCATCTTCTTGTCTTCGTTGCAGTATCCAATAAGAGCAGTTAGATTTTTGTGATGAACTCTTAGGAGAAGTTCGACCTGTTGATAAACAAGTGTACGCTTATTTCCGATTAGTCACCATAACTCACTTTTTTAAAGACTGAACCTTTTGAAGTATAAAAGTGAGACTGACCTCTGCTATGAACTCTTTGTAACCTTGAGCCGATGATTCAGACAGAATCTTGACAGCGACTTGGTCGTCATTTAACACACCATGGTACACTTTTCCAAAGCCTCCTTGTCCAAGAACTCTCTCAAAGTTGTTTGTAACTTTCACAACTTCTGAGTATTTGTAGTATCGCTTTGTTGTGTCCAATGGCCCTGTCCTGACACCACCAGAGCCGCCTGTAAAGATCCCATGACAATTTTTCTTACAAGTTATCCTAAAAATTAAAGAACAACCAATTTAAGATAGTATCACTTCGATGTTTTTACCACTTCGATGTCTCTTCTTGTATTGCAAGAACATAGCTATTGCGATTACAAGGCCAAGCACTCCCGCGACAGATGCTACTAACGGAATAACATATACACTCTTCTTGGTCTTCGAATCCGGAATTTGACATGAAGAAGGCACGCAGAGGTTCGGATTCCCGCCAAATCTACGTATAAAATGAAGAGACATTATGAAAACATGAAACCAACAGGCTACAGAGTATCTTCAAAAGCCAAAGAAAATCATGAACTAACCTCAGAATAAGCAACCCATTGTTTGATCTCTCCAGAAGTTTCGCCGGAATAACACCCGTTAACTTGTTTCCTTCCAAGTTTCTGCAGACATGTACGTGAAACCAAAAGAGATTCTCCAAGTAACATATGTAATCTAGACCTCTAGTTAGTAAAACTTACAACTCCGTCAAGTTATGTAGATTTCCGAGGAAATCAGGTACTTTTCCGGTTAAACTGTTGTTTGATAAGTCCCTGAAATGAAATTTTTGGTTGCATCAGTTCAAAGACTCCAAAACGATGTGTACAAGAGTTTCTTGACCAAATCAAAGAATACAGACAGTCTGTATAATGAGGTAAGGTTGGAGAAGGCTGGATCAATCTGGCCAGTCAAGCCACTGGAAGATAAATTCCTGCAGATCACACAACTCTTGTGAGAACAGAGAGAGAGAGGGAGAGCAAAAACATATATAAACATTTGTTGAGAGAGAGAGAGAGAGAGAGAGAGAGAGAGAGAGAGAGAGAGAGAGAGAGAGAGCATATATAAGCAATTTCTTTAAACGCGTACACAGAAACGATTCTGGGAGACTCGTTATCGACAAAGCTGCAGTTGATATCCTTCCAAGGATAGTTAACTGGAGCACAAGGATCTCCAAGCCAAATCTTCTTCACTCCATACTTGGACTTGATTATCATAATTGCTTGAACTAGAATTCAAAAACCAAACATGAATAAGAATGAAAGTTAATAATGAAAAGTGTTAAGGTTTTGTTTGAGAAAATGAAACCGTACCATCTTGTTGATCAGTAGGGGACTGAAGAAACTCATTGACTCGATATGTTTCAATGGCGTTAATGATGGGTGGAAGCGTGGATTTAGCGGTACGTCTAAGAAGAAACTCGAGTCTTGGTCCGCTCACGGGGTTCTGTACGTAAAGTGTGTCTGTATACAAGTAGCGAGGGCTAAACGCGGTCATGTTGATTGACTTTTCGTTTAGAAGAATCGTGAACTCTCTTGTCTCGTTACTTGGAAGTTCCACAACTTCTGCAAAGTGCATATACACATAGTACTTCCACGTAGGAACCTGTGGCTCCCAATATAGGATTAGGTCTTGGCTTGAATCCTCAGGTGAAGTTGCAGTGTTCATAACAAAGCGAGCGGGATTGAATCCATTGTCGTTATTCGAATCTATCGTGAGCGATGCATTGAAGATTGTATATTTTGGAAACCTCAGAGGTATCCATATCCGGTCAAAAACATCGTCTTTGTACCTATATAGTATTACCAACTTTTAGGAAGAAAGACAAAAACAAAATTTATCACAAAGATACAAAAAGTATTCAGTTTTTCACCTGACAGGAAGATTACCAAGTCCACCAAGATCCCATCTTTTAAACAGCATCAATGAATCATAGGGAGTCTCGTATGTATCACTCTTTAAGAGCCTGAGTTCTAACGCAGACAGGAACGGAGTTCCTCTGTCTTTATCAACAAGACACACATGAACATGGTCTGAACGAAGAGTGTGGATGATCTCTTTGGTAACTATAGTAGTTTCGTTATCTATTGTAACAGAATCCCAGGGATTGACCCCAAGATAGAGATCGAACTCTGGTGCTTCCCCTAGATTATCGTAGTTACCGTACATGAAACGTGTTCTGATCAAATACTTGAAGCCTTTTCCCCGAGGAGGCTGCACATCGTAGCAGTTTCTCTTGCCTTCAGGGAAGCTCCTAACGTTTTGAAACTGCTTCTCAAGAGATGTTGTCTGAAACTCAGGATCTATGCTGTGAATTGTCCCGGACTCGACAAATGCAGCATCTGAAACATACTTTATGTCTGTTGTTTCATCGTTATAGCTTGAATCCTCAGGTATACCACAATCTATACTGACAAATCCTGTAATATAAACACACACACACGCATAAATATTTAAAGCCTTAAAAGACGCAGCCATATTTATACATTTGCAAGACTTTGTGTACCTGATTGGTCTTGCGCATGAACAAGAAAGACAAGAACAGCGAATGAAATCAACGGAAGAAAGTTGTACCGTGCCATTAGTGAAAAAAGCTCTTGATTAGCACTTTCTCATACAAAATTCAATACCATGCGCTTCTGCAAAACTTGTTTCTTTCTCAAATACCTTTGATTCTAAAGATTATTCTATAGCCATGTTGGCTGATGGTGAAGCACTATCTCTTGAAATCAAAATACTAATAAACAAAAAAAATGTCAAGTCAAAAGGGCAAGTTGGGATAATCGAAGAGTTTCTGTTGATATCATAACAAACGACTTCTTGTGGTCTTTTGTCAGTTGACAAATTTTCAAGTGGGGCTAATTGTTTAAAACCCAAGAACTAGTTCTCACTTCTCATATAATAAATTGATAGTGAAAGTTTCAAAACTGAGTTTATGGATAACATAAAAAGAAACTCCAAGTTGACATAAAGAAAATTAAAATCATTCTTCTTTCTATATTTTAAAGAAAACGGCCATTTTTGGGTTTAAACATCTCAGAGAAGACAAGACTTGCAAGAGAAGTAACAGTGAGAAGAGAAACATCAAAATGACAAAGTACCATTCATCCTCCTAAGCAATTCAATCTTTTGATATTAATGAAAGGCTTCACGTTTGAGTTTGCAATTGCATACATGATTCACTAATCGGTGATCTATAGCAGATTAGGAATTTCGAATTCGGAATTCTAATTCCAGACGATTTCGTGCAGCTTCTTCGATTTGACATGCCTTTGATTTTGTGCTAGGACGTAGATAACCCTATTCCGGCAAACAAACAGAATCGCCAAAAGCTTCTATCAATTGCGACGGTCACTTGAACGGGAAACTCCGATCAACTACGACTGAAAATCGACTGACAAAGTCGGGATTGTAATTCCCTGACATTGTCGCAAATGAAGGTTTTCTCGCTTTTTTGAAGAAAGGTTAAAAAGGTCATTTGGGGAAACTGTTGGGCCTACGGGCCTCGTATATATTCCTCGTTTTTTCAGCGTCCAGTAATTGGTTCAACTTCCTTCTGTGGGCTTTCATCGAAATAGGCCCAACATTTCTTCGTGATGGCTGTTTATTCATATCCAGAGATCTCTCTATTGACAAAAGAGGAGCAAATGACAAAAACCTTATTGTACAGTTCAATTCGTCTTCTTCGACGTACGCTCAATTAAGAAATTCCCAAGAATTGCTTGAGGACTGGATTTTTGCTCAAGTAACGTAAGAATTGCTTGAAACCGACCTTTTGCATTTGATGAATTTAATCAAATCTATAACAATGTATATATTAATTATCAAAAGCTCCCCTTCACCGTAAGACTCATGACTCTAGCCTAAAGAGCATGCCAAGAGTTCGTGACAACAGAAAGCGCAAACGTAAATAAGCCCATAAAGTATTAAAAAAGCAATTACGTAAAGATAAAGATAACTTGATCCCATTGACAGGGGGAAACGTGCAAGAGACGGAAGCTGCGCTGCCTCATGATTCAACCAACAATCATCATCTTACCTCGCCTGAGGAAACATTCGCGAGTCAGAAGTCGTCATCGCCGGCTCTGTAAATTTACTGGCGCCGGAACCACCACTCGCTCTTGCTCTGTTTACGCTCTCCTTCAGCTCAGCCACTACCTGATTCATCGTTGGTCTATTTCTAGAGCTATGAGATGCACAAGCCATTGCTATTTCAACGATCTTCCATGCCGAACCAGTATCGAACCTCTCTCCTAGATTTGGATCCACGATGGCTCTGATATCTCCTGTGGACAGAAGAAACTCGACCCGGTCGGTTATGTGTCGGTTCTCTGCTGTTGTTGTTGAACGTGTAATCACCGGTTGGCCCGTGACGACCTCTAGAAGAACCACCCCGAAGCTGTAAACATCACTCTTCTCGCTTAATTTCTGCGTCGAGTGGTACCTTCATTTTTGCACAACAATGCCTCAGACACCATAACGGCTGATAACAGAACATAAACACATAGTAGTACAAGAAGCTTTATGCTTACTCAGGGTCGAGATAACCGATAGTTCCAGCAACAACGGTTGTATCATGGTTAGTACCGACACTTCTTGATAGACCAAAGTCAGCAATCTTGGCCTGGAGCTTCTCGTTGATTAGGATATTAGCCGGCTTCACATCTCTTTGTACAATGGGAGGCTTGCAGCCATTGTGAAGATACTCAAGCCCTGAAGTTTCAGACAAGACAAACACAGTAATGAATGACTTCATTTGATTTTCTCATTTCTTATTGTTGTATGCGTTTTCGACAAACCTTGTGCTGCGTCTAATGATAATTGCAACCTCTCCTCCCAGCTCAAGGCATAAGAGTTTTTCCCTTGGTTAAGATAGTAACCAAAAGGTGAGTTTAGTTTCCTCTGGCTAAGATTAGTGACAGAAAAAACTAAGTAGAAGAGAGACTGACCTGACAAATAATCTCCTAAGGTTCCATTAGCCATAAACTCGTAGATAAGTGCAACCTTCTTGCCTTCGTTGCAGTATCCTATAAGAGCGGTTAGGTTCTTGTGATGAACTCTCAGGAGAAGTTCGACCTGATGATAAATAAGTGGATTCATATTCCTTTAATAATCCATAAATCATTTTATAAAAACTAGACCTTTAAAAGTATATAAGAAACTGACCTCTGCTCTGAACTCTTTGTAACCCTGAGCAGATGATTCAGATAGAATCTTGACAGCGACTTGGTCGTTATCTAAGACACCATGGTACACTTTTCCAAAACCTCCTTGTCCAAGAACTCTCTCAAAGTTGTTTGTAACTTTCACAACTTCTGAGTATTTGTAGTATCGTTTTTGTGTGTCCAATGGCCCGTTCCTGGCACCACCAGAGCCGCCTGTAACGATCTCATGAGAAGTTTTCTTACAAGCAATCCTAGAAATTACAGAACAAAATAATTAAGGATAGTTTCTTGATGTCTTTACCACTTTGATGTCTCTTCTTGTAAAGCAAGAACAAAGCTATTGCTATTACAAGACCAAACACTCCCACCACGGATGCTACTAAAGGAACAACATATGCACTCTTCTTTGTCTTCAAATCCAGAGTTTGACATGAAGCAGACACGCAGAGGTCTGAATTCCCTCCAAGTCTTACAAATTAAAATGCAGGAGACATGAACAGATAAACCCAACAGGCCAAAACTTTGAAATAATTGGTTCAACAGATACAGACCGTTTAAAAGACGAAGATAAACATGAACCAACCTCAGCGAAAGCGATCCATTGCTTGATCTCTCTATTAGTTTCACCGGAATAGCACCCGTTAGCTTGTTTCCTTCCAAGTTTCTGCAGACATGTACGTGACATCAATACAAAGTCTCCATGTAATATATGTCATATATCATTTATGCAATCTACAAATCCAGTTAGTAAAAACTTACAACTCCGTCAAGTTATGTAGATTTCCAAGGAAATCAGGTACTTTTCCTGTTAAACTGTTGTTTGATAAGTCCCTGAAATGAAATTTTTGGTTGCGTCAATTAAGGGATATCACAAAACTGTGTGTACTAAAGATTGAGATCAAATGGAAAATACAGACAGTTTCTGTATAAACGTAAGGTTGAAGAAAGCTGGATCAATCTCGCCAGACAAGCCACCTAAGGATAAATTCCTGCAGATCAAACAACTCTTATGAGAAGAAGAGAGACAGAGAGACAGAGAACAAAAACATATATATGCACTTGACGAAAGGCTTACACGGAAATGATTCTCGGAGACTCGTTATCGACATAGCTGCAGTCAATATCCTTCCAAGGATAGTTTACAGGTGCACAAGGGTCTCCAAGCCAGTTCTTCTTCACACCATACTTGGACTTGATTCTCATGATTGCATCAACTAGAATTCAAACCAAACATGGTTAAGCGCAAACTTAAAAGATTCTGTTTCTAGAAATTAACACATAAACATATACCATCTTGTTGATCAGTAGGTGGCTGAAGAAACTCGTTGACACGATACGTCTCAACAGCGTTGATGATTGGTGGGAGTGTAGAATTAGCAGTTCGTTGCAGACGGAACTCGTGGCTCGACCCAGTGACTGCATTCTGAGTGTAAAGTGTGTCTGTGTACAAGAAGCGAGGGCTAAAGTTTTCATACAGGTTAGTTTCATCATTCCAAAACACCGAAAACTCTCTCGTCTCGTTTCTTGGAATCTCTTGAACCTCAGCGAAATGCATGTACACGTAGTACTTCCACGAAGGGTTATCTGGTATCCAGTAGATGATTATGTCTACGCTTGCGTTCAAAGGTGTCGAAGCAGTGTTCATGATGGCACGAGCAGGCTGGAATCCATTGTTATTATTCGGATCTATCGTGAGGTTTGTACTGAGAACTCTATGATTTGGGAACTTTCGAGGATTCCATATACGATCATACACATCATCTTTGTACCTGAGAAAGCGTAATTTAGAACAGAACAAGCTAAGAGATGGTATGTACTATAACAGGACTTATGCTAACCTGACAGGACGGTCTCCGAGTGCCCCGAGATCCCATCTACGATTCAGCATGAGAGAATCATAAGGACTCTCGTATGTATCACTCCTCAAGAGTCTGAGTTCTAACGCAGACAGGAAAGGAGTTCCTCTGTCTTTATTGACAAGACACACATGAACATGGTCTGAACGAAGAGTGTAGATGATCTCTTTGCTTACTATAGTCGTTGCATTGTCTATAGTAACAGAATCCCAGAGATTGACCCCAAGATAGAGATCGAACTCTGGTGCTTTCCCGAGGTTATCGTAGTTACCGTACATGAAACGTGTTCTGATCAAATACTTGAAGCCTTTTCCCCGAGGAGGCTGCACATCGTAGCAGTTTCTCTTGCCTTCAGGGAAGCTCCTAACTTTTTGGAACTGCTTCTCAAGAGAAGTCGTCTGAAACTCAGGATCGATGTTATGGATTGTCCCGGACTCAACAAAAGCAGCATCTGAGACGTACTTAATGTCTGTTGTCTCATCGTTATAGCTTGAATCCTCAGGTATACCGCAATCGATACTGACAAAACCTGTAATTAGAAAGTATAAGCAACACAGAAACAAGCACACGTAGAGAGATAGCCAATAATATTATATATTTGCAAGACCTGATTGGTCTTGTGCACAAGCAAGAAGAACAACAGCAGCGAAGAAGCTTACGAACGGAAGAAAGTTGTGACGCACCATTAGTGATTGTGGCAGTTCTTGATCAGCACTTTCTTATGTAATTTACTGCCATTTTCTCTTCTGCAGTACTTATACAAAGCTGCTATTTTTTTTATCTTTCTCCAAATAGTATACAAATGTTTTCGAGTCAAAAGGAGCAAGTTGTGTTTTTTTAAAGAGTTTCTTTTTTTTGTCAAAATCATACCAACGACTTATGGTGGTCTTTGCTCATTTGAGAAATTCTCAAGTCGGTTGATTTTTTAGGGTTTTTAAAACCAAAGAGTCAGCTCTTATGATTAGTTGACCATGGAAGTTTCAAACTATCTATCATAAAGAAACTGCAAGTGGCTTAAACAAAGTAAAAAACAAATCTTTCTTCTATGCTTTAGCATACGGTTTAGTCTCCAAACAATGTAATCAGAATTTGATATGGAAAGGAATCGATTTCCGGTGTTAAAGGCTCTCTTAATAATAATTGGGTGTTTCCAGTACATCGAGCTAAATTTAGGTCCATGTATGAGAACCTTTAGAAAGATGAGGGGGTTATTAAGAAATAATCCAAAATGATCAGACCTGACATGTCATGAGCTTGGTGACATGGCGTTCATCTATTGGAGAGCTGACGCCAAAGTGGAAAGTCCATCGATTGATCAAAAGTTTCAGAACAACGAACAGGAAGAAGACGAATTTGTGCGGAGAGGCAGAGAAATAATAACTTCTACGTAAAGCTTTGATCCTTTGATAATGGCAGAGGAAACAGAAAAGGCGTCTTCTTCAACATCACAGCAATCATATGATCACGAGCAATCCGATAAAACCGGCCTTAAACCTCAGGTCTGTGTATAACCTCCTTTGATGAAATTTCCCAAATTGATTTGCCGATCTTTTTCTGTTTTGATGACGGGATGCTCTCTTTTCGGTGATCTGTCGCAGATTAGAGTTTCCGAATTTCGAATTTTCTAACTTTCAGACGATTTCGTGCAACTTCGATCTGATATGCTATTTTCAGAGTCAGGGTTCTTCTGAGTTTCGAGCTCACTCGCATGGTGATTTTCCGATGAGCCCAGTCTATTATCCGGCTCTTGTTCATGGATTGAATCCATTGCAGTACGAGGAAGAACAGATGATGAATCGTGGAGCTGGCATCTACGCGGTTCCTGTCCATACATTTGCAGGACATGTTGCTGGTCTTGCGTCTGACAATCTTATCCCACTTACATATTGTGTCCCCACGTAAGTAAAAGCAAAGCTCTTTTTATAGATTCATAATGCAGTTTGCTTTCTTCAAGTGTGACCTTTTTATTCATGGTAGGGGACATTGTTTCCATTGAATCGTAGCTAAAGGAAGCTAATTGGTTTTGTTGTATGGTGCAAAACCCATTTCAGGTGTCTTGTGGCAGCACAAGTTTAGAGGACAGAATTTACCTGTCTGCTTAATACTCAAATGTTCAGAGGAATAGAGGATTATAAAATAAAAAACCTTTCTTTTGTTAGTCTAGTGAGATCATAATAATGAATTGGTTACCTATGAGCTAACAGGTTAGAAAGAAGTTAGGTTGAGAGTTTAAAAATTCTCTCTTTTATCGCTATTTGTAATACTTCTTTGGCAGATTGAATGAAGAACAGTTTTACTGGTTTGAATTCTATTAGCGTAATGATTTGTTTTTATTTTTAGCTCTGGGCCAAGCAATGAGGAGGAGACTAGTAGGGGAGAAGTCCCAGGACAAGACGGACAACAACAGCAGCAACAACAACAACATGCTCATCAAAGGCGAGTCGTTGAATGGAGATTTGAGATTGCGTTTCAGCTCGACTTCTTGTTGATACTCAAGCTCGCTGCTGTAGTCTTTTTGTTCAGCCAAGATGGATCAAGACAAAGGCTTGCTGTTCTTGTGTTTTTCGCGACAATGATTTACCTGTAAGAATATGGGAAAATCTGGTGAATTTTAACTTGAGTGTGACATCAGCTCTATGTTGAGTATGTTGGAAGCCAATGTACATGACTCACGATTTAATATGACAGATACCAAACTGGAGCTCTTCGACCACTTGTTCAATGGCTTTCAAGCGTCATGCATAGAGCCGCAGCACCACCTCCTCGACCTCAAAGGAATGTCGTTAGAGCAGATAATGATCCAGTGGTCGAAGATGTCCCTGGTATGCATAATCAAGACAAATCTTAGTCTCTTATTCTCTATCTCTATCCGCCTCTCATGGTTATGATGCTTTCATATATAACATCTTATTCAGAAGCCGTTGCTATAAGATAACAGACTCTTCTTTATATGATTTGCAGAAGGACAAGGTAGGGAAGAAAACGAAGCAGAGAACCGAGCTAATGCAAACGAGAATGAGAACGTGGTTGGTCCTGAAGCAGGGAACCAATGGTGGGGGATAGTGAAGGAGATTCAGATGATTGTTTTTGGATTCATAACGTCTCTATTTCCTGGCTTCCACAACATAGACTAGATTTATCAATGTTTTTAACTTATTCAACATTAGAGAACTTGAACAAGTGTTGTTTGTCTGCTTCTAATCTAGGCTTCATCTCTCTTGTGTTGTAAATTAATGTACAGTAGTATTTTAAAATCGAACACAATCTTTTTTTTTTTCGTGAGTATTCATTAATTGTTATAGCTTATAATGAGAGTGAACCCATGATGAATTAATAACAGCTTCAGAAAACTCCTTGCAAATTATACTTGCAAACATTTAATTCGTAAACAGAAGCTTTCCTCTTTATTAGTTACTCTAAACAATATACATTACAAAATGTATATACAGAGCTGACTAAAGAGAAAATGATCGAGAAGCCAACACCTCATATCTCCGACAACAAGTTACTGATTTTCCGAAGCTCCTTGAGTGCTGTTGTAGCTGTAACTTGTCCCTTTTCGACCAAATTTGTTCTAGCTAAGCTCCCTATCAATCCTGCTTGAACCGGACGAGGTTCTTGTTGGAAAACCAACTCGATTAGCTGAAAATAAAAGAAGAATCATCAGAACATTCGAGGCTTGAAAAGTGGAATACTTTTACCAGTTCGATACTCCGTTTTACTGTCTTTCTACTTGTATTTTTGAATATATAAGAACTGAGATGTTACCTGAATGTGTTCGAGCATGGACTGGCCAAGTTTCTTCAGTCTTTTCATCAGATTCTGATCTGAGTCTCCCTTGCTACCAGAAGATAAAACTTGGGGATGGGGTTCAGAACAACAACCCACTTGATTTTCGTTACCTTCGACGTTGTTAGATTTTGTGGTATCAGAAGTGTTGCTATTAGAAGTCTCTTCACCGGATAGATTGCGTCCAAACTTCCAAAACCACTGGACTATTCCAGGTAAAAGCTTGTGCTCCTTAGTGATAATGCTCGCAGATTTATCTGTGGAATCTTCTTCATTTGATTGAGTTACTGGAAGAGGTATATCTACACCTGTTTGTTGACCTTTAAAGTTTTCATCAGGAAACGAATTTGAACCGGTGCTGCAATCTGAATCATTTCCAGTGTAATTTGAATCTCTGGCAGGATTGGTTGGTTCTGAGGAAACAGATGAGTTCTCTTCACTAAGTAAATCTTCGCTTTTATCTTTTTCATCACGAAACGATTCAGTACTGCTATCTGAATCGTTTTCAAGGGAGTTTGAATCTCTGACAAGACTGGTTGGGTCCAAGCAGACGGATGAACACTCCTCAGTGGGTGCATTTCCATTTATTATACTCTCTTCATCTGCAGAATGGAAATCCATAGTTCTTTCCTCAGTTTCTTGAGGATCACTGTCTTCCTTGTTCACAGTCACAGTCAAATTCTTACTTGCATTAGCTTCCTCTGGTTCAGGACAGAGCTTCTGAGACAAATCTTCATGCAAACTTCGTGCCGGCGATGAGTTTGCTTCTTTTTTCCAAATTTCTGTTTTATAATGTGATAGATCAGTCACTGCTCGGAAAAGTTTCGTTACCATCAACCACCTCGTTTTCTTCTGGGTAGTAGGAGGTCTCTGTTTCTCCGAACCAGTTTGCCTTTCTTCTTCTTGGGTTTGCTGTAGAACACTCCATTTCTCCTCCCAATAGCTTTCAGGTGCGATAACCAAAGGAGATTTAGGAGAAGTGGAGGCAGATGGAAAACTTTTAGTTCTTGCATGTACACAACTCCTCTGGTCGAAAACATTACTTAGCGACAGAGCTGATCTCACATTAGCATCATCCAAAACCAAAGCTTGTAACGACTTGGCCTTCTGTAGTATCTTGTTCACGTCAATGCTCTCTGGAAGATTTAAGAGTCTTTGTAGACAGCTTGTTGCATTTTCAGTAGAAAGCAATGAAGATCTTAAATATAATATCGTTGATACAGCCATTCCCGAGATTAAGGTTCCCCTAGGAGAATCGAAGATCCTGAAGCTGTGGCTTCTGTTATCCTCATCGTCTGTAACTGTTCTTGCACTGTTGTTATCTGCTGAAAATATCTCGTCCCACACTAACAAGAGATCCTGAAGCGAAAACTCTCTTCCGAACAAAACCCTCAACCAACGAAGACCAAAGTATTGGGGCTCAACTCCAAGTTCAACTAGATGGCTGTGCAGAGATGAATCAACAACAGCCAAAAGACGATAAAATGCAGTACACGCTTCGAGAACTGGAGGTAACCCGGTGTGGGATCCCTTGGCTGGAGAGTAGCCAAAAAAGCTAGCCATGGCGACACAACCTTGAACACCATTCATTAGAGCATCAAACATACAGTAAGCATCATGTTCCATGAATTTTTCAGACAAGACAATGCCAAGTTCACCTTCTGCCCCATAAGAATCGCTCATCATCACAATGGACTGGACTTCAGGATCAAGCTCATCTAGACTCTTCATCTTCTTCGAATACCCATGGGAACTAATCTCGTCATCGTCCATGGAGTCCATATACTTGTTGAAATCAAAGGTGTAACTGATATCTCTCTCCTCGAAAGATAAACTATCAAATCTGTCGGTAAAATAATCTTCATAGCTTTTACGCACTTCAGAAAGACGCTTGACATCAACATGCAGCACATAAAGGAGCGGTGCCAAAAGCTCGTGCATTCCTGCAAAGAAAACCGCAAACAAGCAGATGATACATAAGCAGTTGAACTCTTGGCACGAAGTGTTTGTTAAGATAATTAGCTCACGGTAAGAACAAAAGGAAGGCGCAAAACAAGTACCTTGCCTATAGCCATACTCTGGATGCTTAAGGCACCACAACAATAGAATGCGTCTTAGCATGCCTTGACACCCAGGCGCTTGAAAATAACACCAATGTTCTGGATATAACCTCGATAAGTCTTGGTCGAGTGTTTTTTCCAACTCAGCGTTACGAAAGAACTGACCCCATGTGCTATCTGCATACAAAGATGGCTCAGTTATGAGTATGTTCTACTTTAAACATCTCACATTTACAAAACTAAAAACTGAAAAATATAGTTTCAGATTTCTCTTTCTTGGCTTTAGGACTACATGTTTGAACAAAAATCAAAGACCTCTAATGATGGCTTATCAGGCCACTCTAAAGATAATTGATCGAAATTAGGTTCTGTGTGAGCAGAGGAGACAGAAGCTTACCAGGGTTTTGGGACAAGGGGTTGTCGATGAAGAGATTAGGGGAATTGCTATCATGTTTGAGTACATGTGGATCCATCAAGAGTCTTGTCCTGAGAAGAGCATATCTACATGACAAACATTGCACTAAACATATTATCATTATGATGATAAGGAGCCATCACTCATTAAAATCATTTCTTTGGAATGGCTTTTTTCTTAAATCTTATGGTGTATGAGATTCAGTGTTCATGAACAGATCAATCATTACAGCAAGTTACCTTCGGCGACAATCGGCTGTTGCTCTGCGAAGTTCATCGATTGAAGAAGCGGAAGACGGAAGAACTCCGAGATTCAAGCGCCACTGAACTCCCCTGAGACTGGCGAAACGACGATCTGACTCTGACTCGTCTCCTCTGCTCAAAACCAGAGATTCCGGCATGGCTGGCTCGATCTCCGACGGAGCCATAGAGCTTAATCTTCTTCTTGCTTTTTGCTTCTCTATGGGCGAGAGAAATCTCCGACAAGTTGAAGAATTTCTCCAGAGAATCAATCACACAGCTCCTTGGAGTCGGAGATTAGTACGCAAACTATAACCAAACAAACCATAATCAAGAAATGATAATTCTTCGCCAAACCATAGCAAAATCACAAAAATTTCTCCCTGAAACTAGTACATACAGTTGATAATCAAGGTAGACCGGCTAAAATCGAATCGAAACCAAAAAATTAGGAGACAGAGAGAGAGAGAGCTTGTTCTCTCTGTCTTTCCAGTATCAAGCAAAACGTAGCGAGAGAGAGGTAGAGATAGAGAGAGAGGGAAATTACGTGAAAGGTTTAACAGGGCACCTCCATTTTCTCATGCTTCGACTTTTCGTTGAGAGAGAAGATGATGGGATTAAGAAGATTTAAAAGGGAGAAGAAAATATGAATTTTGTCTGTTGCGTGAGATTCCAGGAGCAAAGTGACGACGATGATGATTGATTGATGAAGAAGCAGCCAGCTAAATGCTAATTAATTACTTTTATTTTCTCTTCTTCTTTGTTAATTGTTATTTGTACGACGAAGTCCTGAACCTAAAAATAGGTATTAGCATTAAATTATAATTATTAGTCACCTTTGTTATTTCAAAAAATAAAAAAGCCATTTAGTTTAATTACCCTATAATCACTTTTCTAATGATAAAATGAATTGACCATCTCTGCTTATAGGCCTTTAAAATTCATTGTGTTATTTTTCAACTATAATAATAAATCTAGAATCTTTCTGTATCTCATGAACAAATTCAACTATAATCTTTCTGTATCTAACGAAGAATGGCACACCAGAAGAAGGCGAAGTTCGATGCTTGACGCGAATCTGGAGCGATTGGAGCAGTTCTAAGATCGACTCCGTCGGAGAATCAGGTATCAATTTTTTATACGAGACCCAAAGTAAGAAGACGGGATTTGATTGGGCAGCAAAAGAGAGTGATTCTTTGAAGACGTCTAATTTGATTCGTGAAGATCTTCTCTGATTTGGGCAGTTATGTGTTGTTCGCTCACAAGGATTCTACATGTTGATGAAGTGGATGAGTTTGCCTTCGGAAAATCAACAGCTTGCCGATGACAAGCAGAATGCTTACAAGGTGTTCGACAATATGCGTTCCAAGTTAGAGCAGATGAAACTAAGGTAGAAGCAAGGGAAAATGCTTTAAATTTGTTGAAGAAACAAACATCTTTCAAAAGCTGGGAACTTCAGTCTTGTGTATGTGAAGCAGAATGTGCATCCAAGTTATGACTGTGAGTTAAGGGCCATGGTGATGGTAATTCAACTAAGGAACCAGTCCTTCTTCGGCATGCAGCTTAAGGTTGAGCAGAGAACAGAGATATGTGTTTGATACAAGTCTGAAGAATGGCAAGAGGAAATAGGGTCAGTCTTGGGAATATATTGTGTCTTGAGGATTTGTGTGTTCGACAAGTCTTTAAAGCAGAATGTTTAGCCAAGTTATACTGTGAGTTAAGGGCCATGCAACAAAGGAATCAGTCCTTCTTCAGCATGAGATTGATGGCAAGAACAGACCACACGAAAATGGAAATGAAGAGTTACAAGCGGATACTCCCGACTGGTCAGGTCCAACAATGAGGTATACACTTCACAATCAACAGTCCTTTGAATTTCCGAGTCATATATTGAATTAAAGATGTCTACTGGTAAATGGGTGTTGTTCCTAAAGAATAAAGATATTTTGATCACAATGCTTCTTTTATTGGTGAACCTGAACCCCATGGAAATTGATCAGTCAGAATATATATATGTATGTATGCTCCCAACTTAGTGGATAAGCGTGTGTTTTACCTTTCTTCTCTCTGCAGGATACATACAGTGAATTGGCTTTTGGTCGACCACCTTCTCATTATACAGTGATTCCACTAGTGGCTGTTTTTATCTGATGATTGCCCTTGTTTCTCTGGGAGCTATTCGGAAAGAACTGTCTTTTTACATGAGCACATGTTTGGAGACGAAGACTGAGGTTTGAATAACAGATACACACTTGTAAATATGTGCATCCGGCTGGAGAAACACCAGAAGAGGAGGAAATACTCTCTGTGGAAGATGAAGGTATAAGTTCCATTTTTCAGACTTCACAGAGATATCTGATTGCTTGGTATAAATTTTCTGACTGCTGGCATATTGTACCAGGAGCTTCATGAGGTGTCGGCAGAAGCATGAGGGACATTCTTTCATAAAAGTTGGATTTTGAACCAAAGAAGGTAGCTCTGACAAAAGCATTTGTTTTCAATTGGTATAGGAGTCCAGCATCCAAAATTAGAATGTGTTAGGTTATAACATGTTCATTCAGATAGCTAATAAACATTGGTTTCTCAGGTCAGCAAATGGTGCAGTAACAGCAACATATGACGTTAAGGAGTAAGAAGGTGGGCGCTAAGATATCTAAAAGGTTTCTCTTGACAGCCTCAGTATTCTAAAGGCATTCTCTGAAAATTCTGGGCTTATATCAAAACAATCAGGGCAAGGCTGGATTAATCAGCCTTAAAGATTCCGCAAACGAGACTGTCTCACTCAGCAGGTAAGTGTCCCCTCTTCTTCCTTAATTCACATATTAAAAGACACAATAGTGACAACATAATTAGTTCTTATAACTGTTAGGTGTAAGTCATGAAATAGTATTGCTCTCATCACTTCTGCTTTGTCTGACCATTGCAATTAGTAAGCACATTCATTTTGCAGCAAGTACTAATTGTCACATCTTTGTAATTGTCTGAGTTTAGTCCCTTGACAAGCTTAAGCAACGATATGAGCTTAAAGCAACTTCTAGGAGACAAGAGGAGGACGACTTTAATTGAAGCGGTGGTAGGGAAGCTTTGTTTGGACCTGAAGCACCATGCTACTGAGATTTAGAACACAGAAAGTCCAGGAACTGCTTAGGCAAGTCTTCTTGTCTAGGATCCAATATATTTGTATCTTCCCATAGCAGAGAAATCTAAGCTTCTTGGAGACATGTTGTTGTTATGTTGCAGAATCAGATGTAGTTTTTGTATTGTTTGATCGATGATCCTCTTGGAATGAATATGTCCAAGGACACATGTAGCTTTGTACAGTTTGTATGTATGTATAAATGCCAGAAAATAACTTTTGTGTTTCTTAATTGTTATTTGCTCCCAATATGGTTTTTAAAATTATTGAAGAAATCTGTTACTCTTTTTTACTGGTAGATTCAGGGATTAGAATGCAAGAAATTAAAAATCCAGACCCTTTTTACACAAGAAAAAATTGTGAGCGGTGAAATTATAAATCAGATTTTGAAGCTATATATGAAGAAAGTCCACAGAAAAATCAAAGAAAAGCTGTTTTGCCTCAGAGAGAGAGAGAGAGAAAGAGCGATTAGTTAAAGAGAGAGAGATAGAGAGAGACGATAGATAGAAAGTTTGGAGAGAAAGAGCTTGCCGTTAGTGAAAGGATTGTGGCAAAGTGCAGAAGAACGCCACAACTCGGAGAAGCCCAACGAGCGATTTCTCTTGCCTCTTCGTAGTCATCTGGTAAATGCGATTGTTCTTCTCTTCTTCTTGCACGAAACTTGTTTGTGTATATAGCTCTCATTGTATTGTTGCTGTTTCGTACTTGATTCGAGTGTTGATTTGTGAGATATATGTGCACGTTTATGCATTACTGGAATCGAATTTTTGGTGTTTAGTCTCCGATGGTTTTTGTGCCCATTGATTGTGTTCTAGGGTTTCATGAGAAGGAAGTGTATCGTCTGTTGTGAATTGCTCAGGCTAGGGATGACGGAAACATTGAATTTGTTCAGAGATTGCTTAGATTTGCAACTGGAATTTTAGCATAGAAGAGAATTTTGATTATTGCTTAATCGTTTAAAGATGTTATAGATATGCTTAGCTTGAATCAAAAGTACGGAATCCATGTGGTAGCGGTTTAAAGGTGCATGGGTTTCCAGATTTGAGTCAAGTTAGATCCGAAACTTTGTGGTTTTCTAAAGTTGGATGGTGTGTTTGGATCTGAATAGTATCCAAGAACACCCTTAGCGAGGATTAAAGTTTTTTTCTGGGTGGAAATTTTGCATTTTATCACTAGATGGATCAACTGGGTTTTTCATGTGAGATTGAAGATGATCAGAAAAATATGTGTGGGTTTAGAATGCAATACCCCAAGATTATCTAAATAACAATCAAGAGAGCAATGTGTTGGACTCAAATTCTTGTATTGTGAAATTGATCCAATTTAGTAAATAGAAGAGAGCTTATGTTTCTCCGGCTTTGTTTTCTTGCATATTGACTCTATTCCATGTTTTGTTTTCGACATTTAGGAGATCAGAAGGATATGGGATTCCACAGGGACCACATGAAGAAGTGATGTGCTTTCAGATACTTTTTGGGTTTCTCAGGCAAATATGTTGGTGGAAAGTTCCTTCAGCTCTTCCGTTGAAACTAGTTTAATGAACGCATCCGAGTATCAAGACCCATTTGCTGCATATGATTGGGTGTCGCTTTCTGAAACTTATCAGATGCTCCACAAATTTCCCGTACGGCCTCAAGTAAGCTCTCTTGAAGATGTTCCAGTCCCTGATGCAATGATTCTTGATGAATCAAAACATCCAGAACTTCAAGTAAGTTGTCCAGAGCAGTCTGTTATGCATAAGGTAACAGAAAAGTCTCTGACTTCTTTTGTGTATAGTCGAAGGAAGAGGAGCGTTAGTACTGCAGAACTTAACCCAGAAAAAAACAAGAAACAGGATGATTTACTTGATGACCCTATTGTCCTATTACCTAACCCTGGAGAAAGCACAAAAAGGAAAAATCGATTCAACAACTGTCTTGTCTACAGCCGAAAGAAATGGAGAGGGAAGTCCAGCTGCAGATTTACTGGAGAAACTACGATAAGGGTTGATGGAATTGCTGATGCATTTGTCTCTGAGCGTGACTCTGGAGAAACCAAGCCAAGAGGCAGCCGATTAGATAATTGTCTTGTGTATAGGAGAAAGAAAGCTAGATCAAAATTTGTTAGTTGCAGTTTTAGCGAACATGTCTCTGGAGGAACCAAGATAAGCGGTGATCAATGTGATTCTTCTGCACATAGCCAAAGGGAGCAGCAGATAGTGAAAGCTGATGGTGCTTTTACTGGACCTGTTTACAGCCAAAGCAAAAAGTTAGCGAATGGCAATATTAGTAAAAGTCATATTGGGGAAACCAAGAAGAGTAATGGTGATAGATCTGATGTCTTGCTTATGTATAGCCGGAGGAAGCAGGGAGGGAAATCTATTGGTACTAGGGTTAATGGCTTTCTAGTATATACCCGGAAGAACCCCAAAGTGAAATCCAGAGGTGCTTTTGCTGGACATGACCCAGGAATAAAAAGGACTAATGATGCTCTTTCAGTTACCAAAGTGACATGTTCATCTGATGGAAGAAATGACAGCTGCTCGTCATTGAAATCCAGTTCTGAACTTGCTTCAGGTTCCCATGAAGCTACAGATTGCTATTCCTCTGATGCTGAAGTGTCTGAGACAGATACAGACGGTAGTAGCAGCCCTTTCAGACGGTGCAGACGTTGTGATAAACCAGGAACTGTTGAAAAGATGCTAATCTGTGATGAATGTGAAGAAGCATATCATACAAGGTGCTGTGGTGTTCGAATGAAAGATGTTGAAGAGATTGATGACTGGGTCTGTCCATCATGTTCGAAAAAGAAGCCATCGAAGGGCAAAATTAAGGGTAGAACTTCACAGGAAAGGAAATGGAGAGTTACAGAACCGTTCGTAATAGGAATTCGAATAGGTAAACAGTTTCAAGCAGATGTTCCGGACTGGTCAGGTCCAACAATGAGGTATGCACTTCAACAACAATCAGTCATATTTGAATATCTGATTGTGCTATCGAGTAGTAGATGAGCGTTGCCTTTCACCAAAATGAGTGGCCTTTGTTTGTTTGGTTGATTTCAATGCAGTGATACTTCTTTTGTTGGTGTGCCCTTGGAAATTGATGAGTCAGAATATACTCATGTAAGCTCCTAACTTAGTGGGTAACAATTTGTTTACGTTGCCATAGAGTTAAATGGATTTCAGAGCCTTACCATTCCTCTCTCCTTGCAGGATCTCACGAAGGCCACGAATGGTAAGAAACCACGTTCTCCAGTAAATTGGCTCCAATGCAGAGAGGAGGATAGTAATGGAGATATATGCGGAAAGTGGCGTAGGTAACGTGAACAATTTGGCATTGTTCCTTTTCTTGGCTCATACTCTCTTCTTCCATCTATCTTGCTATCTATTGCCATTTTCATCACGATGATTCCCAGTATCTTCTTCATTGGTGTAAATTGAATTAAGTAGTGTGCTTAATTTGACTACTGGATATACACAGGGCCCCTAGATCGGAGATACAGACCAACGACTGGGAATGCTTCTGCTGCGTCTTTTGGGATCCATCGCGTGCTGATTGTGCTGTCCCACAGGTCGGAAACTCTCTTATCAACTACTCTTTGTATCTTCTTTTCCTCAAAAAATGAATTCTTTCAAGGGTGAAAAGTTAGTAGCTGTGTGAGCTTTTAAGGAGTGTAATTTCCCTTGTCTTAGCTTCATATTAGTCCATGAACGTGTCGTTTGGATTCTTAAGACAGATTGCATACAGACTCCAAATAAACTTTATCAAAGCTAATACATTATCGTGTGTATGTTTCTTCAGGAACTGGAAACAAGTGAGATCCTTAAACAACTCAAGTACATCAAGATGGTTCGTTATCTTTCTCATTTGCTTGTTTGATTGTTTGATATTTTTCAGTCTTCTACATCCTCTCTCATCAAGGATCTGAAACAGAACTGTCGTTTTCCTCTGCAGCTTAGGCCTCGTTCAGACGCCAAAAGGCGAAAGCTAGGACCAAAGGGTCGGAGCAAATCTCATAACAAATGAAAATCTTCATAGAAAGAAGTTTAGTGACGTTATATGAACAGGCTTTTGGATAAGAGACTCTAGAAACTAGAAAGGTAGTTACAGAAATTTTTTCTTAAATCGCAAATGTGTTTTTTGTACGGCTTGCGAAGCTTCAGGATTTTGAGATGCTCTATAAGAGAGGTGATTAGGTTCAGGTTTTTGTTAGTCTCCCCCAAAGCAGGAGTAGTGAATAGATCTTTTGTATTTCAGATACAGGTTCTGAGTTAAATATGAGGATCATTTTCAAAGTGATAAGGCATATACACAGCTTGTGGGTAGATCAAAGCAATTCGCTGAGAGTATAGATTCATACAAGAAAATGGTAAAAGATGGTAAAAGAACAAAAGTTACAGAAAATCTGTTGCCAGTTTCACAAATTGAGAGAATCAAACAAAGAGAGCAAATAAATCACCATCCGTATTTAGCTTGTGTCTCGGCTTTCGTAAGCAATCCTCTTGAACGTCTCTCTGCTAACTCCGTCTCCTTGTGCTTCATATCCATGAATAACGATGTAATCTGATGCTTCCTCTTGTGAAGCTTTGACACTTTCCCCTTAGCCGAAGATGACGCTGGCTGCAACACCAAAAAATAAAACAAGAACGCATTTAGAAAGGCGATACAAAGAAAATCTCTTACAAGTTTCATATTATGTCAAAGTAGTTGTCTTCCTGTTAAATTCACATAACCAGACAACTCTGAAGTTCTTGCAGCAAAAACATCTCAAAGAAGAGAAACAAACCTACTTTATTTGCTTTCTACGGTTAAGTTTCTCTAACATTCATCATCCTATATGCTCACTAATGAAAGAAAAATAGCTTTTGATTCACCAAATCACACAGCAATCATAGACCCTAAAGACAAAACCCAAGTTCTTGCAGCCAAAAACATCTCAAAGAAGAGCAGAGAGTTTAGAAGAAGAAGCTAAACAAACCTACTCTATTTGCTTTCCACGGTTAAATTTCTCTAACATTCATTATCTAAGGAAAGAAAAAGAGCTTTTGATTCACCAAATCACAGCAAGAACAGACCGTAAAGACAAATCCCAAGTTCTTGCAGCCAAAAACATCTCAAAGAAGAGTAGAGAGTGTAGAAGAAGAAGCTAAGCAAACCTGATACGCAGGTCCAAAGGCGATTCCGGTTGATTTAACCTGATCAACTCTGGGCCTATTCTTCATGAGCTCATCTTGCTTGACCTCAACTATCTCCGTTGGAAAATCGTTCCTCCCTCTCCTTCCTCTCCTCGCGCCACTATCCATGGCTACAAACGCTTCGGGCAATCCCGTTGTTTCCTCAATCGCAACACCATTCCAAGTATTACCTCCATAGCTACTACCATCGTATCCAACATAACCAGAAGCACCTCCACTACCACCACTAGGGTTTGTTTCGTATCCACTATAACCAGCATAATAGTTATCTACTCCAGCAGTTTGATCCGTTTCGGTGCTATGACTAAGCGACTCATAGCTCTGGCTTTGATCAGAACCTGGTTCCGTTTGACTAATGGCAGGTGTTTCTGTTTCGAGGTTCGATCTTCGACCTGACCCTGATCCCAGCGAAGGAAGAGCGCCGAGTGCTTGCGAGCTCTTTGGTGCAGGCATGGCGGATAAGAACGATTTCACTGATGAATCGTGCGATTCCGCAGCAGACTCCATCTGTCTACGCTTCTTCCTCGCTTTCTCCTCTTCTTCGTCGTCATCATCTAGATTGCTCGGTTTAGGGTTTACGGGAAGCCTGATCTGAACGACTCGTTTAGGTAACGCCGGAATTGAAGACGGAGCGGGGGTTTTCTGCCGAGAAATCGAGGATTTTGGAGGTGGGAGAGAGGAGAGGAAAGAAGAAGGTTTCCCTCGAGTGGAAGAAGATGAACCAAAAGCCCCATCTTCGGAAGATCTGAATTCTTCTTTGGGTTGAGGAAGAATCGAGAACAGAGACGATTTTACGGTGAAAGATTCTCTCTGTGGTGGGCGTTGTTCTTCTTCTTCGTCCGATGAAGCGTAGCTCGCTACCAGAGAGTCCATTAGAGAGAGAGAGAGAGAATTTGCCCGTCGCCGTCGCCGAGATATGTCGGAGTATTTGAATAGGCTTTTTAAGAAAAGCTCAAAGGCCCATATAAAAGCCCATTCATCAAGCCGCAATCAAAGTGGATCGGTTTTTCTCTTTTTCCACCCTCTACAACTGTTGGCCCGTTAAGGCCCATGCCAACGTTCCTTGTTCCCTACGCTTCGTCGGACGGAGAAGAAGAAGAACGTCTCTGATGATGTCGTCGTCGAAGCCTGATTCTGAAGAATGAACCGCTTTCGAGGAACTACAGCAATGTGATGACTCTAAACGAGTTGGTCGGAAAAGAGAGAGAGAAAATGTCAGATCCGGTCGAAGTGAGGTGGGCAGAAGTGTGTATGTCCGGGAACCTAGTTTATATTTCAAAAGTGTAGTGTAAGAAAAAGCTATTTTTAAAAATATAAACCTAATTGATTATATTTTATATTTAAATTAATACTTTTTTACCCAAACATTCATTAGATGTGGTCTAAGTTTCTCTGAACTTTTATATTGAAGGTTCAAAATTTCTAAACATTTATGTTACAAAACCTAAAAAATTATACTCAAAGTTTTTTTTCTCAGCTCTTAATTTCATTGGGTGGATTGGGGGTGAATTTCTTACATATTTAAGAGGAATTATTGGTAGAGAGATTTGTAATGATTGTTAAAATTTTAAGATTTCATTGTTATGGTACATCAATTTTAGCATTCTTACTAAAATTCATTGCTATTCAAAAAGTTTGATCTTTAATGATGATTCTATCAATCTATTAAAAATTTGATTATTGGAACAAAGATTATTAATAATTTACCTTATTAAACAAAACTTTCAAAATAATATCTATATACCTTAGATTCATAAAATTTTTAATTATTCATTAAAGATTTTGACAGTTTTTTTAAATATTCATAACTCTCTTTAAATATAACTAACTCTTTACAAATTTAATAAATCATACTCCCACTAATATTTCTTTAGTAATCCTACACTCCGCCGTCATTATATAGCTCATTTTTCTTTTTGTTTATCTCTTAATACTCCTCATTTTTTCTCATTCAGTAATCAATCTCACAAAGAAAAAAATGGAGATTACCTCTCGTAAATTCTGTTTATTCTTCTCATTTATCTCTCACTATTCGTTCTCCTTCTCTTACTTGTTTAGTTATCAGTATCACTAAGAAGAAAAAATAGAGATTACCTTCGGTAAATTCTGTTGTTAGTGATCATGTGAACAACTTGTGCAAATAATGGATCTTGTGAACAAAGTGTTTATGTTCACATTCGTTTACTTAATGAAAATTGCAAAAAAATAGCTGGACACTATTGCTTTCTAAAACTGTCACAGGTTGGAACTAATCGTTCATATATTTTTAAGGTTTTTTCCCTTTTGAGTTCATAGCTATATTCTTGTTACTTCTTGTTTAGGCTATCGGTTTCTTGAGTTTAAGATTTTTAGTTCTTGTTGCTTTTGTATAAAAATGAATTTTACAAATACTTAAAAAAAGATTAAACTAATTAACATTCGATTTGTGTTCAAAGCTACTCATACTTCTTCAGCAACATAGATTGAAGAGCTTAGTTGAGGTTGATCTCCATTCAACCAAAGATGTTTGACATAGTTCTAACTTATTCCTAAACCAACACTAAACCAACATTAAACCAATAAACCAAATCATGAAATCTGAGGATTCAATGTCGAGAGATGAGAGATGTCAATCTAGTAAGAAAGAAGAATAGTGGACACCACCAAAAGTTGCAAGAAGCCAGGAACTAGTTGAGGATCAGTGGCTCTGTCTCTAATTGTAGTGTAAATCAAGGAATGACGATGACGTGTAAACCAAGTTTATATATAGAGCTTACTTTGACCTAAAATGTCAAACGACAGAGAAAATCCCTAAACCGATTCTTTTTTTTTTCAGATTCTTTCAACTTTTAAATTGATTATGTACGAAATCCACTAAGCAGGAAATGATTTCTAAACGTCATTGACATATAATGTCAAGACTGTCACAAACACAGTAGAAATCTATTTGAGGAAAACAGACACAAAGCTTCCCAACTGAATAATTGCATGCTGCTTGCTGCAAGATGGGTGATCAGTAGGAACGTCGGCGATTCTTCTCTCACGTCCAAATATTAATTTCTTTATGACAAAGAAAACCCCTAAAACCCATTCCTTAGAGGATAATGAAATTAATATGTTTAATTTCCTTTTCTGATAAGGAAACATCTGTCTTATGCTGTGTATAAATTACTGTTGTGTAATCTGAGTTTTGATCATACAAATCGCAAAGTGCAAAAGATGTCGGTCACGGCGGGAGTGAGCGATGCTGCAATTGCTACAAGGGAGAAACTACGAGGTGGGATCGGACGGACTAAAGTGAGAAGATATTGGCCTGGAAAAGCTCCCAAGTGGGCCGAAGAAGATCATGATGATGATGTTTTGGATGGAGCTTTTCAAAAGCATGATGATCATGATTCCGGTTCTTCTATGAATAAGGATGATCCAAGGCTGCGCCGTTTAGCTCAGAGCAGAGGTGAAAACCGTGAACAAGCTAGAGCCGATCATCGGCGAGTTAGACAGCCGGCTGAGATTATATCTACAGAAGAAGAGTTGATGAATCAAGAGGGTAGTGATGATGAGGAAGATGCCCTTGAAGAAAGAAGATCAAGAATCAGAGAAAAATATCTTAAAAGAGGAGCTCAAGAAGAGGCTGATCTACTTCCTGTAGAAGAAGAAGAAGAAGAAGAAGAGGAGGAGTCCGAGTACGAGACTGATTCAGAGTACGAGATGTTCGGTATCACCATGAGCAGGCCTGTCTTTGTACCAAAGGCTGAGAGAGATACGGTAGCGGAGCGTGAGCGACTCGAGGCTGAAGAAGAAGCTCTTGAGGAGTTAGCAAAGAGGAAACTAGAGATGAGAACAGCAGAGACAAAGCAAATAGTGGTTGAGGAAGTTAGGAAAGACCAAGAGACACAGAAGAGCTTGCTCTTGGAAGAAGCAAATAATATTGGAGATGTGGAGACAGATGACGAGATGAATGAAGCTGAAGAGTACGAAGCTTGGAAGACAAGAGAGCTTGCTAGGATCAAGAGAGAAAAAGATATGTCGAGAGAGAAGGAAGAGATAGACAAGCTGAGGAACATGACGGAGCAGGAGATGGAGAATCCAAAACCTTCATCATCATCATCATCATCGTCGTCAGCTAAACCGAAAAAGAAATGGAAGTTTATGCAAAGATACTACCACAAGGGCGCCTTCTTCCAGGAGACAGGAGGATCTGTTGAAACTGACTGTATATTTCAGCGAGACTACTCTGCACCAACCGGAGAAGATAGGTTGGAGAAATCGGTTCTGCGCGAAGTCATGCAGGTCAAGAAGTTTGGTCACAGTGGAAGATCTAAATGGACTCACCTTGTCAATGAGGATACAACATATGGTGACAAAAAACCGAAAAAGGAGGATGGAACAACAAAGTGGAGTGACCCGTGGGATTGCAATGGATTGCTACGCCAAAAGTACAAGAGGAAAATGGCAGTCATGGATGCTCTTCCTATTGCAAGACCAAAAGGGTGCAAGAAGATGAAAGCTTGGTGAGACTATCGAGTTAGATCCAATACTAGTGCAATGTCGTATGCTGCAAGTAAAGTAACTTCTTTCTCAATTATGTAACCTAAGATTTCTACTACTTTGCTTTAGTTTGAAATCAGCTCTTATTTTTACTGTCATAATACATAGTTACATAACTAACAATTTAGAGCAAAAATAAGGTCAAGCTTATTAACATTTAATTTGTGTTTTTAAAACTACTGATACTTTGTAATTGACGTAGCACAGTTTTGAGATTTCAATAAAGATAACAAATTCGAAAGAGGGTAATAAATGTCTTTTCTTAACCAGCAAAAAAGGTTTCAATTTAGGATCATCTTAAATTAAAAAAACATCAAGCGGCGCTCTCTTTCTTGAGCTTTGCAAGTTCCTGCCTCACCACACCAGCCCTCTGCAGCAAATGAACACATGAAAAACCATTCAATAGAGTGATTAAGATACGTACATGACTATAGCATTAGCATTAGAAACTTATCACTGGTTTTAAGGTTTGACATATTCCTAAGATATCAGTTATCACTCATAAATCGACCTAACATCTACCTATCTTTCGTGTATTAACATGGCAGGATAGGGATCAAGGTATGTGTGATTGCAGTAAAACAGAGATCTAATACTGACACTGACCTTGATTTTGGCCAACATGATCTTGAACCGATCAAAGTCATTGAGGGCAGCTCTTCTCTTCTGCACTATCAGCTTCCTACCCCATGAACTCTTCTCCCACTTGTTCTTCACATCTGCATAAGTTTTGAAGGTTATAGATATGACCAGACCAGATACGACACTTCTAATGTCAGAAATAGGTATGCTATGCAAAACAAAACTCACCAGCTTTCTCCATTGCCTCGATCAGATTCTTCTTCTTAGGCACTCTGTTGATATCAATCACGATATCGGTAAGAGACAGCCTCTTCAAGTTCATCTGGATCCTCTCCATGCCAGGGGCGTCCACAAGAGCCTACAAGTAGACGGACATAACAATTTAAAGACAATCAGATACTAAAGACATACAAGAAAAGCTCAACATAGTGGAAACAAACACTTCTTTACTAATACAACATGAAAGATTACTAATCTGAACTGAGTACAGAAATGAGAATGCAATCAGATACCATCGACATATAAGAACCAAAGGAATCGTGATACAGTGAAACATACGACTCGAGGACAAACAGATTTATGAGCAATGCAGCTGAAAATTTGTTCTTTAAAAGTAAATGAGTCTCGTGTTATACAGAAATGAGAATGCAATCAGACACCATCGACATATCAGAACCAAAGGAATCTTGATACAGTGAAACAAACAGATTTATGAGCAATGCAGCTGAAAATTTGTTCTTTATAAGAAAATGAGTCTCGTGTTATACAGAAATGAAATTGCAATCAGACACCATCGAGATATCAGAACCAAATGAATCTTGATGCAGTGAAACATACGACAAACAGATTTATGAGCAATGCAGCTGAAAATTTGTTCTTTAAAAGCAAATGAATCTCATGAAATAGCACTATAACCAAAACAACAAAGGCAGAACCTTTTTTACAGATCTACAAACTTCAACTGATACTTCCTTACTCTTAACCAAATCAACAATCGTTCATCTGAGAAAAAGGGACCCAAAGATAATTACCCTGTTTTGGTCGACGACATCGACGATGACGACGAGCTTCCCATAGTCCTTTCCGAAGTTAACGAGAGCCACTCGTCCTATCTCGACGTATCTCTTGAAAACCTATACAAGGGCAAGAACAATCTATGAACACAACAAATATAACCCAAAAAAACAAATCGAATGGGTATCTATGAATCGGAAGAACGAGGCTTCACCATTTTTTTCGGTTGAGCTGGTTCGCTTGAAGAGAAGGAGAGACGAGAGGCGCAAAGGAGTAGTTCTAGGGTTTCTCTTAAGAGAAGCTAGATATGCATAACTAGCCAATTAGGGTTTTTGTTATGGGCTTTAAATTTAGATATAAGCCCATTGAAGGAGGGCCTGTCTTTCGTCATTCGAGCAGAAGTCAAAATGTCCAAAATTGACTCAACTTGCCTATTCTGTAAACAATCCTTCTGCCTGAACGAGAGGGTTCCAAAAACTCAGGTGGTATTAGATCCACCGCGTTTAATTATTTAAAAATTATGTTTTCTAAATTTTAAGTTAAGAAAATTCTAAACTAACTCAGATGCATATAGTGTATATCTTTATAAGCAATCCTTCTAAATGAACTATATAGTTCCAAATATTTAAATATTCTATTAGTGAATCTTGGTCATATAATCATGTTAGACCAAAATAGATATGTACATATATATTGAAGAAGCAAATGTTTAGAGAATAGCATTTTTTGACGTTTTTGTTTTTTCGCGAATAATACTAGTTTTGAGACAATATTACTGTATTTGACATGACTGTTTATAAAGATATTGTCAAATAGTAATAAATATATTAAAAGCAACAACTTGAAATTTGATAAAATCTATAAACATATATTTTCTTACAACTTATTATAATTTTCAAACTTTAAACTTTGTAAAAAATCATAATCTAAAACATTTACCGAATCTAAATCTAAAACATACATAAAAACGTTAATAATTTGTATATTATTATAATTTTTTGGTTTTAATTTTTTTTCAAAATGTTTATTAAAAAAATTAGTTACTTTCAAAACAAGCAAGCCGCATGTACTCTTGCATTCATTTCCATTAAGCATAACAACTTTTTTTTTTGTGGAGAATTTTTTTTTTTATATATCTTAAAGTCTTGAAAAAATAGTATTGGCAAAGCATCCGAAAATTGCTATAATCAAGATATATATGTTATGCTTAATGGCTCCTCCTTAGCCGCCACTGTGGCTATTCAATGCAAGTCTCCTATTACCCCAGGCTTGCAGCACTCTTAGTGGCACAGGTTTCTTCTTCAGTGTTGACAGCTGGTGTCTTCTACTCTAAAGTCTTTGAGTTCATGTTTGACATGAAGGAGAGAGCACATAGGCTTAGTGAGCACCAGGAGACATGCGACATCTTGCTTGAGGTTATCTCTAGCAATGATTGAGAGATTTCAGACCTCAAGGAAGAGGTTGTTGAGTTCAAGGAAGATGTTGCTGATCTGTAGAAGGAGTCTTATGTCAAGGATGAAGTGGCTGGTGACATGGAGAAAATGGTGTAGAAGCTGGAGGAGGGTTGGCTCAGCTACTTCACCATGTATGTGCATAAGTAGTTCAATATTGTTTTCTTTCTTTCTTGCTAATCTCACTCATATTTAACTCTTATTTGCTGTATTTTTTTTTCAGCTATATCGAGGGGAAATTAGGAAAAAAGATGTTGGATATGGGATTTGTTGTTGTATCGAGATCAAAAAGAGATCCATCTTTGGATCATGGTTTTGTTTACTAAAGTAAATGCAGTTTTAAAAATAATAAGAGAATCAGATTAGAGATGCTACTGTTTGGAGAAGCCATGCTCTATATTTCCATAAAAATTTTCAGAACCTGGTACAACAATTTAAAAGAACAAATATGAGGATCAATCTAATGAGCAATTTAGCTAAACATAACCGGTACTGTACCGGAAAGAAAAAAATAAGATACAAGTGAGATTAAGCATAAGGGAAAAATTCTAACAGTGAAAAGAACAATGTCAAAATATCAATGTACAAGCAAAGACGCTAAATAATACACTACATAAGGAATGCAAAACTACACAAGTGAAATTACAAATTTACAATGTACCACATGTCATCGAAAGAAATGAAGAAACAGCTAATTAGTCAGCCGAATTCAATCTATGCTCATGATTCATACACAAAATGCCTAATAACTAATTCTTAACACTCCATTGCTACTACTATTTAGAACATACCGAAATTGTTTGAAGAAAAAATATCTGAAGATGGACCTCCTGCAATAGCTACTGCACCAACTACACGAAGCTGCAACCACAAAGTAACAATCACTGTCTCAAAAAATTTCAATCCGAAGAGCTCACACGCTGCTGGTTGATTGTGTACTTAGAAGCAGCCAGATCCAAAAATGAGCATTCTGCACCAACCTTCTTCATTATCCGGACAAGAGGAATCACTTGCATCGTCTTGAGTGTCATCATCATCGTCATCATCATCACTGTCTACTAGCTCCTCCATGTAAGCATCACCAAAGTCCTGATCAAGCTCATCACATTCAATACACACTCTGTCTCTTCCTCAATCGCTTCCCTCAGAAACTCCTCATACTCTCATTGACCAACGAAAGAGCTTTCGTTAACGACTCTGGACTAATGTCCTCAGAACACAATCAATGGACACATCACCATTCGGAGACTAAACACCAAAAATTCGATTCCAGAAATGCACAAAGGTTCATATACCTCAAAGGTCACAGTAAATTTCAGCACAAAACGACAACAACACGATGAGAGCGATGCACAAGCTGAGTTTCGTGCAAGAAGAAGACAGAAAACAATCGCATTTACTTACCAGGTGAATACGAAGAGACAAGAGCCAACTCCTCGTTGGGCTTCTCCCATCGATAAGGGATGACAATTTTTTTCAAACAACGGTCGTGGAGAAAGGATAAGCAAAGATACTTTTGATTCCGTATACACAAGAACAGACTTGAGAGCAGAGAGAGGAGAACACACACACCTTTTACGAGCTTGAAGATAACCCGACCTGAAAACGGCGCCGTTTTTAAACCAGTCAAAATAAATCCTGAAACTTGGTAACTGAAACGGCACCGTTTTGAAAAAGGGCAAAAACGGCGCCGTCTGTTGTGTTTCGCACAGTAGCAAAAGAATTAAGATAATCGGCGATCGAGAGAAGTAAAGAGAAAACCTGAGATAGCGAAGCAAAGATGATGAGGAAATCGAGCTCGGTTGCAAAGGTATCTCTGATTTCTCGTCAAAATCTATCCTAATTTCGTTCTTATGGGTTTCGTTTTCCCCAATTTCCTCTGAATTTCGCTCACAAACTCTAGGTTTTTTTTTGTTTGTTTGTTTCGCTTCTGGTATGATTGGGATTAGTACTGATGCTGATTTTTGTTTCGCTTTTGAATCAATCTTTACAATGCAGCTTTGGGATGAGAGAAGGTTGCGAAAATCGATCGAGATAACGAAGAATCTGGCTTTGGCATCCTTCGGGCTTGTTTCTGGATACAAACTCGGTACGTGGTGGTTTGAGATGATGAAAGTTGCAATCAATTCAAAATTTGATTTGCTTATTGTTTGTTTGCATTGCAGCGTCTGCAACATACGACACTCGTTTACAATACGTTCTTGCACACGAAGAGGTAATTTTTTTTAACCATGGAATCAATTTTTTTTTAAAGTAATTACACACTTGTAATTCTCACTTTTTTTCTCATCTTCTCTGTAGAGAACTATGGAACGTATTGCTATGACCAAGGAACTGATAAGGAGGGCGAATGAATCTCTAAAGGCCAAAGAGAAGAAAGAAGAGGAGGTGAGTTAGTTTCTTTGTGCTTTTTTTTTTTTTTTTTTTTTTTCCTCAGGGATGATTCTTGTGTGTTTAACACCGATCCTTACTCTTTTATGCCCCCAGTTTTTGAGGAAACAAGGATATGAAAAGCACTGAAGTGGTTGTAGTGGAAAAAAAAGACGAATGTGTTCTTATGTTGTTATGTTTTAGTTTCAGTAGTCGATAACGTGTGTTACAAACAAGGGTTATAGTGCATATGAACCACCACCTGAAGGATTTTTAACCTGTATTTTTAGAGAATGGAGGGTAAACTTGCAAAAACAAAGTACTTTAAAAGGAAAGAGAAATCAAAGATTGAAAATATCGTCATCGAGAAAGAAAAAAAACCTAAAATCGATAATCGGGCAAAAAAAGCGAAAGAGGGGGAATAAAGTGAGAGATGAAAGCAAAGATGGTTAGGAATTTGAGCTCGGTTGCAGAGGTATCAACTTGTCATCTCTGATTTCGCTCAAATCTATTCTTAATTTTGATTTTCTGGGTTTCGTTTTCCCTCAATTATCTCATCTCTCTGTTTTTTGCTCGAATCCTTTCGTTTTGTTTCTTCTGTTTTTTTTTCTGGGATCCGTATATGGTATGATTGACTGGAAAACTGATGTTGAAACTGTTAAATCTAAGTTTTTTTTTTTTTTTTCGCAGACTGGTTCTTCGGGTCCTGGAATCGTTGGAACAAATCCATTCTCTAGTTTTCATAAAATGAGTGAGGGCCCATACTTTCTTCTCTCGACTAATGTTCATTTAGACAAGCCCATAAAATGAGGGCGCATATTTGGTTATTAGATTAGGGAAATCCGGTTTAATTTCTGGAATTGAAAAACCGGTTTGATTACTGGAATTGAAAAACCGGTTATTTTAGACAAACCCATAAAATGAGTGAGGGTCCGTACTTTCTTTCTCTCGACTAAACTCTCTCTCTCCCTCCCACTCCTCTGCTTTGTTCGCCAGTTCCTCGTTGCCGTTTATCTCCGGACGATTGAAACTAAGACAAGGCATTGTAAGCATCGCATAATTATAGTTACTCTTCTATTGCATAAATATTCCTTTTTTTTGCTGTGAAAACTTTTATGACATGATTCGTGTGTAGAAGTTTCTTGTGTGCTGCTACTGAAACTGTAACAATAGGTTTCAGTCAGTGACGATTTGGGTTTTAATTTGTAATAGTCCTTGAGAAAATGAGAAATTGATGCTATGGGTTTTTCTGTCAGAACCAATTGTTTGACAAAATTGACACAAAGTTTTCCCTTTTCTTCTTCAGATTACTTCTGACCAGACCCTGTTTATGTGGGTCTCAACCTCAATTCTTAACCTCAAGTCTTGTGGGTTGAATCATCGGTTTGCGAGAACTAAGGCTTTTCGATATATCTGGTCTAGGACTTTTTTTCTTCCTTGGTTGGCTGATTATAACCCCAGACTTCAGAGCGATTCCAGTAGTTTAAGCTGCTTTGCATCACGACGTTATGCTTCAAATGCAGGAGTTTGTTCCAGTGAGCCTTTTGGTGAAGACACTGATACGATTCTGAAGATTATTATACTCCCAAGTGATGATGATTGTATTGAAACTATTAGAAATGTGCTTACGAAGCACAGTTGGATACAAGGCTTTGAGAGTGGGTTTAGTATTGAACTTGACCAATACAAATTCATCAGAATTTTGGATGATTTGTTTGAGGAGACTTCGGATGCATCTGTTGCTCTCTACTTCTTCAGGTGGTCAGAGTTGTGGATCGGCGCTGAGCACTCGAGCAGATCCATCAGCCGTATGATTCATGTTTTGGTATCTGGGAACATGAACCATAGAGCTGTAGACATGCTTCTGCGCCTCGTGAAGAAATCAGACGGAGAAGAGAGATCCTTGTGTTTGCTCATAAATGATCTTTTCGAAACTCGTGGTGATCGTCGCGTTCTAGAGACGGTGTTTAGCATGCTGGTTGATTGTTGTGTTAAGGAGAGAAAAACAGATATGGCCTTGAAGCTAGCTTACAAAATGGACCAGCTTGGTATCTTTCCTTCGAGAGGGGTTTGTGTCTCGTTGCTCAAGGAGATTCTACGAGTCCACTGTTTGGAGTCAGCTCAGGAGTTTGTTGAGCGCATGATCAGTCGAGGGAGGCATCTAAACGCTGCGGTTCTTAGCTTGTTCATCAGCAGATACTGCTCTGATGGTTGTTTTGACAAAGGCTGGGAGTTGCTTGTAGGGATGAAACAGTATGGGATCAGACCAGACATTGTTGCATTCACGGTGTTCATTCATGAGTTGTGTAAGGCAGGGTTTCTGAAAGAAGCGACTTCGGTTTTGTTCAATCTCAAACTCTTTGGCGTCTCTCAGGATTCTGTATGCGTCAGTTCTGTAATCGATGGGTTCTGTAAAGTGGGGAAGCCAGAGGAAGCGGTTAAGCTCATTCATTATTTCCGTCTTAGACCAAACATTTTTGTGTACAGTAGCTTTCTGTCGAAAATATGTGACGAGGGAGACATGGCAAGAGCCTCTACCATATTTCAGGAGATCTTTGTGTTGGGGCTTCTTCCTGATTGTGTTTGTTACACTACTATGATCAATGGGTACTGTAAACGAGGCAAAATGGATAAAGCTTTCCAATATTTTGCAGCCATGTTGAAAAGCGGGAACAAGCCGTCTTTAACGACGTATACGCTGCTTATTGGTGGTTGCAGCAAATTCGGGAATGTAGGAGACGCAGAAGCTCTGTTTCGGAATATGAAGAGCGAAGGTTTGGTTCCCGATGTTGTAACGTATAACAATCTGATGCAAGGGTATGGGAAGACTCATCAGCTGAATAAAGTTTTTGAGCTCGTTGATATAATGAGATCTGCTGGTATCTCTCCGGATGTTGCGACCTATAACATCTTGATACATAGCATGGTCCTTAGAGGATACGTCGATGAAGCAAACGGTATCATCAGCGAGCTCATCAGACGAGGGTTTGTGCCTAGTGCGTTAGCATTCACCGATGTGATTGGTGGGTTCTCGAAGAAGGGAGAGTTTCAGGAAGCGTTTCTTCTGTGGTTCTACATGGCTGACCTTAGAGTGCAGCCCGATGTTGTAACTTGCAGCGCGTTGTTGCATGGGTATTGCAGAGCGCAGAGAATGCGTGAGGGTATGGTTTTGTTTGATAAGTTGCTTGATGCAGGGCTAAAGCCAGATGTGGTTCTGTATAATACACTCATCCATGGATATTGCAGCGTAGGGGATGTTGAGAAAGCATGCGAGTTGATTGGTTCGATGGTTCAAAGAGGAATGGTTCCGAATGATAGTACTTATCGAGCACTTGTTGTGGGGCTTGATGAAAAAAAGAGTTTTATCAACTCAGAAAAGCATGCGTCCATGTTACTTGCAGAGATTCTTGTAGCATATACTGCTAAGTAACCTTTGAATTGTTTTTTTTGTACTAATCTGGATATTGGATTATTGTAAAAGTTATTGATTACCCGTTTGTTTACCGTTATTTAGCTATCCACTAGTAATGAAATTTACAGTTACAAGATTAGAGCTAAACGGCTCATGGAAAGAAGAAACGGAAGACGAGCGGAAAAAGCACTCACAATAATTTCGGTTGAATATAATTCGATTTTATCCCCTATTAATAATAATAAAAAAACTAAATCCGCTTGATGGTCGAACTTAGCACCTCTGTGATATAATTCCCACGGCATCAACCAATTTAAATTGTAACGAAAGAGAGAAAAACATGGTTTTATAATGTGATAAAATAGATAAGATATGACATATATATGACATGAATATCCAAAGATGAAAAAAATCCACAAACTCAATATAATAAGTGAATTCCAAAAGTTCATGTCTTGTGCAAAATTGAAGATACAATATACTAGTTCTATTGCATATAACATGATATAAAAAAACTGAGTATGCTCTATATTACTTTCAAAGAAAAGCTAGTTAAAAATTATAAAGATATTTTTACAAATTTGGATTATACGTTAAAAACCCTTTTGTAGAGGATAAATTTATTTTCCTGGAGATGATTTTTTTTATGTTTTCACTTCATAATGTTCTAAAATGGAAACAAAATGCATATGTAAACCGCAAAGTAACGATCTGTATTTTAAATGTGAAACAAAAGAAATTTTTTGAAGTTTTATTTTCATCAACTTTGTCTTTGTCAAGATCAATCAAACATTACTTTTGATGTCTTCTCTTCATCAACTTGCTGATCTCATTTTTTACGTTGCATTTATATCAACACATAGTTTTTTTTTAACAGTGTAAGCATTCTTGTCTTTATGTAATAACAAATAAGCTCATAAGAGGAGGATATGGGTAAAATGCCTTATTTTTTATGTGTTGAAATGGTTTATTATCCACTTCGACCCATAAACTATTTTCGTGGTTTTAATAAAAATATCTTGCTAATCGTTAAGCGAGGAAAAAAAAGAACGAGAAAGAGGACGATGAGTAAAATGCCTTATTTCTTTCAGTAGCAAAAAGAAACGTCTGAAGAAATCCTTGACCCACCGTAAAAAACTCACATTTAGAATTCAGCAGAGCACTTCATGGCTTTAGTTTTAGTTTTTTTTGGCAGAGAGAGACACCATGCACCAGCCATGAAGAAAATTCCTTATTCTGCAGGCTTTTGAACAATCCTTCACCCAAAGACGCCACCACGTGTTTCCTAATACTCTCCACCGGTGAGTGGCACACTAAACCTGTTTGGCTTCCATCTACCATAGTTGATGGTGTGTGATTTTCGAGCAGCAAGAAGAAACACATGAAGAACTCGAGTTCACCACTATTTTGAAGAAGAAAAAAAACTATATTTAAAAATATTTTATTATGATCACATTTTCTCTTCATACTAACCGATAATTTTTGAAAGATCGTGGTCCACTAAGACTATTGGCAACAAAATATATAATAAATATCCAAAGAGACACAAATTTCCTTTTTACAAATCGATTTTAAAGCTTAAAATTTCCTCCATCTCCATCAATCAATAAAGTATAACAAAAAATTATAGTCCAATTCGCTATATTCGAAAATAGCAACAATCCATTATATTCGCAAATAGCAATTAAATACATATAAAAATACCCAAATTTTTGCTTTTACAAATCGATTTAAGAGCTTAGAGTGTTCTCTTCAAATTTTATATATCCTAGTTTCTATTTTTTTTTAAAAAGTAACAAACAAATCAAAATAATTCATTTTGCCTAACTACATTTCCTAAAATACCCAATCTAATTTAAAGTAATAGCTAATGAAAGAAAGAAATAAGATATCTTACCCATATCGTCCTCTTCCTCATTCTTATTTTTCCTCGCTCAACGATTTGCATAATATTTTTCTTAAAACCACGAAATCAGTTTATGTATTGAAGTGGATAATTTCAACGCATAAACTGATTTCGTGGTTTTAAAAAAATATCATGCGAATCGTTAAGCGAGGAAGAAGAAGAATGAGGAAGATGACGATATGGGTAAGATGCCTTTTTCTTTCTTTCATTAGATACCACTTTTAATTAGATCGATAATCTTGAGAGATATTTTAGGAAATGTAGTTAGGCAAAATGGATTGTTTTGATTTGTTTGTTACTTTTTTTTTAAATAGAAACTAGGTATAAAAATCTGAAGAGAACACTCTAAGCTCTTAAATCGATTTGTAAAAGTAAAGATTTGGGTATTTATATATGTATTTAGTTGCTATTTGCGAATATAGTGGATTGTTGCTATTTGCGAATATAGCGGATTGGACCACAATTTTTTGTTATACTTTATTGATTGATGGAGGAAGTTTTAAGCTTTAAAGTCGAAAAACAGATTTGTGTCTCTTTAGATATTTATTATATACTAGGTGATCGGACTGCACCGTGTGCAGACTATAAAATATTTAATATGTTTAATTATTATTAATATAGTATTGAAATTTTTTATTTGTATATAATTAATTATGTATTAATAATAAAAATTAAAAATTAAATATAAAATATTAAAGATTTAAAAAAATTATGATAAAAATATTAACTAAGATTTTAACATATTTCTTTAATCAAAAAAATGAAAATATGATAACTAAACAAATAGAAAAATATGAAAATCTATAATTATTTAATTAATTTTTATTTTTGGCTTGTACGCATGTGCATGTATAATTTTTTTAGACATAATTAGTTGTAATATTTAAGTATTAATTAGTTTTTTTATTTTATGTAAATTTTATGTTTAAATATATATATATATATATATAGTTTTAGTGTTCAACAACGATCACACAAACAATTCATATCTTTTTGTGTCTTATTTATTTTTTATTTTTTCTAGCGTCACATTAACAAATAATAGCAAATATAAAATTTATATTAAATAATAATTAAGATTTTAAAATATGTTTTGAATATTTTCTATTCTATACTTTCTTTTTCTCTTTACACAATATAATCTTGCCAATATATATATATATATATATATATATTTAAGTATTTTTTCCTTGAGCTATTGCTAATTATACCAAAATGAATTTTACCATATTTACTTATCCTAAGAGCAAGTAGATGGTTGGTCCGCACATTCGTGCGTACCAATCACCTCACCGAAATTATCTAACAACTAAAATTAAAATTAGAGTATAATCGAGGTTAACAAAATGTATGCACAACAAATTTGTATGCAAATTTGACTTTTACATAATTAATATTTATATCTACACGCACATTATGGCTTGTATATGTTAAAAGAAAATAACAAAGTATATGTTTTGTAGTACATATTTTAATAATGTATGGTTGTTTTAAAAAAAATAATAATAAGTATATTTATGCATTTAGGTATGAGTTAGAAATAAAAGAATTGTAATATTTGGGTGTTGGTAAGTTTTTTTGATATTTTCCGCAAACGTTATGTTTTTATATGATGCAGTTATTGACGTTTAACAACAATCACGAAAACCATTTCTATCGTTTTGTGTTTAATCAAAATTTTCTTATTTTTCAGCGTTTTATGATATATGGTTTATCAATAAAAATATAATAAATATTTATTATTAAATTTGTGAAATCATATTTTATAAAATTCTCCGGTAGCTCTCCACTTATCTCATCGTCAAAATTTTTAATAATTTGCAATCGACTCTCTGCAATATAATTTTTTAAGCCAATCAGATCTAAACTTATTTATGTATTTAAGGTAGAATATAATATATTTAATATTTGATTGTTATATTAAAAATTAAGAATTGATAAATTCATAATTTTAATATATTTGTTAATACAAAATATAATGGATCAAATATATTGGAAAAATATATGTATGAAATAACTAATATGTGTAATCAAATATTTTTAAATATTTGAAATAAAAACATAAAATCGATCAAGAATATTCTTTTTTTTCTCTTCTTTAACTTATATTTTTTTAAAAATTGAATAATATATTTAAAATTAAGATCATCTCAAATGTATTTTTTTAATCTTTTTCACTAAAATGTAAATGGACTTTCTCTCCAACCTATTTATATTTTACAGAAAAAGGTTATTATTTTTTCCTCTATAATTGAAAAAAGTAACCTTTTTCTTGTAAATTAGAACATTTAAAATAAATGTGAGTTGAAGATGCTTTAAATCATAAATATAATCCAAAATTTGTATACAAAACCAAAATCGTAAAGATTCATTTTTACTTTTACTTTTACTTTTTATTCATATATACAATATTGATATTTATAATTTATTTTTCTCTTTGTTTATTTTTTTTGTTTCATTTATAATTTTGAATTCTTTCTATATAATGAAAATTCATTCAAATATGATATAAACTTTTTTTTATTTAAACATGAGATTTATTTAGTTTTAACTTAACTAATCAAAACATTTCGTTTATTTTAGGAAATTTGTCATGTCACATTTATGACATGGCATTGTTTTACACTAATTTTTATTTAGGTGTTGACACATAGGATTTTTTTAGTAAACATGCTTCTCAGATAATAGTTAGGATTTTGTTGCCAATAGTTTTAGTGGACAACAATCTTTCAAAAATTGTCGCTTGATATGAAGAGAATAGTGTGATCATAATAAAATATCTTTTAAATGTAGCTTTTTTCTTCTTCAAAATAGTGGTGAACTCGAGTTCTTCAGGTGTTTCTTCTTGCTGCTCGAAAATCACACACCATCAACTATGGTAGATGGAAGCCAAACAGGTTTAGTGTGCCACTCACCGGTGGAGAGTATTAGGAAACACGTGGTGGCGCCTTTGGGTGAAGGATTGTTCATAAGCCTGTAGAACAAGGAATTTTCTTCATGGCTGGTGCAGGGTGTCTCTCTCTGCCAAAAAAAACCAAAGCTAAAGCCATGAAGTTTGCTCTGCTGAATTCTAAATGTGAGTTTTCGACGGTCATCTCCTTCTCTCCAAAAGGTGCTGCTTTGTCTGCTGCAAAAACCATATCCACAGTAACTGCTGGGATAGGCTTCTATGCTCTTGCAAATGTTGCTGAGCTTCTTCCTGATCAAAAGGAGAAATCATCACTAGGTGGTCTAAAAAAACGTCTAGCTAGCAATGTCGCTAAGGTGGTGGAATTGAGGCGAGACCTGGACGAACAGGTGATCCTTAACAAAGAGAAGGCCAAGCAGGACAAGCAGTTGAAAGAAGATGTGGAAATTTTGATTCTCAAGGACAAAGAGAAGGACCAGCTTCTAAAGGAACTGTTTAGGTATCTAAGGTCACTTGGTTTGGGTGGTTCAGCAGGTAACAAAATGTTTAACTAATATCTAAGCTCAATTAGTTTTGTTATACATAGTTTTGTATAACAATTCAGTTTTGTGTTGTGTTTCAGGGTACTTGGCCGAAAGTAGGGAATCGAATTCATGGGTGTTTGTAGTAAGAAAAGGAGAACCCACTCTTCTATCTTTTATCTGTTATCTCTTTTATTTGGACATGTGTTGTGTTGGATAATGTCTCTTTATCTCTCTATCTTTTGGTTGGACATGAGTTTGTGTGTTGGATAACAATGTCTATCTAGTTTGTTGGCGCAAGTGGTTGAAACTCTTTTCCTGAGTACTGTATTAATTACAAATTCTCTTAATTTTGGTCTCTCATGGCTTCTTTTTTTTTCAAACATTAGCCTCTGCAACTTCTTGGCATCTTTCTTATTACGATGTTGCCACTGTTATGTCTGACCAGACCCTGTTTATGTGGCTTTTGGATATTTCTGGTCGAGGAACTTCTTTCAGAGTGATTCTGGTAGTTTAATTTACTGTGGGTCAAGGAGTTATGTTTCCTGTTTAGGTTTTGGTTCCAGCAAACCTTTTAGTGAAGACAAACCATTCACATCTGAGGTATGATGTGGTACTGTATGTGGGTCTTTTAAACTGCGGCTGAAGGAAGAGAGAGAGAGAGAGAGACATAGTTACAAGTCTAAAAGCCAATGTTGCATCCATTAGCTGCGTTAAAAAGAGGATTGCTCAAAATACGGACGGTGATTGCTTCTCTCTCCATCTGGAAACAGAGTGTCCGTAACTCATACAAAACTGCTCTCGTTGACAGCTACAGGATGCATAAAGAAGAGTAAGGGTTCATTTGTTTTAGGGTTTCATATTCAACAAGAAGAGACGCAGAATCACAGAATTATAAGAGTAAGCAGAGTTCTCGACACTCACACTAGTCATATTTTTGTGTGATAAAAACTGAAATTCACTATCACTTTCAAATATACAACGATATTATCACATTATAGCAACATTACAAAGAAGAAACAAAAAATTTAATGAATAAAACAAAAACAAACCCAAGAGCTATAGAGAAGCAACGTTTGATTGATCTTGCTGGTTTCTCTCAAGGTCGAACAATGGCTTTAACCTCCTTTCAACCTCGCTGCATTGTAGATCGATCTCATGTACAACCATTGAGTAAGCAGAGTAACAAGACTCTTCGTCTCTGAATGCTAATGTCCATCTCCCGTCTACTAGACCTTTGGACTTGAGCTTCTCATAGACTCCTCGCTTTGTTGGATCCAAGAATGGTAACGTCGATGGCCGGATCTTCAAGTGTAGCCATCTTGGGTGCTTTTCATCTATCCGGGGCTGAATACCAAACAAAAGATAGCTCATTTCTCTATGCCAACATCATGATTATATCTGTCCTTGTAAGTGGTGTTCACAAGCAATATCGTTACAAAAAAAAAGACAATGTAGGTGAGCACGTACTTTGCAGCCGGCTAAAGGTGCGGTAACACGGACGGTTCCGTGATCTGGCTTCGAAAGCGATTCTTCAGCAAGGACAATCCACCCAGACACACCAGATGATAATGCTAGAAACGAGAAATTCCGCTCCTTGCCTCTTTCAAAGGCAATCCTACAGTGTACAGCATCAACTGCACCGGGAAATTTCAAACATCAGTTTAACTACGGACATGGTGTCGGTTTGGTAGATGTTGAACTAAGCAAGCATAAAGAGCATCATGTGCTAACCTAGCTTCACTTCGGTGCCAGTTTTGGGGACTGAAACATCCAAACCAGCACTTGTGGCGCGAGACGTTTCAGATCTGTCTGCAGGAGGATGGATAGGAGGCTGCTCTGGCAAGGGCCTACCAAGCGAGAAGATCTGGAGTTGGTGAAGAAGCACAAAAACCTAAGGAGTAAAATGCTCCATTCTCAGATTTCTGTAGCATTTACACATCAACGACAAGCGCTGATTGAAAATACAGAGGGAACACAATGGACTTACCTTCACCACCTCGCACAGTTTTTCACCGGCTGTGAATGATGATTCGCTAACAGTGTTACCTGTAAAAGTTCAGTTGTTAACGGTTTGCATTAGCAGGAACTGAACAAGGGAGTGTCTATATCATTCACATTGATTGTAAAACAAAAATTCTACCACTAGAAGAGGATTTATCCAGCTGGAGAAGAACAGATTTAGGCTCTTTTTGAGGGGATGGAGCTTCGATCACTGTCACAAGAGATTTGGTATTAGATTCACTGAACATGTAAATTTAGAATCAAAATCCAAACATTTTGCTTCTTTACTTGCCTCTTTTACACTTTTTCCACTCATCAAGCAGCACCGTGATGAGTAGATCAGGCCAGGTACCTTTAACCTCCCGGATTAGTGCACTTGTGCACTTCTCATATGAATCCTGACATCAGCAGGAAACTGGTAAATAATGACGAAAGGGAGAGTGTAACAGTGTCAACATCTTAAAAGCAACACACATACATTCAGCATTTTGAGATGTTTACGATTAAACTCTGCCTCGCTATAAGGAAGCAACTGCCGTAAAAGCCACCCTCCATCCCATAATGTTTCTGCAGATATGTTTTCACGGCAGAGAAGAATGACCAATGCATCCACCACCTATACCACAATTTTTTCATTGATTCAAGACAAGAACTTGCTCTGTGATGAAGAAAGAACCTAACTCAAGCAGATGGAATTTTCACTTTTCAGAAGAAGCGAGGCTAATAATTTAGGTTTACAAACATTCGTAATTTACCTGATGTCTATGTACACGCGGGCACATTGCAGCCCCAGGCAGTGAACAGCATACTCCAAACTGCTCCTGTTGAGGGTACTTGAATGAGTAAGTCAATCACAATTTAACACAACACCAAAGAGATGGAGAAGTAGAACGTGTTTGCAAAATTCTAAGATATGCAGTGACTGAAGTACCTCCAACCTCCGTAGATACCAATCAAGTTCGCTGCTTAAGCCATCTCTCATGGAACCATTTTGTGGTGAAAACAGTTGTTCTTCACCAGTGTCTTCCCCAACCAAAGATTGCTGTCAGAGATGACCACCAAATTAAGTTTAGCTATCCAAGAAGTAAAGCTTATATTTTTGGTCCAGACTATAGTAGACGGTCCATAAACCATGAGATGCGAATTTCCCTGGCAATCTGCCTTGGAATTTGCTGGAAAAGAGCAGAAGATAAAGAATAATGACAGATACTCACCAGCAAAAGCTTTTTGTGCTGCTTACGCTGAGGAAGAATGCCAAAAGCATCTAGCATTGACTCTTCAAGTTCTACCACAAAGAGAATGTAAGCGTGAGATGCGAATTTCCCTGTCAAAACTAGAAATAAAATAAGGAGATGCACAAAGCCACTACCAATACCTTTTGTCTGCAACAACGTGGCTAGCACAAACAAGGAACCCTGAGCTTGCACATCATCTCCCTCAGAAATATATTGAAGTAAAGTATCCCTATTTACAAAAGGAACATCAGCTTCGGAGAGATATAGGAATATATTATGATTAAGACAGCTTAAGGAGTGTAAAAAGCAACTATCTCAAATTCACTCAGGTTGTTAGATAACATGTTACCTAAACGTAATACGTGAATTGTTGAAGATGCTTTTCGTAGTATTTTCACTGCAAACGTGGGAATTTCCATATTCACTCGAGACTGCAGTGCTTGGACACTGTTGAACTGTTTCCTCAGCAACACCATTGTCTGGATGCCCATTTCCATATGTAAGACGTTCAGGAGCCAAGCTACTATTAGGTTTCACTAGGGAACTTGAAATGAAAGCTTCTACAGGGCAGAAAAAAGTAGCAGCAGTCAAATTCGCCAAATCTTTGATTTTAACTATCCGCACGATGCAACAGAGCAGATAGAGAGAAGTCACAGGATCAACTGATTTATCCTGAAATAACCACAGAACAAACAGTATACTGACATTAGAAATTGTACTCTTGCATAGAAAAAACTAACAAGGCTTACAAAATTAGCACAAAAGGACAAAATAAATCGAAAAAGTAGATATGTTATACATTTACAGCCTCAGAGCACAAAGACGGGAGAAGAAGTGGGAGAGTTAGATGCTGTAGAATGTGATCTGTTATCAGCCTCCCGATATCAGGTATGCCAGCAGAGATAACATCACTAAAGTAGTACAGCGTGTCCTCGATCCCATCAACGGCAGCAAACAATTTTCCACCTGAGTCTCGGGATGGGCTCCTTTAGACAAAGTAAATGGAAATCTTTCAGAAGAATATAACTAATGAGTCAATAGATGAAAAGGGGATATGATACGTATTTAACACGATATTATTGCCCTGGGAAATGAAGATGCAGTGAATCTTACTTTAGAGTGTTCAACACCATTGCACTTAGATCCATGCATTGCTTTTGGAAAAATGTAACTAATTTTGAAAAGTACTCAGTGTGCGGTGGACTAACTACATAATCATTCACAGATTCATCGCCAACTGCGAAAAGAAAAAAAAAACTAAAGGCATCAGAAACATTGCTAAAAGCTTCTGAGTCATTAAAGTGACAAATCGAAAGGACTGAGTGACTTACCATGATACACATTAAGAGTCAGGGCACGAACTGCAGTGCGTATCATGTTCTCTTCATGAAATGCAAATTTTATGCCCTCGACGTAAAGGGGAAAAGAAACTACTACATCCTAGACGCAGAAACGCAGAATTAAAATATGGCAGAAAAAAAAAATCCATAAAGGACTATTATAGAAGTTTAAGGAAGATGCAACTTAAAGAATACTCACGTTCTCGGTCTTCAAAAGCAACGATATTGTATGCTGGTTTAGTTTCCCACTAACAGCTCTACAAAAAGAAAACAAAACAGTTACCAGATACAGTCAACATGTACTTCCTGAAGCCGAGGTCAACAACAGAAGAATGTACCTTAGGAAGGATATGTAGTAAGATAGAAGCTCTTCATGTTGGAAGTCAAATGTATATGTTATCAAATAATTTACATATTCGTTACTGAACAAGTAGTCTGCAAGTAGTTTCAAAAGAAGATCATCAATAGGCTATAATCATTACGAATTATCAAAGACAAAATATACACTGCTTCTGATGAACTCACAGATGGCTTGTTCACTTTTTAGGTTCTGGATCATAATACTCATGGTTTGCAACAACTGAACGGAAACTGTTACTGTCTTGCTAACCCTCAAAATACGTACAAACTCTCCCATTACTTGCTTCTCCATAAAAAATCTGCAACGAGCGCAAAGTATTATTAGCATATATGCCAATAAGAAAATGAAGGGCATTGACTGATAATTGACATAAAGACTCTCACTCAAAGAATAAAGGGTCGTGCTGATCGCCATAAGTCAATATCTCCGCGATTGATCTCAGTGCCTCGACAACAAGATCCTTCAAAACGGTAAACAAAGATCGAATCCACAAGGAAAAAACAGAACAGTAATGCCAAGACAAAGTTGCTAAAGTGAAAAAGACTTTTATCCCACTGACCTTATTGGTCTCGTTCACTATCTGAGTTTTTCTCAGCTGGTCAGTCAAATGCCTACAAAAACAAAACCCAAAGTTTCAACGTTTATGCTTCATCATCTGGTATAATCACCGAACAAATACTTGTCGTACACTAACATCTCAATGAAATTTCGAGAACAAGTCATTCTACTATGCTCAAGATTGTCACATTGACCCACCCGATTGGCTGAAACTAAGGAAGATGAACTTAAAGAGTTCCCTTCCATGACACCATTCAAGCGATCAAATGTTCAAATTCTCGAAAACCCTAACAGATAACTGCAAACTGCCCATTCTAATTCCGAAGAGACTACGACGAAAAAACTCAAAATTTCAACGCTTACAATCACCGAACAAATACTTGTCGTACACTAAAATCTCAATGAAATTTCGAGAACAAGTCATTCACACCAAAGAGATTACGACGAAAAACCTCTCAACCACCCTTAAAAGACACATTTTAAGGCCAGAATTCACAAAAATCCGCTAATCTTAGTCACAATAGGGATCAAACGAAACAGAGATATATATCGCAAATGGAACTTGTTGCGGGATCGACCCGATCAAACAAAAAAAAATTTAACCTGAGTTCGACCAAGGAGAATCGATCTCTGGGTCTTAAGAAGGAGAACCACATGATTATCGGATCAATCCTCTGAATCCAGTCTTCTCTGGATCATCCTTCACTCCCGCGAAAACCCCAATTCCATGGTTGCTCCTCGATTAAAGGGAACCCCACAAGTCCTGATGAAATCCGATTCCAGTTCCGGTTCGGATTGCTTCACCGACGACAAAATCATACAAATCAATAGCGTAAGCGAAAGAATGATATCTGCGTCGTGTTTGAATTTCTCGAAGGCTCTAGGTATTCCGGTAAACAACAGAATTGTTGACGGAGAGACGAATAGAAGCAAGCACCGAAGTGGGGCGTTGAGCTGGCGTTGGGTCAAGTATCCAGATTCGGATCCGGGTCGGGTTCAATATCGAATTCAAAGAAAGAATCTTTAGAATGGGGGGATCCGTCTATGGCATTTTAATTAGGGAAAACATTTATTTTTACGATCGACCATTCGAGTGTTGAAGACCGCCACGTCACAACGGTTCCTTCAAAGACGACTCTTGCTATTAAGTCACAAAATTATAACAAAACCCCTCAAAATATAGCAAAGTTGTAAAATAACCCTCACTTAATTAAATTGTTTAAACAAATGTCCCATCTAATTTAAAATCTATACAGTAATACAATTCCGACTGTACACTTAAATTCATCGTTTTGGGTTGTAGCGAAAACATAATAGTTTGTCTTTGAATCAAATAATCATTCGGTTCGAGATTTGTTGAAATTTGGAAAATTTGTTAGATTATTAAAAGGGAAATTGAATCGAATAAATGTTGTAGTCGGAAGCTCAAATGTAGATTTTACATTAATTTTGATCGTTTTATAGTTTTCTTAAATGATGGGTTATTTTGAAAACTTTGATTAGTTTAAGGGCTTTTATGCAACTTTCACTATTACATACGAAAACAGCAGCACGATCACAACATGATTACTCTGTTCATATAATACACAGATTTTGAAGTTTTAAAGACATAATTATTCATTCATTCATCACCGGTGATTTCCACGACTCTCACGTTGCGATTCTCCTCGATCTCCGGCGGTGGCGGCGCAGAAGAGGAACCATCTTTCGCGACGAACACGACGAGAAACCCTTCCTCCATCCACGCCGTGACCTGATCCGTCAGGGCGTTATCGGGAAGCTTGAACCTGCTCATGAATTTGTTGTCTCCAGTGCAGATCTGGAGAAAACCTTCGTCGTCCACGAACACGATCGCTTCGTCCTGAGTCGTTCCCGGGAGATACGCCTTGAAAACGTGAGCCGTCGGAGTCTCCGTCCAATTGAGCTGCGTCTCGACGGTGGATGAAGAAGAGGATTGGAAAATTTCTCGGGGAAGTGAAGGAAAATGGTGAGAAAGCAGGAGAGAAGGTGATGGGAAGTCGAAGAAGGAGCTCATGAGCTCGAATGGCTCCCATATTCTATCGCCTGAAGAAAGTCTCCGGCGATCGTTGATTGGAATTATCGACATCTTCTTCTACTGAAGTAAGTAAAGTAACAGAGAAGCTGAGCTCAATAAATCTTTATCAGGAGAGAAGTTCTAGAGTCTTCTTGAAGAGATGAGCAGGGCTCAAAAGTCGTCAAATAAAGCCCAATGGGCTTTGAACAAAAAGCCTTTTTTGCTTTCTCTTCTTCTTCCCGGAACTTTTTGACAATGTTGGCGTTTTGATGTTTTTGTTTCTGATCAAATCAAAGTGTAGACTGAAGATATTTTTATTGATATAGAAAAGAAAAAAACAGAGAGAACATTTTGAAGTAAAAAAAAGATAAAAACAGAATACATAAACTACTCAAGGGAGGAATCGGGCTTCCGTACGGTTCTTGAGAAAGCAAGAATGTCCTCCGGCTTGCGAGCGCTATCGCCGCCGTCTCCCTCGCCTCTGCCTTCCACTATAGACTCGCGAACGATTGCCCTCACCGTGCCTTCGGCCTTTCCCGACTCATTGGTGACGACGGCAGATTCGTCTCTCTTCTTGTGCTGTTCCTTCTCCATTCTCTCTTTCGTCGCCTCCATTTTTCTTCTTCTCTCTCTCTCTCTCTCGCTCTCGCTCTCGATTTTCTTGTTAACACTTATTGATTACGTGGCTAGAGATGATTACGTGACACGTTAGAGATGATTACGTGGCGATGTCTGGAGTAAAGGTTTTCGTTTGGACGGATTCGTGGAGGATGAGACCAATAAAGCATCCGACCGAAAGAATTGTTTTTTTAATGTATATTTTTATATATGTACACACTTAGATGTTGCAAGCTTCACAAGAACATTGATATGGCAAAATGCAAGTCATGTATGTTGGTAACACGATAAATTAGTTGTGTTAATGTACAAATGATAGAGTTATGTCTTATAATCTTACAAATGATAGAGTTATGTCTTATAATCTGTCTTATGACAATGAATAAATACAAAAAATTATATTTTTTTTTTACATGTATAATTTTTAGTTGAGCTTACAATTGTAGAATGTTTGATGAAGTTCTGTTAGATACTGCATAATCATATGAATTACAAAATTGTTAAATAGACATTCATGTAGAAGTTTGAACTACAACAACGTAAATTCACATATATACACTTAAATTTTTACAATTTAGAAACAAGTATAATACAATCATTTTACCGGTGTTTTTTGTATTGTTATTGCTAACATAAAAAATCTATGGCGAAATCACATGCTAAAATGATGTAAATTAAAATCATAAATAAGAAATTTAATAAAATTTCTTGTTAGAGTAATGTGCATCAAAGCTTTATAGAACTCAAAATCCAATTCAACCCGAGAGAATGTTATGCCGATGGATAGGATATAACTCACACCAAACTTTTAATTATCATCCAATTAGCAACTTGATAGTTAGAAAGTTTGTTAGCTCTAGTTAGGTCTACTTAACTTCTCTTACTTTGTGTATAATCAGAGAGATTAATGTGTCAAAGTACATTTTGATGGGAATATCCGATTTTTTTACACAATTCCAATGTGTTTATCCAAAAAAAATCCCTTTGGATTTAGTCAAAAGAGGCCAACAAAATATTAAAAGAATCTAAAGTTTACTGATAGAAAGATTAATAGGAGTGATTTGCGGAATATTTGACTTTTTGTTAATCAGGGTGTGTGGTGGTGAGAAAAACATTGACCATTAAAAAAAAGGCCTTATAATTCGTTCTTTAGTTACCTAAATAATCTAATTTTATTTATGGCTTTTAATATACGTTTCATTTAAATTGATCTTCTTCCTTTTTAATTCCACCAAAAATTCTCCTCCGTACATTCCCTATAGTTTTTCTCCGTACACACACATTTTTGTTACCATATAAACAATAAACTCTCATCTTTTTATCATTTGATCATTCTCTTCTTTTCTTCTTCATCTTCTTCTTCAACCATATACATAAACACAGATACATAAAAGATGATATGCGAGGAAGCATATCATCAGCAACCACAAGGACAGATCACGGAGCAAATGATGACGATGATGATGGTGGATCAACATCATAATCACCAAACGAGGAAATCACCATTATCTTCTCCTAAATCACCATCATCATCACCTAAATCACCATCATTCAACAGCATTAGCAACGACGAAGAGAGGTTAGAGGTTGTGAATTTGAGTGGTATGGCATTAGAGTCTCTCCCTAATCCTTCACTCAATCTAGCTCAAATCTGCAAGCTTGATCTCTCCAATAATCATCTCCAGGTTCTTATCTACAAACACATATCATAAGCATGTAAAATATGCGAAAATGTGTTGTGTTTTTATTATGATTTTCACATATTTTTTGATAACAATATTTTGGATGTGACACAGACCATACCAGAATCATTAACAGCGAGACTGCTCAACTTGATAGCCTTAGATGTTCACTCGAATCAGATCAAAGCTCTTCCAAACTCCATTGGTTGTCTCTCCAAGCTCAAGTGCCTCAACGTCTCCGGCAACTTTCTTGTTTTCCTCCCCAAATCTATCCAACATTGCAGGTTTTGACCCCATAACTTTCACAAAACTCTCACAAACACCCCAACAAAACCCATAAAAACATATGTTTTCAAACGCTTAACATGGATTCCTTTCTTTGTGGGTTTTCTCAGGTCACTGGAAGAGCTTAACGCAAACTTCAACAAACTCATCAGATTACCAGACTCAATTGGATTCGAACTCACCAATCTAAGGAAGCTCTCCGTCAACTCCAACAAGCTCATTAGCCTCCCGCTCTCCATTACTCACCTAACCTCTCTCCGTGTCCTCGACGCTCGTCTTAACTGCCTCATGATCCTCCCGGATGATCTCGAGAACCTCATCAACCTCGAGATCCTCAATGTCAGCCAGAACTTCCAGTACCTCTCCACCCTCCCTGCTTCTATCGGCCTACTAATGAACCTCGTCGAGCTCGATGTCAGCTACAACAAGATCACTGTCTTGCCTGAGTCCATCGGCTGCATGAGACGGCTGAGGAAGCTGAGTGTTGAAGGAAACCCGCTCGTGTCCCCGCCCGTCGAGGTGATGGAGCAGAGTTTGCAGGTGGTGAGGGAGTATCTGACACAGAAGATGAACGGTAGTGGCTCACCAAGGAGTCCCGGCAAGAAGAAGTCGTGGGGGTTCGGTAAACTGGTGAAGTATGGGACTTTCAATGGCGGATCAAGAAGCTGGAACAGGGAAGAGAGAGAAGGGTTCATCATGCCTGAGTACCGTTCCATCGACAGTCTTGCTTCGCCTAGGTATTCTGGAATGTTCTCCCCACGTCGTCTCTTTTCTCCAAGAACCTATTTCAGCCGATAAAAACAGACAACAACAAAGAGGTTTTCGTTCCACATTCCTACAACCTATGCACACATCTGTAGCACCAAAAGCCAAAACAATCCAATTTTTTTTTTCTGCTATTAAATGTATAAAGAGTATTTAAAATGTTCATCAGATTCTAGAATTCTTGTTTTTTCCCCATTATATATGCTTGAAGCAGGCCCCTGTTTCTATGCACACCAAATTTTGTTAATTGAATAAAGTGTCCCGTTTCAGAAAATTATCCCTGTTTCTTTAGACATTAGCAAAAGACTCAAGATTTATACTGACAAACACAGTTGGATTCACAGAAATTTAAAGCTAACAAACAAGTCCTCACTCTCAGATACATCCCAGACTCTCTGATAATCATGTTTCCTCTCTTTAATTTCACAATGTACTTTGATGATCAAAACACTGTACTTCGCATTCCAAAGTATCAACACTCAGATCATAGCCAAAGGATGATACTTTCATATTTCAACTCTTAATTCCTCTGCTTCACTACACAGCTCAAGTGTTTCACTTCAAAGAGTTATATGCCTGTCTAAGGTTGAAATAAGAGAAACGAAGCCACTCAAAAGATCTCTTCTTTTCTATTTTTGATTATCTTATCACACTGAAAAAATGCACAATGAGGCAATATGAAAACTGATTGAACATTTACCAAGAATTTCATTCAAATCCAACGAGAAATGCTTGAAATATATCTTTAATATACACAATCAAAAACGCAATCTACACTTCAAAACCGAGTTTGAACAATAAAGACGAAAAACACTAAAAAAGAGACAACTTTTTTTTTCAGCTGATCGATCTCAAAACTCAAGTTCTCATTACAAAGTGAAGTGATCAAAAACCTAATGGAGATAACCGGGGATCTTAATTCGGATGAAGAGCATACTCATGACATAAGCGATCACAACGGAGGAGATTCCAGCAGTAGCATATGAAGCTTTGACGCTCTTGGCTCTGTTCTTATCAAGCGCCAAATCAAGCATAACGATCCCGATCCCACCGAGAACGAACATAAATCCAGAGGAGAGACCTTCTATGATGTACTGCCCGTTGACCCGACCCGACATAAACACCACGGGTCGTACAGTTCCGGTGATTGGGTCCTGGGTCGATCCGATACCCGGAGGCTCGACGATCACGTCGTAGACGAAACCTGATACTACCAGGAAGTAAGTGAGGAGAATCAGTGCGTACACGGTCATCGGAGACGGCAGCGTGAACGATGGGATCTTGAGGCGGAGACGCGGTGGCCGGAGGATGGAGAACGGGAGGATTCGGAGAAGGTGAAACATCGGATCGATCGAGGACTGATCTGAACCGTCCGATACGCCGGAGCCGGTTGTTAGGGTCTGCGAATCGGATCTCGGAGCCATTTTGTCGGATCCTTAGAATTGCCTCTCTCTCTCTCGACTGTAATTGGAAACTGAATGAACTAGGAGGAGTTTCAGAGATGGGCCTGTTTGGAAACTAGGATACATGTATCCGGTAGTAGGGATGTCAATTTGGGCCAAAGTCCGAAGCCCGGTTCGGCCCGGAAAAATACCGGATTTGGGCTTTGGTATAAAAGCCCAAAAAAAAATCGGAATTTTTAGGCTCAACCCATTCGGGCTAAGCCTATTTGGACTTAAGTCTGATCGGTCTCGGACTTACCCGAAAAGCCATGTACTTTATATTATAAGTTTATTTAGAATTTTTTATTAATATTTTTTTTTACAATTTTAAAAAATTAGAGTTATTAATTTTTTTTATCATACTCTTTATTAATATAAAACCTTAATTTTTAGTTGTGTGCCTTCATATAACATTAATGCTCAAACTAAACTAGTTTCAAGAAGCATTCATACTTTCATCCTGAAGATTTTCATTTCGATTTCTACCGTTTATACTATCTATATTACTTATTATTTAATTATATTTGATATTAGAATTTGTATGAATTTATAAGTTAAAATTTTGCTTTCAGATTTGATAAAACTATATTTATGATTATTTTTAAAATTTATTTTATTTTTCTAAAAAGCCTGAAAAAGCTCGAAAAAGCTCGATAACCCTGTTTGGACCGGGCTGGACTTCAAAATATAGGTTCGATATATTATCAGGCTGGGACGAATTTAAATATATACGAGTTTTATAGATTTTGGACCGGGCTGGGCCGGACCAGTCCGTTTGACATGCCTATCCGGTAGACACGAATCAGTTTTAAATTTTTACTTTTGGAACCTTATCAGGGCATAATTATCGGAGAGCTGTAAGGGGAGGAGTTTTTAAAATTTTTTATTATTAAAAAAATTAATTTTCAAAAAAAAAGAAAAAAAAAACAAATTTGACCAATCAGGTTTCGCCACCTCACAGAAGAGGCGGTCCTGCAGACTCTGGGCAGAGAGGCGCTCCTGCTTCCCAGTCTCGCCATGTCATTTTTTTTTCCTTTTTTCTTTTTTCTTTTTTGTTTAGAGCTCCTCAAAAACTCACCATTAATCATGCTCTCAGTTTCCAGGTTTTTCGATTTCTCCACATAAGATATTAATTGTGCAAAGATGCCCCCTTCGTAATAAATACACTGACGTACAAAAAAATATTGGCCCCTTCCTCTGCATGAACTGCATGACTCTACCAAACGATTTAAAATAATAAAGTGATATGATAAAGTTTTTTTTTTAATAGTATAAGTTAAAATCCATGACAATATAAAATAAAACAAACCAAGAGCGTATTTAGAAAGGAAACCCTAAAAACATTATCTTGCAACTCATAATAGTTATTTGCTTATGGCGGATAAGCGACAGAGACGGCGTCACCGACGAAAACGTCGTAGAAAGCCAAGGGGCCGCAAAGCCAAACGAGCATTAATGGATCCTTCGATCAATGGTGGAACTGATATCATCAGCACTATGCCAGATGAGATCCTCCACCATATCCTCTCCTTTCTTCCTATCAATCTCGTGATCAGAACTTCCTTCTTCTCCAGACGATGGAGGCATGTATGGTGCGAGACACCTTGTCTCAACTTTGATTGTCTCAAAGCGACGCCTCAAGATATTATGCAAACCCTAAAATCCTACAGGGCTACTAAAATCATGAGTTTTCATCTTACAATACCCCCACATGTCCCTGAACCCCAGATTGATGAGTGGATGGAGTTTGCCGTCTCCCGTAACGTGGAGAAGCTGTCTCTGTTCTTCCATCCTTCTCGCAAGACTTATCGTTTCCCAGATTCCTTCTATCGTAGTTCCTCTTTAGAGCAACTCAGCCTTAATTTATATACGATTCCCGGATGCACTGTGTCTTGGAAATCCCTAAGGATATTGACATTGTGGAGTTATCGTCTCCATGATGATGAATTTATGGCTAATATTTTCTCTGGCTCTCCACTTCTTGAAACCTTGAAATTGGTTGGATGTCCTGTTGAGCGTCTTGATCTGAGTAAATCACCGAGTTTGAGGAGACTGGAGATTCATCCTTTATATCGCCGAGGTCGAGGGCCAGCCGAGATTGTAACGCCGCAGATCCATTATTTGAGATTGACATTCTCTGTGGAGAAACCACCTACTTTAGTCCGTGTCTCCTCTTTGGCCGAAGCTAACCTTGGCATTAGCATGGTCAGCTCCGGTTTTCGAAAGGATGATGTTCTTCAGACCATGGTGCTTAAGATGCTAGCAAAACTGCAAAACGTAGAGAGACTTACTTTAAGGACAACCTTTCTTGGGGTACAATTCTTTCATTCTCTAATTAAGGGCTTAAACATAGTGTTTTTTTTTTTGGTTCGATAGGGATTTATGTTTCATATTGTAATACCTCTTCATCGTTTCGCTAGATTTTGTCTGTCGCTGAGCTCCGCGGTGTTGCTTTCCCAACGCTCAAGGTCAAAACGTTGACTGGTGAAACCATGTTAGTAAAATCTGTTGTTCCTGGCATAGCAAGGTTACTACGAAATTCACCTGGATTAAAGAAGCTTATAGCACAAGGAACATACTCGGGCAATGTAGAGGTATTTTTCTACCTTTTATGTTCTTGTATATGGATAAGTAGAACCATGTCTATCACTTTTTGCTTGGCTAAACAATATAGTAGGGATTGATATTAATAAGTAATTAACACTTTTTATGCTCTACAGGATATGGATATGGACAGGTATTTGGATTCACAAGGCTTGCATCCAGATAAATGTTGGGGATCGAAGTACGAGGTGCTTCCTACCACAGATGAGTTGAATAGGATGTTAAAATCTTGCTGTAATGATGCAGCGTCCAAAGTTGTGGCTTCGTTCATGGAAATGGTGCTGAGGAACGGAAAGACACTAGAGACATTGGTTTTAGGGTTTAAAGATATCTACGACCGTGGTGGTCCAATGTGGTTTAAAGAGTTGCTTCAGATTCCTCCAACACTTTGTAACAACAATAATGTCTCCATTGTGCTCAGACGTTATTTTACTTAGTAGTCTAAATTCTTTTATATACAACCTTTTATAGTGTGAACCTCAATTTGGAGAAGTGAAAATAGTTGTATCTGATTTTTTTTAGAGAAGTGTTTGACTAACTATTGCGTCTGGTCTTTCTATCTAGCTTCCGTTGTGTGACTTGTGTCTGTTCATTAAAAGCTCAACGGTAAGATACGCTAATAAAGTATCACCGATCAACTCATGTATGCGTTATGTCTAAGATGTAAGTATCGTGACTTTCCATTATATATATAGCCAATTATATACTTATCTATAGGTTTTAGCCAATGTAATTTGACTATCTTAATAGATAGATATTGGTGACACCGATCTTGGCCACAATTGTACACTTAATTTCTTAGTCATTCTGTCTTTTTATCGGTAGCTGCTAGTGCTACGTTCTCACTTGTTCTAAGCAAAATACTAACATTTTAGTGTTGATATATACACTTTGTTCCAAAAATATTTAATGATCTTTTGAAATAATGAATCTCTCTCTTTCTTATTTTTTTATATTTCTTATTATTTTTTTTGTTATTTTTCTTTCAAAACCACCAAGTCTAAAACGACCACTCACATGCTCTTCCATTACCATTTTGCTGCGAAAGCCTAGAGCCAAACACTATTCAACCACCAAATTGTTTCATCAAAAATCATCAATATTAAAATGGGGCTAAGTCTAGCTAAAGAGTGGATCTGTTTACCTCCTTCGGGAATTGAATCAGCGTCACTCTTCTCTTTGATTTGCTGGTCGATCTGGTGCATTAGCAATCAATGATAAAATCACGTCGGATCGGCCCTGCCTTTCTGACTTGTATCGAGTAACCTTGTTTAAATGTATTTGCCTAAAAAAATATATATATTTTTTTGTAATTTTAGCAATGCCTATAATTCATTTCATAAAGGGAATCTTGCAAAAATAACCCATAAATTCAAGTCAATTACTAAACTAACCTCCCATTTTACCACTTTTGAAATTATCCTATAAAGGTTAGTTTTACAATTGACCCATAAAAATACCTTCTTGATCTCTCAACCCCAATCTTCTTCACTATATGACCTTTCAATTCACCAAGATTAACCCTCTGATCTTGAGAACGTTGCATGATTACTCAGAAAAAAGAATCTGACTTTCTTTCTTACTTATTTTTTCTTCTACACCAAAACCAAAATGAACAGTGGGAGAGTGCTGATACAAGTGACACAGACAAAACCTAACTCCTTCCAATGCAAAATTTGATTTTGGTATAGGCTCCTTGGAATTAAAGGCTCTTCCTTTATCAAATCCCAAATCCATACAATGCAAACCCAAATCTCGTCTCCGCAAGAACCAAAACCCTAGAGATCATATCTACAAGCCCTAAAATTTTTCAATCCTGCTGATTCAGTATCAGTACCAATTAAAAACCCTAGCTTTTTGGGTCACCAAATCATTTTTCCCTCTCGAGGAAGAAACAGCGCAACGAAGCCTCTCCCCAACTTCAATGAAACTGCACCAGCAAAGAAAGACCCAGCATTGTCAAGCCCCAATTTAGAATGTAAAAACTTGGGAATTTTCGGAATTTAACAAGAGTGAATCGAGATCAGTGAAGTTTTGAAAAAGATCCAAGCTTTGGGAACAGAGACACGAATTGGGTTAATTAAAAAAAAAATTGAAATTCGAATTGGAGAAGGAGGAAGTAAGGCAATGAGGAGCGAGAGGAGAGCTTGTAAGCAGAAGAAACAAGTGTTGAGTATTGATTCGCGACCTAACTCAAGCAACGATTGACCAAAATTTCAGACAAATAACACGAGACAGAAGAGGCAAGTTCCGACCAAACCTAATGATTCTTCGCTCCGAACTCGTGTGTATTGCTTCAATTTCCTGTGACCCAGAATCTTGGATTCTCTTCGTGTCTTTCTCGTATTGCCCGGTCGGATTTGAATGTCTGAGCTTTTCGCTCTTCTGTGTTAAAGCTTCGATCGCTGCTTATTGGGTTTCCTCAGTTTTCCTTTTTTTCTGTCTTAATTTGTTTTTTTTCTTCTTCTTCTATTTCTCTCTCTCCAAACGTGTTCTTTTACATCATTTTAATTATATTAATAATCAATATAGATTGCCATTTTATCTTACTTATATCCTTATCAGTTCTATTTATTCACGAAAATGCCATTAGATTATTATTTTTTATTATTATTTCGAAAATCTATTTTACCAAACAATCCTCATATTCCTCACTTATTCACGAAAATGTCATCACCATCAATTCATTCAACCACCATTTTCAACCAATTTGAAGTTTTTATTGCTTCAAAGACCCATTTTTTAGCTTTGTAACCTTATTTCCTCTTCTCTTAACCTTTTACTCTTCCATTTTTTCACCATTTTCAGCACAAAAACTCTCTAATCTAAATTTTTGAAACTTGATGTTTTAATATATTGCCATATTTGGTGATTTGGTCTGGCAAATCGTTTGGGCTTGTTTGGTGGTGGCTGGAATCAAAGAAATCAGTGATTGAATAAGTTAAATACCACTGGTAGGTGATTTTTCAGTCAATTTTCGTGAGTTTTCAGATCTGTGCCGTGAAAGTATACTTCTTAAGAAGTCTACTGTCGGTAGTAGACTTCAAAAGAAGTCTGCTGGTCAACACACATGTTAGTTTTGCAATTGACCAGGTGTACCAATTTCTGACAGTAGACTTCAGTTGAAGTCTGCGCCATTTCCTTTGACAACAAAAAAAAAATAGTGTAAACTTCAAAAGAAGTCTACATAAAAAGGGGTTAGTTTTGCAATTGACCAACCTTTGACTTTTTCGTAAGAAGTCTACTCGCAAAAGTAGACTTCTTCGGAGAAGTCTACTTTGAACTTAGACTTCTTAGAGGTTAGTTTTGCAATTGACCAATGTTGATTTTTTCGAGTAGACTTCGTTTGAAGTCTACTTTTCCGAGTAGACTTCGTTTGAAGTCTACTTTCTGAGTAGACTTCAAAAAAAGTCTACTAGAAAATAAATTCAATGTTTGGTCAACCCCAAAACTAACTCAAGTAGACTTCAAACGAAGTCTACTTTGAAAAGTCAACATTGGTCAATTGCAAAACTAACCTCTAAGAAGTCTACTTTTAAAGTAGACTTCTCCGAAGAAGTCTACTTTTGCAAGTAGACTTCTTACGAAAAAGTCAAAGTTTGATCAATTGCAAAACTAACTTTTTTTTACGTAGACTTCTCGAGTAGACTTCTCGGAGTGAGTAGACTTCTTTGAAAAAGTCTACTCATCTTTTGGCAATTGCAAAAGTAACCTAAAATATAGACTTCATACGAAGTCTACATTTGTAGACTTCATTGCAAGTCTACTTTTGTAAACTTCGTTGTTAGTCTACTATTTCACTTTTTTTATAAACACGTTTTTATCAAATTTACAACGAATTATTAAGATTTTTTTGGTCTTACGATTGTTTTAGTAAGTGTACTTACATCTGTATCAGTTTTACATATTTATATTATATATATATATATATTTGGTGAAATCAAGTTTCTTGTTTTATTTGGTATTTAGCTTATTAGTCCGTAGACTTCGTTTGCAGTCTGCGACATTAATTTTTTTATTAAATTAATTGATCAGATATTTGTAACAAATAAAATTTATTATTTGACTCTTAAGTGTGTGATATTTATTGTTCTTACTTATGTAGGAGTTTGACATGTTTATTTGTTACAGTTTAGCTTTAATTAATTTTCTTGTTCTAATTGGTATTTAGCTTATTAGTCCGCAGACTTCATTTGAAGTCTACATAGTAGACTACGTTTACAGTCTACTTTTTCGACAATGATTTCTAATGTGGTTTGAATTTTGTTTTCTTACAGAGAATGGTTCACATACCCACTGTTTATTGAGAATGTGTGAAGAAAGACTACTTGTGGTATTTCTAAGCAGTTTTACATGTTTTTTTTGTTATGAGTTTTACATGTTTTTGTATAGTTAAATTGAATTAATTTTCTTGTGTTATTAGAGGTTCAAAGATGGTGATGACTAAGTCTGACAAAGAAGTCTGCATATGAAATCTGAATATGATAAAACACACATAATTTAAGAATATATAAAAATAACATTAATTGCAATCCAACTTTACATATAAAGTAGACCTTCTAATCAAACAAACATTTAAAGATCACTAATTATAAATCTTAAAATTAGCATATAAAAACAAAATGTCTGAAATAGATGTATATGACTGAAGTCTGCTCGAGAAGTCTGCTCGAGAAGTCTACTCGAGAAATCTGCAGCTGAAGTGTGCTTCCAACAAAAACAAAAGAGAAATAAATAAGCTCAGGTCTGCACAATAAGAAAAAAAATGTTAAAATTCATATTTCAACAAAATATGTTATATTTACAAACATCATATCTGCAGCAAAAAGAAAAAAAATAAATCAGCTATTCAACAAAAAAAAATTATAGATCTGCAACAATATAAACAAAATTCAGATCTGCAACAAAATAAACAAAATCAGATCTGCAACAACTAAAAATTTAGATCTACAAACAAAAAATCAGATCTGCAACAACAAAAAAATCAGATCTGCAACAAATTCTACAAAATTTATACCATAAGAAGCGCATATTTGCAAAAATAAACTCAGATCTACAACAAGAATCTCAAATATGTAATAATAAACCTAGATTTACAATATGAACACAAAACAAACAACAAAAGAAACACAAAACCTCAGATTTTCTTACCATCACCATAATTGAGATAGAGAGGATGGAGGATAGAGATGGGTTTGATGGCAAGAGAGGAAGGAGAAGAGATTCATGGCTAGAGAGGAGGTAGAGGAGAGAGAGGCGTTTTTTAGAGGGAGAGAAAAACTTTATTTTTAATCCAATTAGGTTAATCTCCTTATATATGTAGGAAAATTTTCGGTTACGTGGACTTCTTAAGAAGTCTACTGGTGAAGTCTACTCGAAAAGTCTACTTTGGTATATTTTTTCGATTTCGATTCCCGCCTAATTTGTTCTGATTCCCGCCCAATTTGTTAAATAATTTTGATTTCCCGCTATGTTTTTTTTAAGTCTGCTGGAGAAGTCTACCCGAGAAGTCTACTGCATACGTATGTTTTCTGTAGTAGACTTCTAAGGGGTTGTATGTTTTCTAGTTAATTTTCTTTCTGCATTTAAGTTGATTCATTTGTATGAAATTTTGTATTCTATACATGTCAAATATATATGTCTTATTTATGTTTACTAATTTTTTAGAAATTTATTTATTTATATTTTCTAATTAATTTTTAAAAAACTAATTATGTAGTAGACTTCTTTTGAAGTCTACAACGATTGTAGACTTCTTACGTAGACTTCTCGAAGGATAAAATCGTAACTGTGACAAACGTTTTTTGTTTAGTCACAAATGACTGAGCTGTAATTTCACTACCCCTTTGGGTTAGTTTTGCCAAACATTCAATAAATGGTCTACATATTGAGAAAAAATCAAGTTTTAGGTTATAAAGAGGAATTCTCCCTTTTATAAATCATTAAAAAGTTGCAATGATTAATTACCAAATGTTGTAACCATAAATCCAAAGGTTGTAATCATAAATCAAAATGTTGTAACCATAAACTAATCCATATAAAACAGATATAAATAGAACTCTAGTATATTTACACTAAATAAGAATTATGAGAATTTGTTATATAAAGAGACACAAATCAAGCCAAATGTTGTAAATAAAATAGATAAAATTCTTATAATTTCAGATCACGACACTAATCAAAAGATTTGATGAGGATGCTTGTACGATGGTTGAAGATAACCAACGATCGTTGGTGAAGATGGTGTCGTAAAGAAAAAAACTAAGATCATCCTGGACACAAGAGGAGAAATCGATGTCTAAATTCAACTTCAAGGCATTGTCAATGATCTAGAAATTCAAATCAAGCTGACAGAGGTCGCGTTGAGAACAAATGTAGCCGAGTGTTTCTTTCTTTCCAAATCATGTATAACGAGGCTTGAAAAGCGAGCTTGAGAATTAAAAACACATTCTTATCACGATTGGGGTCTTTCATCCATCTCACTCCATCCTCAAATAATAAAGGAGGAGCAACATGAGCTCTTGAAGTGAAGAAAGACCAAATCTCTGCACTGCATGGGCAATGAAAGAAGATATGCTGTCTAGACTCATCCAAAGAATTACAGAAAAGACAAACCGAAGGGACTGACATGCAATTTATAACACTTTCGATAATAGATTTAATAACAAATTCTCATAATTTTTTTTTATCTGTGTAGTGTTATTATTTACCTAGTATCTATAATTAACCAACACTTTCATTGATCGATCCTCTCCACTAGTGTTAGAATTTGGAAACTAGGAGGATACAGTATCCACTAAAATTTTACTTTTGGAATAGGTTTCGATTTCTCCACTAAGGATATTAATTGTGCAAAGATACCCCTCTGTAACTACATTGACGTCCGCAAGAATACTATAATCTCAGGGAATATTTACGGCTCTAACCAACGATTTATCTTCCTCAGCGGATTATAAAATAAAATAAGACAATACATAATTAAGAGCGTTACGTTGATAGAAAGTTAGAAACAGAAAGGAAACCCTAAAAACATTATATGCAACTCATATTGCTTATATATAGGCAATAGAGACGTCGAAAACGTCGTAGAAAGCCAAGGCGGCGCAAAAGCAAACGAGCATTAATGGATCCTTCAATCAATGGTGGAACTGATAGCATCAGCTCTATGCCAGATGAGATCCTCCACCATATCCTCTCCTTTCTTCCTATCAAACCCGTGATCAGAACTTCCTTCTTCTCCAGACGATGGAGGCATGTATGGTGCGAGACACCTTGTCTCAACTTTGATTGTCTCAAAGCGACGCCTCAAGATATTATGCAAACCCTAAAATCCTACAGGGCTACTAAAATCATGAGTTTTCATCTTACAATACCCCCACATGTCCCTGAACCCCAGATTGATGAGTGGATGGAGTTTGCCGTCTCCCGTAACGTGGAGAAGCTGTCTCTGTTCTTCCATCCTTCTCGCAAGACTTATCGTTTCCCAGATTCCTTCTATCGTAGTTCCTCTTTAGAGCAACTCAGCCTTAATTTATATACGATTCCCGGATGCACTGTGTCTTGGAAATCCCTAAGGATATTGACATTGTTGGATTGTGGTCTCCGTGATAATGAACCTATGGCTAACATTCTCTCTGGCTCTCCAGTTCTTGAAACCTTGAGATTGGGTGAATGTTTTGTTGAGCGTCTTGATCTGAGTAAATCACCGAGTTTGAGGAGATTGGAGATTCATCCTTTATTTCAACGAGGTCGAAGGCCAGCCGAGATTGTAGCGCCGCAGATCCATTATTTGAGATTGGCATTCTCTTGTGAGGAACCACCTACATTAGTCGATGTCTCCTCTTTGGCTGAAGCTAGCCTTTATATTCGCATGGGCAACTATAAATACGATCCTTTCAGGCATGGTGTTCTTCCGACCATGGTGCTTGAGATGCTAGCAAAACTGCAAAACGTAGAGAGGCTTACTTTTGGGGGAACTCTTCTTCAGGTGTATATATATATATATTTTTTTTTTTTTTTGGGGGCTCTGTAGGGATTTATGTTTCATTGTAATAGCACATGACCTTTTCATCGTTTCGCTAGATCTTGTCCCTCGCTGAGCTCTGCGGTCTTCCTTTCCCAACGCTCAAGGTCCAAACATTGACTGTTGGAACCATGTTTGCAAGATCTGCTATTCCTGGTATAGCAAGGTTACTACAGAATTCACCTGGATTAAAGAAGCTTAGAGCACACGGAACATACGCAGGCAGAATAAAGGTATATTAACAAGTAGAACCATGTCTTTCACTTTTTGCTTGGCTAAACAATATAGTAATGATTGATATTTTGTGAAAAATCACCTCTGCTAGTATTTAACACTTTTTTATGCTCTACAGGATACGGATATGGACATCTATTTGGATTCACAAGGCTTGCACCCAGAGCAATGTTGGAGACCAAAGTACGAGGTGTTTCCTACCACATATGAGTTGAATAGGATGTTAAAATCTTGTTGTAAGGATGCAGCGTCCAAAGTTGTGGCTTCGTTCATGGAAATGTTGCTGAGGAACGGAAAGACACTAGAGACGTTGGTTTTAGGGTTTAAAGATATCTACGAGTTGCTTCAGATTCCTTCAACACTTTGTAGCAACAATAATGTCTCCATTGTGCTCAAACGTTATTTTACTTAGTAGTCTTAATTCTTATATATACAACCTTTTGATAGTGTGAACCTCAATTTGGAAGGTCTTTGAACTCTGTTGGAGCCATCAGACCTGACGTACTGAGGAAGAAATACATTCGTACTTTCTTTGATTCTAAGCTTTCCATACTGTTTTCTATGCCTTCGAATCAGAGTATGGAATATGATTTTGTTTGGCGTGTAATTTTATCTATTTTATATCTAAGAGTTCATATAATAAGATTTAATAGCAAATTCTCATAAATTTTTATCTGCGTAGTGCTGATATTTACCTAGATCCTATAATTAACCTACACTTTCATTGATTGATCCTCTCCGCTAGTGTTAGAATTTGGAAACTAGGATACAAGTATCCGGTAGTCGTAGTTTTAGAGGGGCTTGTTTGGAAACTAGGATACAAGTATCCCGTAGAGGTAAATCAGTTTTAAAATTTTACTTTTGGAACTATACATAAAAGCGTAGTTTAGGGCAAAATTTAAGATCCTAATTGTGTGCTACGTTGATAGAAAGTTAGAAGCAGAAAGGAAACCCTAAAAATATTATTTGCAACTCATAGTTATTGCTTATGGCTAGAGAGACGTACTAAGAAAGCCAAGGGGCCGCAAAAGCAAACGAGCATTAATGGATCCTTCAATCAATGGTGGAACTGATATCATCAGCTGTATGCCAGATGAGATCCTCCACCATATCCTCTCCTTTCTTCCTATCAATCTCGTGATCAGAACTTCCTTCTTCTCCAGACGATGGAGGCATGTATGGTGCGAGACACCTCGTCTCGACTTTGATTGTCTCGACTTTGATTGCCGTGGACGAGAAGCGACGGCTCAAGATATAAATCAAACCCTAAAATCCTACAGGGCTCCGAAAATCACGAGTTTGAACATTAGTATGCCCCAACGTGTCCCTGAACCCCAAGTTGATAAGTGGGTAGAGTTTGCTATCTCCCGTAACGTGGAGAAGCTGTCTCTGCTGTTCTTCGGTCGTTCTGTTAGTCACGAGGCTTATCGTTTCCCAGAGTCCTTCTATCGTAGTTCCTCTTTAGAGCAACTCAGCCTTGATTTTGATATGATTCCCATATGCACTGTGTCTTGGAAATCCCTAAGGGAAGTTACACTGTGGGATTGTGGTCTCCATGATGAATCTATGGCTAAGATTCTCTCTGGCTCTCCACTTCTTGAAACCTTGATATTGGGTGGATGTTTTGTTGAGCGTCTTGATCTGAGTAAATCATCGAGTTTGAGGAGATTGGAGAGTCATCCTTCAATTTGCGAAGATCAAGGGCCAGCCGAGATTGTAGCGCCGCAGATCCATTATATGAGTTTGTCATTCTCTTATAAGGAACCACCTACATTAGTCGATGTCTCCTCTTTGGCCGAAGCTAGCCTTGGCATTCGCATAGACGGCTACGGTTTTCTTATAAAGGCTGGTTTTCTTCGAAAGGCTGGTTCTCTTCCGGCCATGGTGCTTGAGATGCTAGCAAAACTGCAAAACGTAGAGAAACTTACTCTTGGGGGAACCCTTCTTCAGGTATACTGTATATATGTTTACCATTCTCTAATTAAGGGCTTGAAAATAATGTCATAGCACATGACACCTCTTCATCGTTTCGCTAGATTTTGTCTCTCGCTGAGCTCTGCGGTCTTCCTTTCCCAACGCTCAAGGTCAAAACGTTGACTGTTGAAACCACCATGTTTGTAAGATCTGTTATTCCTGGCATAGCAAGGTTACTACAAAATTCACCGGGATTAAAGAAACTTATAACACACGGAACATACTCACGCAGTATACAGGTATTTTCTACCAGAAAAACCTCTTTTATGTTCTTGTATATAAGTAGAACCATGTCTTTCACTTTTTGTTTGGCTCAACAATATAGTAGGGATGGATATTTTGTGAAAAATCACCTGTGGTAGTATGCTTAGGAGTAATTAACACTTTTTATGCTCTACAGGATACGGATATGGACAGCTATTTGGATTCACAAGGCTTGCATCCGGATCAATGTTGGAGACCAAAATACGAGAAGTTTCCTACCACATATGAGTTTAGTGCGATGTTAAAATCTTGCTGTAAGGATGCAGCGTCCAAAGTTGTGGCTTCGTTCATGGAAATGTTGCTGAGGAACGGAAAGACACTAGAGACGTTTGTTGTAAAGTTGGAATATGTCGACGAATTTGATGATGTTCCAAAGTGGTTTGAAGAGTTGCTTCAGATTCCTCCAACACTTTGTAACAACAACGATGTCTCCATTGTGCTCAGACGTTAGTTTACTTAATCTTATAATAATTCTTATACTATACAACCTTTTATATAATTGAAAATATTTGTATCTCAATTTTTAAGAGAAATTGTACAGTTGGCGATTTGGGGGGGTTCAACTAACCATTGCGTCTTGTGTTTCTCTAGCTTTCGTTAATTAAAAAGCTTTAGAGATAAGATTGCTCATTATAAAGATATTGAACGGAAAAAGCTACACTATTTGACGTCTAACAAAAATCATACGCTATTATGATTAATCAAAATTATTTGGTTTATGGAAACTTTTAAGGGCCCACATTTTTTATAATATACATACCGATGTGTGGAAGAGAGAAGGACAAAAGCTTGTTGGGAACAAAAAGACACGAACAATACGGAGGTCCGTGAGATATATAAGTAGCCAAATTCGTATATAATTAACCAACATTTTCATAGTTTCATTGATCGACTCTCTCCACTGGTATTGAGAATTTGGAAACTAGGAATTAATACAAGTATCCGGTAGACGTAAATCAGTTTTCAAATTTTGGTTTGAATAAGATTTATATAATAAGATCTGAATTTTATCTATTTTATATAGTAAGATTTAATAGCAAATTCTCATAAAAAAATTTTATCTGCGCAATGTTGATATTTACCTAGTTCCTACAATCAACCATCACTTTCATTGATCGATCCTCTCCACTAGTGTTAGTGTTAGAATTTGGAAACTAGGATACAAGTATGCACTAAAATTTTACTTTTGGAACTATATCAGTTTCTAGGTTTCGATTTCTCCACTAAAGATATAAATTCTGAAAGATACCCCTCTGTAACTACATTGACGTCCAAAAGAATATTATGGGTTTGACTGGTATGTCAATTTAATAGCAGAATAGTAGAATAGCTGAATAATAAACTAGCAGAATCACTAGGATGGGTAAACTGAAAACTACGCTAAAAGTTAGTATCTATAAGATGAATAGATTATCTTCTAAACTAGTTATAAATTTAAAACGTACGGGATGGTTTAGAAAATAACGTGTTACTTTTCACTTTTTATCATTCAATGCTTAATATTGTGAATGGTATGTATCTAGTGGAATCACGTTTTCAAAACGTGAAAATGTGAAAAAGCTACATACCATTCAACCCCTATATAATCTCAGGGAATATTTACGGCTCTACCTAACGATTTATCTTCCTCCGCCGGATTATAAAATAAAATAAGACAATACATAAGACCAATACATAAGACCAACCCAATAGAGACATTTAGGTGTCTAAACAAATATTTTTAATAATAAAATTGAATAAAAAAATAGTTTAGGGTGTCTTATATTTTAGACGAGCGTCTAAAATAAAACATCAGTGTCTAAATTAAGAATGCACACGTAGTAAGCTGTGAGTAGACGATAGAAAATTTCAGTTTCAATATTGCACTTCTATAATTTATATACTCTGAAATTTCGGGACGGATACTCAGTTCCATCCCGTACCCATTTTAAATTTTCGTCCCTTTCCTGTTTATTTTTTTTTTGTTCAGGATTCTTTATTTTATTTAAACGGATAAGGAAAATGGTAACTGAATTTGAACGGGAACCTGAATTCCCGTTTAAAAAAATTAATATTTCAAAATATTATATAATTTTCCAAATTTTGTTAAATTTTATCGATATCTCCTAAAATTTTCTAAAATTTCCGAATTTTCCCAAAAATTCCCAAATTTTCCCAAAATATGTCTTTAAGTTGAGAGTTTGGGATTCATGTTCCTATCACATATCCGCAGATTCCCGTCCCATACTCGTAGTTTCTCATTCTATTTTTGTCGGATTCTTTTATGGGAATCATTTCTCAATTCCTAAATTTTTCGTTCCCGTTCCGTATCCGTAAACTCCCTTTCTAAATCCTGAAATTTTCAGGGCTTTTATGTATTACATTTTTTAAAATGTATTATGTTTTAAAAGTTATTAACAAAAATTCTTACTTAAATTTATTAAAATATATATATTTTTTAAGACACTCATCAAAAATGTATCCATTGTATGCTCTAAAAACAACAAAATATTATAAAAAGTCTTATATACATAAAATACACAAAATATTAATAATTAATTAATAAGATCCACACTAGTGGTGTTGAGCTTGCTTACCCTGATAAGAAAGTTAGAAACAGAAAGGAAACCCTAATAACATTACTTGCAACTCATAGTTATTGGCTATTGCTTAAGGCAGATAGGCGATAGAGACGTACGGCGTCACCGACGAAAACGTCTTAAAAAGTCAAGGCGGCGCAAAAGCAAACGAGCGTTAATGGATCCTTCAATCAATGGTGGAACTGATATCATCAGCTCTATGCCAGATGAGATCCTCCACCATATCCTCTCCTTTCTTCGTATCAAACCCGTGATCGGAACTTCCATCTTCTCCAGACGATAGAGGCATGTATGGTGCGAGACACCTTGTCTCGACTTTGGTTGTCTCGAAGCGACGCCTCAAGATATTATGCAAACCCTAAAATCCTACAGGGCTACGAAAATCATGAGTTTTTATCTTAGAATACCCCAACATGTCCCTGAACCTCAGATTGATAAGTGGATGGAGTTTGACATCTCCCGTAACGTGGAGAAGCTGTCTCTGTTCTTCGATTGTTCTCATAAGACTTATCGTTTCCCAGATTCCTTCTATTGTAGTTCCTCTTTAGAGCAACTCAGCCTTGATTATGATACGATTCCCAGATGCACTGTGTCTTGGAAATCCCTAAGGAAATTAACATTGTGGAGTTGTCGTCTCCATGAAGATGAATCTATGGCTAATATTCTCTCTGGCTCTCCACTTCTTGAAACCTTGATATTGAGTGGATGTTTTGTTGAGCGTCTCGATCTGAGTAAATCATCGAGTTTGAGGAGATTGGAGATTCATCCTTTATTTTGGGAAGATCAAGGGCCAGCCGAGATTGTAGCGCCGCAGATCCATTATTTGAGTTTGGCATTCTCTTATAAGGAACCACCTACATTAGTCGATGTCTCCTCTTTGATAGAAGTTCATATTCGCATTCGCATGTCCAGCTACGGTTTTCTTGAGACCATGGTGCTTGAGATGCTACCAAAACTGCAAAACGTAGAGAGACTTAATTGTGAGGGAACCCTTCTTCAGGTACCATTCTTTCATTCTCTAAATGAAACATATAGTTTTTTTGGTTCTGTAGAGATTCATGTTTCATTGTAATAGCACATGACCTCTTCATCGTTTCGCTAGATTTTGTCTGCCGCTGAGCTCCGCGGTGTTGCTTTCCCAACGCTCAAGGTCAAAACGTTGACTGTTGAAACCATGTACTTATGCAAGATCTGTTATTCCTGGTATAGCAAGGTTACTACAGAATTCACCTGGATTAAAGAAGCTTGTAGTAATCGTAACACACTCGGGCAATATCGAGGTATTCTCACCAGAAACCTCTTTACTGTTTTATTACAACGATTGATATTTTGACTTGTAAAAAAACTTTTGGAGAGATTAACACTTTTTGTTTATGCTCTACAGGATAGGTATATAGACAGCTATTTGGAATCACAAGGCTTGAGTCCGGATCAATGTTGGAGATCAAAATACGAGGTGTTTCCTACCACTGATGAGTTTAGAAAGATGCTATATCGTTGTGAGGATATGTCCAAAGTTGTGGCTTCGTTCATGGAAATGGCGCTGAGGAACGGGAATACACTAGAGACGTTGGATGTAGGGTTTAATGATATCTACGACTGTGATGGTCCAATTGAAAAGTTGAATCAGATTCCTCCAACACTTTGTAACAACAATAATGTATCCATTGTGCTCAAACGTTATTCTACTTTTTAGTCTTAATTCTTATACAACCTTTTATAATGTGAAATCTCACTTTGGAGAAGCGAAAATATTTGTATCTGAATTTTAAGGGCCCTAGGTTCTTATAATATACATACCGATGTGTGGAATATATTACTAGTGAGAAGGACAAAAGCTTGTTGGGAACAGTCATCATATATACTGTCTAGCATAGCTGCAATATAATATTCATTCACCTCTATAGATTGTAAAGAGAGTAGTGGAGAGAACAAACGATACACCAAAAATAAATAAATAAATTGAATGGAAGATTAATGACTTGAGATAGGGAGAGAGAGAAGAGAGAGGACAATCAATTTGGACATTATATATAAAATATACATTATACTACAATTTTTTTTTTTACTTCCTTAACACCACCTCCAATGGCAGGTTCTTAGAAAAAAATTTAATAGTAAAAAAAAATCAAACAGTAAAAGAAACAAGAGAGAAAATTTTTTAAAATACACTAAATAAAAACCTATTCTAAAATTTTAAGATACTCACTTATATAAATGTTTTATTGTCATTAGTTCATTTTATAAATATTAACATTTAATTATATATGTTAGATTATAATAAAATAATAGTTAAGATATTTGTTTTTTGAACACAATGATTTCAATATAGTTTTTTTTTTTTTTGTGCGACAGTGTTCAATATAGTTATTCAATGATATTTCCTAATAAAATAAATCAAGAGCGTATTAAAAAGGAAACCCTAAAAACATTATTTTGCAACTCATAATAGTTATTTGCTTATGGCGGATAGGCGACGGAGTCGGCGTCACCGACGAAAACGTCGTCGAAAGCCAAGGCTCGGCAAAAGCAAACGAGCATTAATAGATCCTTCAATCAATGGTGGAACTGATATCATCAGCACTATGCCAGATGAGATCCTCCACCATATCCTCTCCTTTCTTCCTATCAATCTCGCGATCAGAACTTCCATCTTCTCCCGACGATGGAGGCATGTATGGTGCGAGACTCCTTGTCTCGACTTTGATCGTCTCGAGTTTTATGACCGTGAACGAGAAGCGACGCCTCAAGATATAAAGCAAACCCTAAAATCCTACAGGGCTACGAAAATCATGAGTTTCCATCTTAGTATGCCCCAACGTGTCCATAAACCCCAAATTGCTAACAGCCCCGGCCCAAACAATTTACAAGCCCTAGGGCGAGATACAAAAAAGGGCCCCTAACACCGGCTACAAAACATATTCGCTTCGTGTTTTAAGCTTCTGAATATCTTTAAAGTTGCATCATATAACCTGAAACAAAATAGAACCCAGTAGTTATTTTGAATAGAAGAAAACGATTATAAAAAACGGTTTTTCCTAGCTTTACTGGATGCAAACTCATGAATAAGTGTTTCAAAATCAATATCCTCTAACATATTTTTCTCAATGCATAAAATTGCTAATCCATTTAAACGTTCTTGGGACATAGAAGATCTCATATAATTTTTCAATAGCTTCAACTTTGAGAAGCTTCTCTCAGCTGATGCTACAGTGACATGTGTAGTTAATAGAAGTCTATAAGCAATTGAAACATTTGGATAACAATTTAAATCTTCAGCATACTCAAGCACTTCAGTAGGTGTCATAGGCACGTCTAGTAAATTCATTTGCAAAATTTTCAGTTCAGAATAAAAGTCCTCTAAATCAACATCAGATACAATGCCATGAGAAAATGTCTTGTGAAAATTAATGCAATGTTCTCTTAATTCATTTCCATCGAAAGACTTTAATTTCAGAGAATCAAACAAAAATCCAAAGACACTTTTAAAAGTAGTCATTTGCTCAAACCTATTTTCCACCGAAACAATGGCCATGTCCACAACAACAAGAAAATAATCAACTCTAAAAGATTCTTCACCCGATAGTGGTTCTTCATCAATATCATTCTCATCAAATTGTCTTTTTCTAAAGATACGACGTTTAATTGGAAATATAGGATCAACATTCATTTCATGAGCAAGACCTTGAGCTACTTTCAAACAACAACTAAACCCCTCATCTCTAAACTTTTCAAAAAACAACATTATACCTTCCAATTGCTTTAAAGCATTATCAATGCATATAGACTTGGATTGTAAATTTTTGCTTACCGTGTTTATAACAAACAGAATTTCATACCAGATAGTCATGCCAAGTAAAAACTCAAAATTCTCAAGTGAACCAACTAAACTTTCAGCTTCACTTTTTGATATGGCATCATCACACGATTCAAATAAATCACATAAAGCTAATCGTACTTGAGGAGCTTAAAACCTAATAGCTTTAACACTTTTTATACGACTCTCCCAACGAGTATTAGACAAACACTTAACAGTCAAGTAAGGAACATGATCAAATAGAATTTTCCACCTTTTTGTAGAACCAGAAAATAGTACATAAATACGTTGCAAAATTCCAAAAAAAGAAATAGCCTTCACACAAGAATGTGCCATATCACTAACCACAAGATTGAGGCTGTGACAAGCACATGGCATATATAACGCTTTTGGATTAATTTCAAGTAATCTCCTTTGAACCCCTTGATGTTTTCCTTTCATATTCGAACCATTGTCATAACCTTGACCTCTCACATTATCAACATCAAGATTGAGAGATTTTAAGGCTTCAAGAGTTTTAGCAAAGAGACCTAATCCAGATGTGTCATCTACAACAATAAACTCTAAAAAGTACTCTTCTACTGTAATCTTTCTTTCAGACAACCTTACACATCGTATTATTAAAGTCATTTGCTCTTGATGACTCACATCCGGTGTACAATCAAGAATGATAGAAAAATATTTGGCCTCTTTGATAATGTTGACTATTGAAACTTGAACTCTATGTGCCAAAAGGGAAATTAACTCATTCTGAATTCTATGACCAAGATAATGATGATGTATTTCATGACTATGAATACGCCTAATATGATCTTGCATTATCAAATCAAATTCAGCAATTGATTCAATCATCCCTAGAAAATTACCATTACTATCTTGGTAAAGTCTTTCATTTGACCCACGAAAAGCTAAATTCTTTTTAGCAAGACATTTCACAACAGCAAGAATTCTAATTAAAACTAGCCTCCATCGTTCTTTCTCTTTTGCAATTTCTTTTTGCATTTCTTTATCAATAATTAGATTTTTCTTAAACCTAACTTTCAGTTCATTCCAAGTTTTCATGTTAGCCATATGCTCTACACTTCTCTCATGTTGCTTAAGTCTCTCGCTAAGATGCTTCCAATCACTAAATCCATCATTTGCTAACACACTTGAATAACCACGAGATTTAAACAACTTGCAACAAAAACAATAAACTCTATTCACATGTTTAGAATAAACTAACCAATTTCTATCACAAGTCTCCCCATTACTCAATTTTCTAGAATAATACGAATATGAGAAATGCCTATTGTTCTTGTCAACAGAAAATTCCAAATTCAATTCTCTTTTAGGTCCAAATTCGATTAATGTATCTCTCATTTTATCATCAAGATTTTCCCAATATCTAGGATCATAAATATCAATCAAAAATGCATTTGACACATTATCATGTTCACTCATTCGATTAGGACCATGAACATTCACACTTTCAAGCATAGATGCATTTGGAACATTATCATGCTCACTTTGATGACTAGGACCATGACCATCATCAACAGCAGCATGATTATCATTCATGTTTTCAGTTGATTGAGAAACATTAGCATTTCGTTTTATAACAAATTTATCTAAAGCACCCTTTTGAGATTGACCAGATAATTCAGCTGCTTTTCTTTTCAGCCGTCTTGCATAACCAGATGTCATGATATTAGTAAAAGAAGAAATAGCACCTGGTTATATTATTTGAACGACAGCAACAAGTGTGAAATGTGAATATAACCAGCTGGTTGTGTAGTGTAATGTGTAACCACCTTGAAACTAAAAAATCACAACACAAACAAATATTTAAAAATCCATAAGAAACAAAAAGATTCAACAAAACAACATGTTGTCATTGATTTCAACAACAATTAACAAAAAGAATAGGATAAAATATACAATACAAACTAGAATTAGAAATCTCGAACTTAGAACCAAAGCAAAACATTTCTTTACAATCTCGAAACTCTCAGACTCGAATAAAGAATCAATGATTCTACTACCAATTTACCATTTGAAAATTAAGGCCTGAACTGAAGATTTTTGTTATTAGGATTTACAAATTACAATTTCTCAATTAATAGATCCTTCAATCAATGGTGGAACTGATAGCATCAGCACTATGCCAGATGAGATCCTCCACCATATCCTCTCCTTTCTTCCTATCAATCTCGCGATCAGAACTTCCATCTTCTCCCGACGATGGAGGCATGTATGGTGCGAGACTCCTTGTCTCGACTTTGATCGTCTCGAGTTTTATGACCGTGAACGAGAAGCGACGCCTCAAGATATAAAGCAAACCCTAAAATCCTACAGGGCTACGAAAATCATGAGTTTCCATCTTAGTATGCCCCAACGTGTCCATAAACCCCAAATTGCTATTTGCTAAGTGGATGAAGTTTGCTATCTCCCGTAACGTGGATTAAAGAAGCTTATAGCACAAGGAACACACGCAGGCAAAATAAAGGTATATTAATAAGTAGAACCATGACTTTCACTTTTTGCTTGGCTAAATAATATAGTAGGGGTTGATATTTTGTGAAAAAATCACCTGTGGTACTAGTATGCTTTGGAGTAACCAACACTTTTTATGCTCTACAGGATAGGGATGTGGACAGCTATTTGGATTCACAAGGCTTGAGTCCGGATCAATGTTGGAGATCAAAATACGAGGTGTTTCCTACCACAGATGAGTTTAATAGGATGTTAAAATCTTGCTGTAAGGATGCAGCGTCCAAAGTTGTGGCTTCGTTCATGGAAATGTTGCTGAGGAACGGAAAGACACTAGAGACGTTTGTTGTAAAGTTGAAATATATCGACGAATTTGATGATGATCCAAAGTGGTTTGAAGAGTTGCTTCAGATTCCTCCAACACTTTGTAACAACAACAATGTATCTATTGTGCTCAAACGTTATTTTGGTTAATCTTATAATAATTCTTATACTACAACCTATTATATAGTAAAACTCATTTTGGAGAAGAGAAAATATTTGTATCTGAATTTTTTTGAGAGAAATTTTACAGTTGACTATTTGGGTGTTCAACTAAGCATTCCAAAAGTAAAATAAGTATGATTCCGCAAAACCACTTATAATTGATAAAAGAAAATGATAATTTTACCTTTATTCTATATTTATTTTTATATGCTTCTCGAATCTGATTTTTCTCTAATGAATTTTTATGGAAAATTTTATTTAGTAAAATGGTAGTAGGGCAAAACTGGCTTCCATAATTTTTATTATTTTTCATTTTATCCAACTGATTCATGTTTCATATATTATAATATTTATATATTTTCTTTTTTCTAAAAAATATTAAATTATAAAAGATTAGTAGAAAACTAAAAGTAAATCACAATGAACATAAAATAATAAAATTATTGAGAATGTTTTCGCAAAACCACTTATAATAGAACTGGTAAAAGAAGTTGGCTTTCTCTTTTATTTTGTATTAACTTGTATATTCTTCCTAAATCTGATTTCTCTCTAACGAACTTTCATCGATAATCTCATTTTGGTAAAATGGTAACAGAGCAAACTAGCTCAATTATAATTGTTCTTTTATTAATTTATATGTTTTTCATCTGATCCGATTGATTCGAGTTTCAGATATTGTAGAAGTTAAATTTTCCTATTTCCTTTTATTTTTAAAAAAGTAAAATTATAAAAAAAAATTATGTGTTTATAGATGTGAATAATATTTTTTTTTTAGGATTAGTGTTACTTAAAAAAACTTTCCTCTTAATTGAAATATATAGTTATTAATTTATTCTATTTTCTTATAAATATTGTAGTAGTTATATTTTTGTTTCTATTAATGGGTATATTTTCTAAACTTAAATTATATTTGTATGTGTCAAAATTTGATCAATTTAAATTGTCACATGTCATAATATGTGAATTACTAACTCTTGACATATTCAATTTGAAATGAAAAAGCTACACTATTTGACGTCTAACAAAAATCATACACTATTTTGATTAAATTTGGTTAATCAAAGTTATTTGGTTTATGGAAACTTTTAAGGGCCAATTTTTTTATAATATACATACCGATGTGTGGAAGAGAGAAGGACAAAAGCTTGTTGGGAACAAAAAGACACGAACAATACGGAGGTCCGTGAGATATAAGTAGCCAAAATAACCAACACTTTCATTGATCCTCTCCGCTAGTGTCAGAATCAACGTCGCAATCACATTTTGGTGGGTATGTCTTGAATTTTTCTAATCTGTTTTTGCTTTGATTTTCTGCAAATCTATAAAGACAATTTTTGTTCTGAACGAACAATTCAGTTGTCACAGACGAATCCGGATAAAAAATAGATCTAAGTCCAAATGAGTTTACGTCAAAATTTTCTGTTTTATTAGATAATTATGGATTCATAGGAATCCCAGAAACTGATGAGATCAACAAGTTCTTGACAAGCGGCCAAAGACATCACGTGTCTCGGTGTCTCTCCCTGTCAAGTCCACGTCACGCCAGCCACTAGCATGTGTGTGAATACCATTTGCGTAGTCAGTTTTACTTAAAGCATCTTTTTTTTTAAGTAAGTGACCTATACTTACTATACATCTTACACTACACAAGATGTTTATCACAGAATATTCGTTTATGGATAATATATTGTTATCATATTATATACCTCAAGTTTTTGTTGTAACCCCACATTCAAGTGGCTCAACGTTGTCATTTAGCTAAAGTGGAAACTAATCTGATGGTTATCATCACAAACTGAGAAATTGTGTTATCATCACAAACTGGAAACCCATATTTCCAGTGTCTGCTCTTAAAATCAATGGAGAAAAAGACATAAAACAGCTTTCATCATTTTTTTTTGGTAATAAACCCAACAAAGCTTTCTTGCCTAAAGGGCCATTGTTATCCTATTGTTACTTATAAACAGTTGTCATGTCTCGTCCTCCTCTTTTGTATATCTCTGCCTTCTTACTCAACTTTTGTTTCAGGCTTCGTCTCTTTTGAAGTTTTGAGGTGGTTGTGGAAGACGAAAGAGCTCAGAGAAGATGTCAAAGGCAAGTGATGGAAGCAGAGAAGTCAGGGAACCATTGGTTCACAGGGATATGGCTGAATCAAAACCGGAGCAGCCATGGATGGTTTATCTTAGCACATTTGTTGCAGTTTGTGGCTCTTTTGCGTTTGGTTCTTGTGTAAGTGAATTTCAAGAAAGCCACCAGCTTTTTTTACTCTTGGCTCCTCTTTGATATTGAAAAAATGGGGTTTTTGATGCAGGCGGGATACTCCTCGCCTACTCAGTCTGCAATTAGGAATGATCTTTCTCTGACTATAGCTGAGGTAGACATATAACTTCAATTGATCATCCCATTGCCATTGTGAAGTTTTGCTTACCACTACCTCGGATTCTGCAGTTTTCACTCTTTGGCTCTTTACTGACTTTTGGTGCAATGATTGGTGCTATCACAAGCGGTCCTATAGCTGATTTAATTGGAAGAAAAGGGGTCAGGAAAAATAAAAATTGAAACTTTCCATCTTAGTTTGGCTTTTCTGAGACTCTATAAGACTACTTACTTGTTGTGGATTTGAATCCAGGCGATGAGAGTTTCTTCTGCGTTTTGTCTCGTCGGGTGGCTAGCAATCTTCTTTGCCAAGGTATTACTCAGAATCCTAAACCAAAATGACTACACTGCTCTCAAATGTTTGCCTGATGTGTCTCTCTTTGTGTCAATCAAAGGGTGTAGTGCCTTTGGATCTCGGAAGACTTGCAACTGGATATGGAATGGGAGCATTCTCCTATGTGGTGAGCTCATTGAGTTGGTTTTTTCTCTGTTCAACAGCGAGTAACACTCTGTGAATGATTTGTTGATGGTAGGTACCAATCTTTATAGCAGAAATTGCACCAAAAACCTTCCGAGGGGCTCTAACAACACTAAACCAGGTACAGAGAACCATGATGATCTTTTGTCTCCCTCATTGTTTTTGAGAATTTTTATGAATTTGGAATCCTCCTCTTGTGCCACAGATTCTGATCTGCACTGGAGTGTCGGTTTCCTTCATTATAGGCACAATGGTTACATGGAGGGTCTTAGCACTAATAGGTTAGGAATCTGTATATCTACTCTAATGAAGTCAGATTCATCTGTTTAACTGAGATGGTACATTGGCTTCAGGAATCATCCCATGCGCTGTCTCCTTTCTTGGCCTATTTTGTATCCCTGAGTCTCCGAGATGGCTGGTAAGACCAAGAAGAAGCACCATGGAAGCTTATATATGTATCCCTTTTAATGAGTACATGTGTTTGTAGGCAAAGATGGGGTGTGATACAGAGTTTAAAGCTGCACTAAGAAAGCTCCGTGGGAAGAAGGCTGATATATCACAGGAGGCAGCAGAGATTCAGGTTTTTTTAAAAAAATCTTGCAACCTATTCTTCCGAATCAAGAAACCATCTCTTGATGCTGAAAACATATATCTCTATCGTTTCTTGACAGGATTATATCGAAACTCTGGAGAGTCTTCCAAAAGCCAAGACGCTGGACTTGTTTCAGAGGAGATACATACGCTCTGTTTTTGTAATACCATAAACAAAAAAAACAAAATTTCTTTATAGGTCACGCTGAATATGCATGTAACGAATTGCATGCTTTGTTGGAGCAGATAGCATTCGGTTTAATGGTGTTTCAGCAGTTTGGAGGAATCAACGGGATCTGTTTCTACACAAGCTCTATATTCGAGCAAGCAGGTTCTTTAACAACAGAGAGATTCTTGAACTATATACTATACGCCTTCACTTGTATCTTAATATGTCATCTTTGTATAATTGTATCAGGTTTCCCCACAAGACTTGGGATGATAACATATGCTGTTCTTCAGGTTCAAGCTTATTTATCTAACGAATACGAGTCCAGTCCCATAGAATGTTTGTACTCTTCTTAATCTTGTTTTGTTCACAACCAGGTGGTAATCACTGCGCTTAACGCACCAATAGTTGACAGAGCCGGAAGAAAGCCATTGCTACTGGTAAATAAAAGAAAGAAACAAGAAGAGTCTTGTAAAGATTTAGGCAGAACATGATTATATAACCTTGTGGTGTCAGGTTTCTGCAACAGGGTTAGTGATAGGCTGTTTGATAGCAGCGGTCTCGTTCTATCTTAAGGCACACGACATGGCACACAAAGCAGTCCCAGTCTTGGCTGTTGTTGGTATAATGGTAAGTGAACTGAGATTTTTTTTTTTTTAAAGTAATTTCACCAATCCCAAATAGATTTTGTTTAAGATCATATATGTTGGTGAGAGATCAGGTGTACATAGGATCGTTTTCAGCAGGAATGGGAGCAATGCCTTGGGTTGTGATGTCTGAGGTAAATACAAATCTCAACTTTTTTACGTGAGAGTGAGAAGTTACTTTTTACGGTTTTACCAAAACAGATTAAAACTTTGCAGATATTTCCCATAAACATAAAAGGAGTAGCAGGAGGCATGGCGACGCTTGTGAACTGGTTTGGAGCGTGGGCTGTTTCCTACACTTTCAACTTCCTCATGTCTTGGAGCTCTTATGGAACTTTCATCATTTACGCGGTGATCAACGCTTTGGCCATCGTCTTTGTCATCGCCGTCGTGCCTGAAACCAAAGGGAAGACATTGGAGCAGATCCAAGTTTTGGTCAATCCATAGTTGAACTGATGATGAGATATTTAGTAGCAATCATTGAATCTCTTTGCTTTTGAGATTCTTTACTAAACTATTTATCAAATCTCAAAAGCTTATCCTTCTCAATTCTCAAACTTACCATCCATTTAAGATTCATGAATCTTGGTCTTACTCAATGTATAGATTGTTTATGAAGAGATGCTTTATAGTTGTCTCTTATGTGAATTTACATGACTTCTTGTTCTTGAATGATCCATGTTTTTATATTAACAGACAGCTTCAATACTTGTTACCAAAATAAACCAAATCATGTAAAGTGAATCAAACCGGCAAAAATAAACCAACACTTGTTACATTTCTTACTACGGACGTTCTGCCGTTTTCAAGGCAGAAAATAAACGACACGTAGTTCTATTTTAGATGACAAAACGACACGTAGTTCTATTTTAGATGACAAACCCGGCATGATTTGGTTGCTTTACCGAAACTATCAATCTCCGTCATCTTCCGCCGCATTAACTCCTAAAGTATAAGCGAAAGAGTTTGATTTTGTCTTCGAGCTTGCGATCTTCAGCTTTTTTATTCACGAGACAAAACCTTAAAATTGACATCGCTGTGGTTCCGATCATTTTCCGGCGAACTTGATTCCAGAGTAGCTAATTCAATGGCTTACGTCGACCACGCGTTCTCGATATCGGACGAGGACCTAATGATTGGGACCTCGTACACCGTCAGTAATCGACCGCCGGTGAAGGAGATCTCACTCGCGGTGGCTCTCCTCGTGTTCGGAACCCTAGGAATTGTTTCCGGTTTCTTCATGGCGTACAACAGAGTTGGCGGCGATCGGGGCCACGGTACGATTCCTTTGTTAAATTGTTACTAATATTTCGCTTGCACGATTCACTTAGCTCATCATTATCTGGTTTCCAGACGTTTTTGTTAATCAAAAATACTCGATAATCTGGCTAATTTCTTAGTCCTGCTTCTTGCTTGTGAGTTTTTGATTAATGTTATAGGCTTGTTCGTTTCCTGGAGAAACCTAGTTTGAGAAATTTTGGGAATTTCTTGAGAAATTTTGTGGATATTGAGGAATTTATTGATTTAGGCTTTTTAGTTGGACTTGGTTTTGATCATGTGGAACTCTCTAAAACATTTCTCTAGAGGCATGATGTATGGTTGCTCTCTGAGAAACTTCCACTGCTTAGTTAGCTTTAACCTTTAGAGAGAAGAAGAGAACTTTTATATGGTGATCCTAAGCTTTTCTTTTTGTCAGATTTTAGTCGAAATCAATAAAATGTATTCCTCTGATCTCATCTTGATTGTTTCCAGTTGAGAAATGTGTTTTTATATATAAACATATTCTAAAACCTGTGTGTTTTGCAATATGCTGATTCTCTGGTTGCCTGAAACTTCTTATCAATGCTATGTGAAAGAAAACATCTGCATCAGATTCGTTGTATAGTAAAAAAGATTATTTTCCTTTCGATTGCAAGAAACAATCACTTGTTTCTCAAATGTCACATCAATAACTGATCGTTTCTATGTAACTTGTTCTTGGGTTCTTTCTCACTTCTCTCTCCTTAAAACAAAAACAATTGAGAAATCTGTATACACCAAGTGGGTTGTAGAATGTTAAACAAGGCACTGCCTTACTAATGATTTACCGAAGACTCACTCTTCTTTTTGTTGTTGTTGTTGTTGTCTGATTGTTGGTGGTGAAACAGGGATCTTCTTCATGGTACTCGGGTGTCTTCTGTTTATCCCTGGGTTTTACTATACGAGGATTGCATATTACGCTTACAAAGGATACAAAGGTTTCTCCTTCTCGAACATTCCATCTGTGTAACTCCTTGTGAATCTCGGTCTCTTCTCTCTTACTCAATGTATAGGTTTGTTTCTTTCTTTCTGAGGGCAGGTTTATCTTCTCTTTAGTGTGACTTTTGTATGACTTGAATGATCCATGTTTGATATGTATCTATTTTGATATCTCTCACTCTGTATGTTAGTTTCATTAGTCTTGGGTTAATATGTACCACTTCATCCTTGTTACACATAGACCAAACTAATCACATGTAATGCTTAAAGTGTTAAGTGAATCTAAACAACACAATCTCTAGGATCTACAATTAACTTGTTTATTTACTTCGGATCTATAAATAAGACGAGAAATTTGGGACTGATACGTCAGAATCGGTCAAATACCGTAAACCGTAACTCCGGTTCTTAAAAGTAATTCCCGGTTTAGCTGAATTTGGCTCTTGCTTCTTCACTCTATCGTGCCGCCACAAACACTACCCGCCTCTCACTTCCCCATCTCTCTTCTCTCTCTAAAAAAAATGGCCTCATGCTCTTTCTTCAGTTCCTCTCTCTCTTCCTTCAACCTCCCTAAACAAAACTCTCTCCACCGCCGTAGCTCCGCCGTTACTCTCCGCTGCCGCCACGTTATCGTTTCCTCCACCGTGAAAACAGCCGATGGAAACAGTAACGGCACTTCTTCATCTTCTCCGGCGGAAACCACAGTCAAGCCTCTTCGCACCGAAGATAACATCCGCGATGAAGCTCGCCGCCATCGCTCAGCCTCCGCTAATCCTTTCTCCGCCAGATACGTACCGTTCAACGCGCCGCCTGATTCCACCGAATTTTACTCCCTCGACGAAATCGTCTACCGGAGCAAATCCGGCGGCCTGCTCGACGTGCAGCACGACATCGACGCCTTGAAGAATTACGACGGAGCTTACTGGCGCGAATTGTTCGATTCGCGCGTCGGGAAAACCAAGTGGCCGTACGGATCTGGAGTCTGGTCGAAGAAAGAGTGGGTCCTCCCTGAAATCGACGACGATGACATCGTCTCTGCTTTCGAAGGAAACTCTAATCTCTTCTGGGCGGAGAGATTCGGCAAAAAGTTTCTAGGGATGAACGATTTGTGGGTCAAACATTGTGGAATCAGCCATACCGGAAGTTTCAAAGATTTAGGAATGACTGTATTGGTTAGCCAAGTCAACCGTCTCAGGAAGATGAATCGTCCCGTGGTCGGAGTAGGATGTGCTTCCACCGGAGATACTTCAGCTGCTCTATCGGCTTATTGCGCATCCGCCGGAATCCCTTCGATCGTGATCTTACCGGCGAACAAGATCTCCATGGCTCAGCTTGTTCAACCCATAGCGAACGGTGCGTTCGTTCTGAGCATCGACACCGATTTCGACGGATGTATGAAGCTGATCAGGGAGATTACATCGGAGTTGCCGATTTATCTGGCGAATTCGTTGAACAGTTTGAGGCTAGAAGGGCAAAAGACTGCAGCTATAGAGATCCTTCAGCAGTTTAACTGGCAGGTTCCTGATTGGGTGATTGTTCCTGGAGGCAACCTTGGTAACATCTATGCGTTTTACAAGGGGTTTAAAATGTGTCAAGAGCTCGGTCTTGTCGATAAGGTCCCGAGGCTGGTTTGCGCGCAAGCGGCTAACGCGAACCCGCTTTACTTGCATTACAAGTCAGGCTGGAGAGACTTCAAACCGGTGAAGGCGAGTGCCACTTTCGCCTCTGCGATTCAGATTGGTGATCCGGTTTCGATAGACAGGGCGGTGTACGCTCTTAGAAACTGCGGCGGGATCGTGGAAGAAGCCACGGAAGAGGAGCTTATGGACGCCATGGCTCAGGCTGATTCGACCGGAATGTTTGTATGTCCACACACTGGTGTCGCCCTAACGGCTCTGTTCAAATTGAGGAACCAAGGAGTGATTGCACCGACTGATCGGACCGTGGTGGTTAGTACTGCTCACGGGTTGAAGTTCACTCAGTCTAAGATTGATTACCACTCGAAAGCCATACCGGATATGGCTTGCCGGTTCTCAAATCCGCCGGTGGAAGTGAAGGCGGATTTTGGAGCTGTCATGGATGTCCTCAAGGGTTACTTGGGGAGTAAGGCACTTAGGTTATAAATCGGCCATTGTTATTTTAGCTACTACTTGTATATCTATGTCTTCTTTTTCTTTCCAGTTTCACTACTTAATATTCTTTTGATATAAACAAGGTCCCTCACTTTGAGTCTGATCATGATGCTTTGCTAAAAAGAATGCCCGAACCGCGACATCTCCAGCTTTATGGTAACTGACTAGTGGTAATCGAGTGTAGACTTAATACTTATCCTCGCTCATGGTTAATTACTACTAGTCGGCGGTTATTAGCAGAACAAGATCATCAGCTGTTGAAAATCTACTAGAGAGTAGTTTTAAGCATCGTTAGAGTTTGATATTTTGCCTCATGTACTGTTTGTCTCAATCCAAACAACGTAGTGTTCGTACTCATGGTCAAAAGCGATATAGGCCATTCTTGTCCACGACTCAAGATATTGAAGCTTAACTATTTCCATTACAGATCTTGTAAAAAAACCACTTGTTATGATAAAATCTTGAAAAGCAAGTATGGAAGAATAAAATATTGAAATTTATCACAACGATTGATTGTTAAAAATTGTAATTTTAAAACATTCCAAGGTAATCAAAATTGTACATATACATCTATTAAAATGACATTAATTAATGTTCGTTTACAAAATACTATAATTCAAGATATATGTACGTAAAAAGTAGGTGTACATGTACAGTACTTTCCATAATTCTGTGAAAACTAGGGATCGAGAGTCACGAGTCATGGCTCTTCGTATTCTAATAAAATGTCAATAAGACTGCTTAGCCTTCTTCCCTCGCATGTTTTCAAGAAAAGTTAATCTTTCCAAGACACCTCTTTCTCTTACTATCGTCGATTGATAAAAGAAAAAAATTAATCTTCATCTTAAATGTTTATTCTTTCTCTTGCCATATATATTAGAGGATATGCTAGTGATCTTTAGAACTGCCACACTCTTTTGGAATAGTTAAGGTCGTCGTTCTAGCTAGTAAGAATGGGTTCATGCAAAACATATTCTAGGATGTGGATCTTAATTTTGGTATTTAACCAATCGGTTAGTTCAGTGAGTTGTACGGTTTCACAAAACTGGAGGAACGTCATCCTTCTTCATATTCACTCAAGATCCAAAACTTCTCGCAACTCAAAAACTCAACTCTCTTCTCTGACGAAAAATACCAGTCTCGTCGTTTCTCTTCTGGTGGATATAACTGGTACGTGTCCTGCGTATATTTACTTAGCATTGTTTTCCTCCCTCACCATTCATCGTCAAGATAATAAAAATTTCATTTATGTGTTTCTTGCAATAATTTAAAAAACAGAAAAATATTATCTAAGTTAATGCAAATCTTTTATTATTTAATAAAACAGGAGCCTAATCATATACCCGGAAGGGAACAAACTGGACAATGAGAGTGGCTTTATTTCAATGTATGTGGAAATAGATAGCATAAGCTTCGTGTCCACTCTATCATTTGAGGTGTTTGCGGATCTGAGATTCTCTGTCTACAACAAGAGGAAAAACAAGTTCTTTACTATTCAAGGTTCGTACGAACATTCAAAGGTTTTTGGGGTCATTTTCATTACTTAAGTCAACACTATATTTCATATACTATATGTGTAGATGTAGAAGCGATCAAGTCGTTCAATACATTAAGAACGGTGTGGGGATTTCCTCGAGTGCTTCCACTTGATACATTCAATGACCCTATAAACGGATACATCTATGAAGCTGACCAATGTGAGTTTGGTGTTGATTTCATTGTCGCTCCACCACCTACCAATTGGAAAATCCTCTCTTTTCATGAGAAGTTTCCTCGTCCGAAATTCTCTTGGACTGTTGCCAGTTTCTCTAAGTTGAAAGAGAACTCTTACACATCAACCAAGTTCTCAATGGGAGGAAGTTATTGGTGAGTACTCTATACAGTATTATTTTTACATTCTTGTGTCTTGTTTTGCAGTATCATAATATTGTGAATACGACTAAGTCTTAACAAGTGCATAATATTGTTATTTAGGGTTCTAAAGTTGTATCCAAAAGGCAACCGTAGAGCAGATGGCAAATGGGTATCCATTTTTCTGTGTTTGGATTACAATGAAACATTAGAGGCCGATGAGAAGATTTACACAAGAGCACATCTCCGAGTTCAAGATCCATTAGGATACAACCACATCACAAACAAACGTATGTAATAAAACACTATACTATATTATTACTAATTTCTTTAACCAACACCATTTGATAAGATACTATAATGATATTTTTTGTCATTTGATATGTTTTTTTTCTCTAGTTAACAATTAACACTACATGCAGATGACTGCTGGCACGATAACCAACGCGAATGTTGGGGTTGGTATCAATTTGTGTCTATAGCTGATCTGCATGCTTACTTGGACAAGGAGGGCTCTTTGAGTTTGGACATTGAATTTGAAGTTGTCTCCACAACCATATGAGCTCTTATTTTTTAAATATAAAATTATCTACCTTTCATACATGCTATGACTACTATTATCAATACATTGATATGTGTTAAACGTCTTTTTTAGTTTTCTATCTGTTCTTTAAGTTTTGTTCTGCTTGGTATTGATTAGGAATTTTAATTCTAAAACAAATGAATTTGGTTAAATATGTTTAAGGTCATTTGATTATCTTTTGTGTTTGCGTTTGTGTCTATGTTGGAATACTTATGATACTGTAACATGGACATCCAAACACAACCGCAAAAAAACAAAAACAAAAACTCAATATCATAAATATACATGTGTTATGAATTATCATATAAAATATATGTGTATATATGGGATACATAAGTCTTTGTGTGTTGTATATATTATATTATATACATAAGAATGAATGTGAGAGTGGAAGAAAGTTAGAAAAAGAATACAATCTTATGTCCTTCTTATTCTCATTAATTACATACAGTAATTTTACAAATGAATACTTCTTCTCTATCAAACTATTTTTCCTTCTAGGTTGTTTTATTTAGATTATAACATGTTAAATTATTAACCATATCCTAAAAAACAAGTTGACTATAGTATTTTCCATTACGTCTCTAGTTAAATTGGATATTTAATACTCAACTAGGTGTTTCCCTACACTTTGTGAGAGGTTCAATTTTTTTCTTTTTCAAAAGTAATAATAATAGTTTATTTATAGATAAAAAATAATATTTTATAATCATTGGAAACCAAAATTAATATATCTGAAAAATATAATTTTTATGAGTATATTTTTTTGTGACAAAGCAAAAAATATTATTTATATTTTATTTTTTTATATTATTCGATAAAAATTTATATGTATGTTTGTTGTTTTATTGCATTTATCAAACATATAATTAATTTTCTTCTTTTGGTCTAAATTAGCATATTAAGATTAATAAAATTCAAAGTTTGCATCAAAAAAAATATAGCAATCCGAAATGACCAAAACCAAATAATTTTTGTTTCATATCAACTTAACATTAATTATTATATATAAAGTTTTAAAAGGGTTTAAATGATTAAAAGTTTTACTTGTAGCCACATAAATTAGTTAGGTTAGTTAAAAATATTAGTAGGTTAAACAATCAAATTAAAATTAGTTTAAGTAAATAATTAGGATCATTTTGTTATTTATGATAGTTACCTTTTTTAGTATACTGAATATTTTTATGATTTAAATAAAATCTTTTCATATAAGGAGCAAAGAGTAATCAATCATTATAACTCTCAACCACAGCCCAATTTGCTTCTCAATTAATAATATGATCTTACGTTAAAAATACAAAACCACAATTAATTTGGAACAAAAAAAATAAATCTAAAATGACAAGTATTTTAAAATGGAGGAAGTACTCGATAAATTAATAAATTATTTCTGTTTCTGAATTAAATTGGTTAAAAATATAATAGAATTTGATAAAATAATGAGATAAATATTTTAACAAAACTTTTATACAAATATATAGCCATGTCAATATTATTAATTAATAACTACTCTTATGACTTTAAATAATGAATGTTTTGAGTTTTTCATATTTGTGAAGAATTTGTTTTAAAAAAATTATATCTTTGTTTTTATTAGTTACTATGAAATAAATCCACATGTTTGCGGGTAATTATTTATTTTTGTGAAATTAATAAATAAATTCTCAATTTTCATATTTTGGTCAAACAAATCAGTAATTATCTAATAAACGTATTTTGAAAATTTAATAAAGTTATACTTACAAAGAAAATATATTAGAATTTGTAATATTTTTAGACATTTAAATATGATATATGTGTTTTTATTTCATTATAATTTGAACTTTGATGATATTTACAATTTATTTTGGACTTTTTAGTATATCCTTTTAACATATTTCAGTCATTTTGATACTTTTTGTCAAAATTTCAGTATTAAAATGATTAAATAGGTTTATTTAATTTATATTACAGTATTAAAATGATTTAAAAAGTTTAATTAATTTATAATTTATAATATATTAAATGGAATAGAATTTTTTATTATACTTTTATATTTATTAGATTGTTGTTGATACATATAATCGTTAATTTAGCTAAATTAAATTTGAAATTAAATGTTGTTATCGCATATGATTGTGTATTGAAGCTTTATTGATACATATGATCGTTTGTCTCGGGTTTTTGTTGTTGTCTTTTGTAAATGTCCACAACTCCTCTTATAATGATCAAAAGTTGCAAAGTTAACCACTAACCATTGCAATGGTTAAGTGAGTTGCAATGATTAATCAACACAAGTTGAAGGTGGTTGGTCATCAGAAAGTTTGCAGTGGTTAATTATATTAATCATACACCTAGCAATTACAATAATTCATTCCAACAATTGCAAATGTTCATCAAATAGTTGAAATGGTTCATTTGAAATGTTTGCAACGATTCACTTATATCTCAAATATTCCATCTCATCCTAACTATTATTTAAGAAGCATGTTTACTAAAACAATCTCATGTGTCAACAACTAAAGAAAAGTTAGTGTAAAACAATGTCATGTCATAAATGTGACATGGCAAATTTTTTAAAATAAATGAAATATTTTGATTGGTTAAGTTAAAACTAAATAAATCTCATTTTTAAATAAGAAATTTTTTTATATCATATGTGAATAAATTTTTATTATATAGCAAGAATTCGAAATTATAAATAAAACAAAAAATAAATAGAGAGAAAAATAAATTATAAGTATCCTCTTAGCAACTTTTTTTTATTATAATATTGTATATATGAATAAAAAGTAGAAGTAAAAATATATAATGAATCTTTGCAACTTTGATTTTATATACAAATCTCATGTTATATTTTTGATTTAAAACATCTCCAACTCACTTTATTTTAAATATTCTAATTTAGAGGAAAAAGAAAGGTTGTTATTTTTTTAATTATAGATGAAAAATAATAATCTTTCTTATTTTATGTAAAATAGAATTAGGTTGGAGAGAAATCTACTTATATTTTAGAGAAAAAAATAAAAAAATACAATTGAGATGATCTTAATGTTAAATATATTATTAACGGTTAAAAAAATATGCGTCAAAGAAGAGAAAACAAAATAAGAATAGATTTTATGTTTTTATTTCAAATAATTAAAAATATTATCTTACACATATTAATTTTTTCATGCATATATTTTTTCCACTATATTAAAACATTATTTCATGAATCAATTTTTTTTTTGTATATGTTGTGATTCATTATATTTTGTATGAACAACTATATTAAATTTAGGAATATATCAACTCTTAATTTTTAATATAACAATCAAATATTAAATATATTATTTTACACTTTAAATAATACACAAATAAGTTTGGATCTGATTGGCTTAAACGATTATGTTACACAAAGTTTGTGGAAATGAGCAATTGCGGATTATTAAAAAACTTGACGAAGAGATAAGCAGAGATCTACCAGAGAATTTTATGAAATATGATTTCAGAAATTTAATAATAAATATTTATTATATTTCTATTGAGAAACTATATATCATAAAAAAACTGAAAAATATATTTTTTGATTAAATACAAAACGATAAAAACAGTTTTAGTGATTGTTGTTAAACGCCAATAATTGCATCGTATCAAAACATATAGTTTGCGAAAAATATCAAAAAAACTTACTAACACCTAAATATTTCAATTCACTTATTTCTTACTCATACCTAATGCATAAATATACTTATTTTTTTAAAAAAGGAGAATCAACCATACGATATATAAATATGTATTACAAAACATATATTTTTTTGTTTTCTTTTAACACATAAAAGCCATACTTCGATTTTCTTTTAAATATGCGTGTAGATATAAATATTAATTGTGTAAAAGTCAAACTTGCATGCAAATTTGTTGTGCATACATTTTGTTAACCTCGATTACACTCTAATTTTAATTTTAGTTGTTAATTTATATTTTTTTAAAATCTTTATATGTCCTAAGAGCGGTGAGGTGGTTGGTACGCACGGATGTGCGGACCAACCATCTACCCGCTCTTAGGATAAGTAAATATGATAAACATCATTTTGGTTTAATTAGCAATAGGTCAAAGAAAAAAAATACTTAATATATATATATATTGGCAAGATTATATTGTGTAATATATATATATATATATATATTGGCAAGATTATATTGTGTAAAAGTATAGTATAGATAATATTCAAAACATATTATAAAAATTTAATTATTATTTAATATAATTTTTATATTTACAATTATTTGTTAATGTAAAAGCTAGAAAAAAAAATCAGAAGACATAAAAAGATATGAAACGTTTGTGTGAGTGTTGTTTAACACTAAAAATATATATGTATATAAACATAACGTTTACATAAAGTATAAGAAAAAACAATCAGTACTTAAATATTACAACTAATTATATCTAAAAAAGTTATACATGCACATGCGTGCGAGTCAAAAATAAAAATTAAATAAATAATTATAGATTTTCATGTTTTCCTATTTATTTAGTTATCATATTTAAATTTTTTGATCTAAGAAAATATGTTAAAGTTTTAGTTCATATTTTTTATCTTCAGTTTCTTTTGAAATCTCTAAAATTTTATATTTAATTTATTATTTTTAATTATTAATACATAACTAAATGTATTCAAATGAAACATTTTCAATACTATATTAATAATAATTAAATATATTAAATATTTTATAGCCTGCACACGTGCATGCCGATCACCTAGTTTTATTTTATATAATGAGATGGAATTGATTATGAGGTTGGTGATCTATATACTGTACTTTGCATTATAAAACTTTTTTTGAATCTCTGACATTATCAGCAATACATGATCAAAATAACTGCAATTGTAAAATTTGAAGTTCTAACCATATTAATAAATTATTTATTCTAAAATTGAATGATGTGCATAAAAAATGGTTAAAATAAATATTAAAATAATGTTGGTAGTAGTAATGGTATCACCGTAAAAAAAAGGTTATGAATCAAATGCCGACATATCAAGGAAAAATCAATAACAACCGATTTGTATATTTTTGTTGGGGAGATTGAAGAAATATGTTTATGTATCTTGAATGTTTTTCTTCTTTTGTATTTAGGAGAAATATGGTCCAAAGGGGCAGTCAAAACCATATAATGGCTCACCTGAAAATCCAAACGACAACTCGATACAACAGCTTGATTTCGACATGAGTCTTCGGTTATCCAATTGTCCTTCATGGGTTTGTAGGTACTCATTTTTAGACTTCCTTTAATTTTCTGTAATCAAGTTAAATTTTCTAGTCGAGATTGGTTTAGGAGTGCAATAAAGTCAATATATAAGAAACGTTATATCGATCTGGATTTTGATGATAATAGTGGAGAATTTGTTCGAAATGTAGTGTTGTTTGTGTGTGTTCTCTTGTGGTGATGTTTTTATGAGGACATTCTTTGAGTATTATCTATTTGGTTGCAGCTTATGTAACTCAAAGAGTACTTGCGAGCATGATTTTTTGGCCCATGTCCGTGGAAAGAAACACCGAGAAAATGCGAAAGGGTTTGATGCTAAGAAACGGAAACAATTTGAACAACCAATGATACATAAGGGTAACTCGAACCTACTGCCAGACTTTGACATAACTGTCGGGCTGTCAAACCAATCTCCATGGTTTTGTAGGTATATCTTTCACCTTTCATTCCATTTTCATTCTATTGGTCTAGGAGTTCGATACAGTGGATCTATAAGAAACCTTATCTATCTTTTTTTGGATTTTGATGAAACTACGTATTGTTGTTTGTGTGTGTTCTCTCTTGTGGTGACGTTTTATGAGGACATGCGTTGAATGGTATCTATTTTGGTTCCAGCTTGTGTAACATAAAGGCTTCTTGCCGGCAGAATTTGCTATCACATGCCATTGGGAATAAACACCAAGCAAATCTCAAACTGTTCGATGCTGAACAACAACAACAACGACAATCAGAACATTCCAAGAAGGACAACTCAAAACAACAGATCAACGTCGATGTAAATGTCGGGCTATCCAATTGTTATCCATGGTTTTGTAGGTAATCAGATTCTCCACATTTTCCACTGCGATTTTTCTGTGTCGAGTGAGAAATGGATACTTGTTTTCGAGGTGAAATTAGTTATATGTTAGTGGAGAGAAATATCAATAATTATGTACTAACTGAGGCTGGTCTACATTGTTTAGGAGTATAATAATAATGTCGTTCTAGAAAAAAAAACTGATCTGTCTGTAGTGGCAAAGCTTGTGGAAACTTTGTTTTAGAATGCAAGTGCCTTGTTTTTGTGTTATCTTAGTAAGTTAGTCGCAGCTATAAAGGGGAGTCATATATTTGGTTGGTTTTTGAGGTATTTAGGCAGAGCACAAAGCCCTAAGTTAGTTGTTCTTTGGTATGGTTTCATGGACTTCTCTTTGATTCTGTACTATGATAAATATAGGAGATTATGTGTTCGTTGGACTTGCTTTGAGTTTATTTATCTGTTTGTGCCAGCTTGTGTAACATGAAAGCTACCAGCCAGCAGTGTTTGCTTTCCCATGGCAATGGCAGGAAACATCGAGAAAATGTTGAATGGTTCAACGCTACTCAACTACACTCAGAACGTTCCACGATGGAAACGAAGGATACAATTGAAAATGCTTCTAATGGTGATTCAGAACAGAAGAAAGTAGATCGACATGTTTCCTCAGGTGTTGCGAATGGGTATTCAAAGGCTGGCAAAAAGAGAAAGCTAGAGACTTTCGATGAAACATCGAACGGGGAGGTAGTTCAAGCCGAGGAAGCGGAAGGAAGGGTTGAAAAAAAAAGCAAATCAAAGAAAGCCAAGAAACAAGACGATGAGAAGAAGGCAAAGACGAAACAGACTGAGTCGGACTCTGATTTTGAGCACGAAAAGGAAGACATGAAGCTGCTACTGATATCTTACTCGAAAGAAGAGCTTGTTAACCTCGTTTACAAGACCGCCGAGAAGGGTTCTCGGTTGATGTCGGCCATCCTTAAGTCTGCGGATCGTGACATCTCTCAGCGCAATATATTTGTGCGTGGTTTTGGATGGGAGACAACGGAGGAGTACCTCAAGGCAGCTTTTGAGTCCTACGGGGAGGTAGAGAAGTGCTCGGTGGTCATGGACAAGGACACGGGAAGATCGAAACGGTACGGGTTCGTGGTGTTCAAGACGCGAAAGGGCGCGAGAGAGGCACTTAAAATTCCGGAGAAGAGGATGTACAACCGCACCGTGGTATGTAATCTAGCATCAGCGAAGCCGTGTGGAGCTGGAAATAGGCATGAAGTGGTTGAACCAGTGAAGATTGAGCTAACTCAGATGGCTAATCAGAGTGAAGTGGCCTTACCCGGGCTTGACCTGGCTCACGAACATGTACTCAAGCAGAGGCAGCAGCAACCGTATATGGAGATGTTTGGACCGAACATGCCCTTTTACGGACACTCTCAGCCTCCTAGTTTTGATCCGATGTATGGTGCATTATGGGGTAATCAAATGGTCGCTGGTCTACCCAACTATAGTATGTTTGGCTCTGGTCTGATGAACCAAGGATCATTGGTGGCACCGAATCACGTGGGCATGGCGGGGCAATATTTTGGTGATGATCAGGGTACTTGGTATATCTGAGATAGCTAAGATCAATTGATGATAATGCTTTGTTCTCTCACATTAATTATGAAGGTCTCAATTTAGATTAGGCTAATGATTAATATGGTATTTGTTTCTGGACTTTTGTTTCTACAAATAACTCATTTTGAAGCATGTGTTTTAAAACTTTTTGTAGTCTCTCTCTTGTTACAGCTTCAAAATTGGTTTGGTATATCAAAACATTATAACATTTGGTATATTAAATATTTCAGTTTACAAATAAATATATCTGAAAGAGTTGCGGATTTCTATCAACTTTACTCATTCATGATTGATTTGTCAAGTGTTTTTTAGTTGATGAGCTGTGGTAGAGATACACAAGCATGGCTTGTTCCTCTGAGATGGCATGGAGTATTTTCAAATCTGGCTTGGATCTATCAAGGGGTATGTTCCAAACACATTGGAGTTGTTGAAGTCCATAAGTACGCTTCATATATTAGTCTAGATTATCACTTATCGCTCCATAAGTACGCTTCAAACAAATGATTAGATCAAGAACCGATAAGATACCGTTTTCAAGGTTTCAGAGGATCGATCGAACATTGTATATTCTGCTTTCCCAAGCATATCTAACTAACGGCTTCATTCTAGTGCTTGGCTCGAACCTCTAAGGAGCCACACTCTTTCTGTAACCATTTGATCCATAGCAATGAGGCGTGTTGTCTTATGTTTTACCTAGGAAAGATTCCTTTTTACTTTGTGTTTTCTTTCCTCAAAAGTTGTGATTTTTTCATAATTAGAAGAATGGGCTCTGATGTGGTGATTTTTTAAAATTATTTTAGTGACTTCTCTTGTACGTAATTCTCTAATGCAAAACTCTTACGAACCGGATCTTTTCCACAAGCCACATTCCGAAGCACCTCTTGATCTCAAACCCTTATACACGCTATATTTACACGACGATATATAGGATTAAACCTAACCGTTGTCCAAGCATGCAAATGACTTGCCACCTAAGATACAATTAAAAAGCCCAATAGATATAAGCCCAATAACCAACGAGCCACAATCAAACCATTGATTATCATTTGTCACTTATACAAAATCTAGAAACCATTGAACATTTTAAAAATATTATAGTCGTTAGGTCTTAACTTATTAACTTATTAGTAAACGCAACGATATATTGTTATTAAATTAGTAAATTTCCATAACCCTTCGCAGAAACTGCATTTTTTCCCAATTTTCTCTTCTTCTTTTTTTTTTATATGAATTTTCTTGACTTTTAACAGCAACTTTTTTTTTTACATTTTTGGAGGTTAAAAAAAAAAGATTTTCTTTAATGTAAAACTTCCAATTTTTTTCTAATTAATGTTCCTCTATGAGAAAATGTAAAACTTACAAAATTGACTTTATATATTGATAATACACGTATGTATAAATATCATCCAAGAAAGAATAAAAAAGACACCAAAGAAAAATTATAAAGAACAAATTGTGGTGTGTGTATCTTTGTGTGGTGAAGAAACACAATGATGAGTAAAGTCCAATTCATCATACTTATGTTCCCAGTCGCAGCCATGGCAATCGTATATGTTGTGGCTGTATTGAGACGTTGCCGAAGACGTTTTTCCGATCAAATACAGATTGTGCCCTATCCTAATCCGTAACTATTTTTCTATTATCATGTTAGTTTATCTTATATTCGGTTTTCTTTTTGACCTTTGTATAGTAGTAATTGAGCAATCATCTCATAATAAAATCCAAGCCTTCTTTATTAGAAAATCATACTTGTATAGATATATAACAGATTTATTTATACAATATTACTATAATCTAGCGTACATATAATAGAATATAACAATTAAAACTACATATGTTTTTAACATACCCCTACGGCCCTAAATTCAAAATTCAAAATTCACACTCATTGGCGAAGCATCTTGGATTGAAACTGAACCTAAAAGCCACAAACTTTTTACCAACACAAAGCCGAAACAATAAAGAAAGCTTCTGTTCTCGATCCAAATGTTTGCAAGGAGTTTTCTGAAGCTGTTATAAATATATGTCTAATTCATCATTGGTTCTCTTTCATAATAAGCTATAACAACTAGTGGAGTACTCATGGAAAAAAAATATTGTGTTCGATTTTAAATGTTTCTGTACATTGATTAACACAAGAGAGATGAAGCCTAGATTAGAAGCAGACAAACACTTGTTCAAGTTCTCTAATGTTGAATAAGTTAAAAACATTGATACATATAGTCTATTTATACATTGTGGAAGCCAGGAAATAGAGACGTTATGAATCCAAAAACAATCACCTGAATCTCCTTCACTATTCCCCACCATTCGTTTTCTTCCCTACCTTGTCCTTCTGCAAATCATATAAAGAAGAGTCTGTTATCTTATAGCAACGGCTTCTGAATAAGATGTTATATATGAAAGCATCATAACCATGAGAGGCGGATAGAGATAGAGAATAAGAGACTAAGATTTGTCTTGATTATGCATACCAGGGACATCTTCGACCACTGGATCATTATCTGCTCTAACGACATTCCTTTGAGGCCGAGTTGGTGCTGCGGCTCTATGCATGACTCTTGAAAGCCATTGAACAAGTGGTCGAAGAGCTCCAGTTTGGTATCTGTCATATTAAATCGTGACTCATGTACACTGGCTTCCAACATACTCAACATAGAGCTGATGTCACACTCAAGTTAAAATTCACCAGATTTTCCATATACTTACAGGTAGATCATTGTCGCGAAAAACACAAGAACAGCAAGCCTTTGTCTTGATCCATTTTGGCTGAACAAAAAGACTACAGCAGCGAGCTTGAGTATCAACAAGAAGTCGAGCTGAAACGCAATCTCAAATCTCCATTCAACGACTCGCCTTTGATGAGCATGTTGTTGTTGTCCGTCTTGTCCTTGGCCTTCTTCCCTACTAGTCTCCGCCTCATGGCTTGATCCAGAGCTAAAAATGAAAACAAATCATTACGCTAATACAATTCAAACCAGTAAAACTGTTCTTCAATCAATCCGCCAAAGAAGTACACATAGAGAGACCACCTGAGAGAGACTTCGATAAACGAGAGAATTTCTAAACCGGGAATCGATGCCTTTCCATATCAAATTTTGATTACATTGTTTGGATTTGATCTCTCGCTTAAACTAACACAAGAAAGATTTCTCATAATCCTATTTTTCTCATAATTTTTTTAAATTATTTTGGTGACTTCCCTTGTACGTAATTCTCTAATGCAAAATTCTGACGAACCGGAGCTTTTCCACAAGCCAATTCCGAAGCACCTCTTGATCTCAAACTCTTGTACACAATATAGTATTTTACACGACGATATATAGGATTAAACCTAACCGTTGTCCAAGCATTCAAGTGACTTGCCGCCGAAGATACAATTAAATAGCCCAATAGATATATAAAGCCCAATAACCAACGAGCCACAATCAAACCTTCCATGCGTCTATATTTCTGCAAAAAAACAAGGTTTGAACATAAGCATAAGTAGAGCAAGCTCGCTTTCATATATTTGTCTCTTGTAATCCTATTTCCACTAGAAAACTTGCCGCGGCGGGAATAGTTTCTTTTTCTCTAAGGTATTCCATATGGTAAATGGTGGTTTGTTCTACTTACAGCTGCAAATGTTGGTTTAACTCATACTTATGCTTATGTTCAAACCTTGTTTTTTTAAATTTTAAGTTAACTAATACTTTTGTGAACATCTTTTTTAAACCTATTTCATAAAAGTAGTAGATTTGGTTTATCACACAATTGTTATTGCTAGAGCATCCGCAAAGGCAGAGACCATACCAGCGTCTCTTAAAAAATATTTTAAAAATATAATTAATTTTTTTAATTAAATTATAAACAATTAAAAGAACAAACCACTTATTAATTGTTATTTGTATAAAGATGGTTCTGAAAATTCGTATATTAGAATTGATTGTCATTTTCTCTCTATTTTTTTTTCTTTTTTTATAATTTTTTATTATTTAGAATCTCTCTTAAATCACCCGATGGAGATGGTTTTAGTTATCATGTGATAATATATATATAGAAGTTTGGTTGCACGTACCTAAAATCTGGAATATACATGGGTTTGCTAATGAAGCCAAATCAGATTTGGTAATGTTTTAGTTCTTTATCAAATGAGTCTATTTGGTTGTTCTTTCGAAGTTGCTTTTACTTGGCCATAGATATGGGAGCAGAGATTTCAACAGACCTAATTTGAATTGACTAAACAGTTGTAGCTCTATTACTTCCAACCCGTATTATATTGCCTGGCACTCTAACCTAAGAAGGCACACTCTTTCTGTAACCATTTGATCCATAGCAATGAGGCGTGTTGTCTTATGTTTTACGTAGGAAAGATTCCTTTATACTTTATGTGTTTTCTTTCCTTAAAAGTTATGGTTTTTTTATCTAGTGATGTAAATGTAGATTACTTTGGATCCCTATACTACGTACGTATGACAACTCTATATTTAATTTAACAGTTGAATTTGTTTATTGATTGCCATTTGTCACTTATACAATATCTAGGGGATTAATATATTAACCATGAACATTTTATCTTTGGTGTTTCTCATTAATTCCTATAGCTTGTTTTCATCCTGCAATGTCAACATATAAACCATGTCAACGTCTCTATACACACAACAAAAGAAAGTGAAAGATAGCATATATGAGTATGATGAGTTCATGTACTAGTTGAAATTACACTACTACGCAAAATACGTTTGAGAAAAACATTATTAGATTTTGACTATGTTCTCTCAAAGCTGATTTGTATTTTATATACGTAACAAATTAATAGCCAAATCTTGGTTTGTTATATGCTTAGGCGTTATACGTGATACTACTTTTCTAGGTTTAAGCCATTTGTGCATACTTTTAGTCAAGGTATATATACTCTTCCTTACTCTTCTTGGAATGTTAAAAAAAAAAGTAGTATTTTCGTTGTTTTACTTAAATTGGAGAATCCATTTTATAAATTAAAAAAAAAAAAGTCAATC